CCCCCCCCCCTCCACTACGAGAACCCTCCAGCTCTCCTCACTACCAGAACCCTCTCCTCACCACAAGACCCCCTCTTCACTACGATAACCTCTCCTCACTACGGGAAAGCACGCGCAGCGACAGCTCATGGAATGCTGCGCAAAAGTATTGAAAGCAGCGGGACCGTCGAGAGCCACGTCGGCCTTGCAGCAACGCGACCACCAACGGACGGGTAACCCCCATCGCTTGCCGGCTCTATGGGAGAAAATCACCACGTCTTCTCCAATCATAGCCCCTTGCCCTGTTCAAGTGGCTTCGTCGACAAGATTCAACACCTCATCCACTCAGGTACCCGCGTCGCCCAAGTCAACCTTGTTCCGGCTTGAGCGTGGCATGCTGCTGTTTCAGGTGCCAATCTATCTACTCGCACACGTCTGAATTGACCACAGCAGATGCATGTCCCACATTCGGGCTTTGACGCTGAATCAGACATGCGGACCGAACCTTGGTTTCACGGCCTCTTGTCTTTGATTGACTCTATTGGCTGGCATGCCCATAACAAGGTGAAATGAGCCATCACGTCTCTACAACGATGGGTGCGGTGAAACAAGATCTGTGTGGCCAGTCGAGTAACATTGCCCGATGCCAGCAGACGAATACCCATCTCTATACTTGTGGTTATTGATTCAGACGCGTATTATGAGTTACTAGCAGTCCAACAGTCATTTGACTCTTATTTCAACTTCCACATCTTGTGTCTTGACTCCTAGATCCTCGACTTTGGTGTGGTACGTACCCGAATAAGCCATTCCCGATTAGGGCAGTTGAACTCGCCCCCCTGCCTTGCCTGCCAACCGACCTCGGGAGTTTTTTGTAAACAAACAGTCTACAAGCATCTCAACACCACCACGAACACCGCGACAGCAGCACACCCTAACCCTACTACGGGAGCGCACATGACCACGTTGAAGTTTCTGCTAAATGAAAATGTCGTACAATCCGCGCATGAGTACGGTGCGCACCACTTCGCACAATCAGCGCGCGCCCGCTGCCAACGAGCACGATGCCTTTATGACTTTGGTACCCGCCCTTGCCACCCTTTGACATGCGCTTCACTAACTGCGATAGCCCGACTCTGAAATAGCAGGTTGCATTACAGACATCGGCATCAACTTCAGCACGGCAGACTTGCAGAAACCGAACCCTCAAATCATCCAAAAGGTGTTCGAGTGGCTAGCAGAGCTGCTCATGAACACAACGCGCGAGGTGGTTTCGCCCGCCATGCGTGCTGCTGCCGAGGACATGTGCGGTGGTGATGCAGAAAGGATCTTTACGAGCGACACGCGGGACTTGATGGCCTTCTTCGTCGTCTTGAAGAAGCTCCTGCGCGAGGTGAGAGGGCTAGTGAGGTGCGCTTCGTTCAATGAGGCGCATGCGGCACAGGAAGAGGGCCACGTTAGCTAACAGTTGCAGTGTGGCATCCACGACTTCACCTTCAACGATCTGTACAAGCCCACACACGGTCGCCTGGTCAAGATCTTCTCCTATATGATCAACTTCATTCGCTTCCGTGAATCGCAAACAGAGGTCATCGACGAGCACTTCAACAAGGCCGAACGCACGAAACTTCGAATCGAGCAGCTGTACAACGACAAGCAAGCGAAAGAGCTGCAGCTTGTCGACCTTGAGCGCAACCGCGCGGCGACTCAGAAGCTCATGCAAGAGAGAGAAAAGCGGAACAATGAGCTGAAGAATAGGCTGCTGGAGCTGAAGAGGGGTCAAGAAGCGGTCGCGGAGAAGCTTGAGCGCGCACGAGCAGAGCAGAACAGGTTGAAGGAACTACTACAACACAAGGTTGAGAACAAAGAGAACGTGCAGCGCGAGGTCTTGAAGCTCAAGCCGTATACGCAACAGAGCCCAACTGCTTTGGAGGATTCGCTACGCGATCTAAACGACCGCCTCACCGTCGACAAGACTCAGATCGACACATTGGACCGTCGCGCACGCGCTCTACAGACTTCGACCGATTCGTTTGGCGTAGTCGCAACTGATGTCACGTCGTGCACGCGTCTTCTGACAGATGTTCAAGCCGATCTATCGAAAGAGGAGGAGGAGCTATCCAAGGCAGCAAGGCATAGAGACGCGCTAGCAGATCGGAGCAACAACGTTCGCGACGTTGAACGACAAGAGAGGCTTCTCCAGAAACAATTAGGCAACGTCAATGCGAGAACAGACAAGCTAAAGACCAAGGCCGACGAGGAAGCAGAGCGTGCTCGTAAACGCATGGAAGAGCTGCGAGAGACACATTCAAAGCTGGCAGAAGAAAGGGGCGAGAAGGGTCGCGAGATGGAGCGGCGGCGAGTCCGCATTGAGCAAACAGAGAAGAAGATGGCAGAGCTCAAGGATAACATAGAGAATGAGGTTCATGCTGCTCATGATGAATATCTCAAGATGGAAAGCCACATCAAGCTGTACATCACGGAGATGGAGCAGAGCATCTAATTACGGCTTGAGTTAATGTGTATATGAAGGATGACGGCGTTTGGATTGTCAAGTTTGGAGCTAGTTTGGCAAGCATGGGATACCTCATACCTAGTTTCGTTTAATTACACCTTTGGAATCGGCTACAATGAATGCACACTACGGTGGTAGTTCGATGAGACAAATTGGGAAGCGAAAGTCGTTGTTGCTTATCATATCTAACAAAGAGGAAGGACCCTGGTGGGGCATTTCGGCCGGTCGGGCAAGCACGTCATCTATCATTGCAGCCCGCTCTCGCCGCTGTGTGCACAGTAATCCAGCCTGCATCGCGCCTAACTCCCCGTGCGACGCCTACCTAAGACGCTGTACTCCGCAGACAATCACAATTCTACAACCAGAACCTCAAGATATCGTAAGTTGGCTCTTCTATTTCTATTTGCTTCCTCTTCCCATTGTTTCAGCAGCGTTGGGCTTTGCGCAGGGACTCCAACGCCTTTGCCGAAAAATAAGCGCATCTTTTCATCACTGAACTGTAATCGGCCTCCGTGTCTTGTGTCCAGTACATTCCATCAGCCAAGTCTTTGAAATCGTCTCTCCCTCCTGTCTCACTGCTTTCCGCTGTACATATATCATGTTTGCGCCGTCGTCATTGCGAACCACTAGAACACTACTTACATCTGCGCGACTGCGAACAGCTTCCATCAACCCCACATCGAACGCAAACCTCTACCGACCGCTCCTCACCCCATCCTTCTTTTCCAATACAGCCAGAATGAGTGAGTCCAAGGGTGTACACAACCTCCAGACGTGAGTATCCTTATCTCCACGGCATGTCTCGGGACGACGTCATATGTTTGGGGGACAAGCAGCTAACGCGACACAATTGTAGCAAGTCGGCATTCGACGAGGCGCTGAAAGATAAAGAGACTCTTATGGTCCTCGACTGCTTTGCTACTTGGTGTGGTCCCTGCAAAGTCATCGCTCCCCAGGTTGTCAAGTAAGTTTCTGCACTCCACCCGCAGCCATCGCATCCCTAACACGCACACAGGTTCTCAGAGAAGTACCCTAACGCACGCTTCTTCAAGATCGACGTCGACGAAGTTCCCGACGTCGCGCAAGAACTCGGCATCCGTGCCATGCCCACCTTCCTACTTTTCAAGGGCGGCGACAAGGTCGCCGAGGTTGTGGGCGCCAACCCCAAGGCCCTCGAGGCCGCTATCCAGGCCAACCTCGAGACCTAGAGTGCGCGCGACCACCATAAATAATATCCTTTGGCATACTGGCATAGGCCTGGGTATTTAGAGAGACGGGTGTTGGGAGGAGTCGACAGACACTACTACGGCTAATCGCTCTGGCACGATTGGTGGGGGGAAACGAGTACTTGTGAATCTGGATATCATGACCCCTATCTTGAAATGATACAAACGGTTGTAGACCATTTTCAGTGCACATCAGCTGTGCTTCCTATTTTGTTCCAGCTCGTAGAGTGTGCTGATCACGGCTGTTTGGCTTACAAATGCGCACTTTCGAGCCCGGCGAGAACCGGCGTCTCAATCTGAATCCCTAGTCCCTAGAAAACAATGAAGCCATCACAATGCAGTTTGGTCTCACACATCTCGATTGGTGCATTACGTTGGGTCTTGAGACGTATGCGCCATGGTGGATCGAGGCACTTTCTAAACGTTAAATGGGGTTGCGCTAAGAATCTGCTGAAGATAGGCAGTTGGGAGTAGGACACATCCTTCATAACGTGAACAGCCATAAAGCTGGCAGATGCTGTTGGGTTGGTAGCGTTGCCTCGACCTCGACATTAACAATATATATAGTCTATTAATAAACCACAAGCCAGTATTTGTCGTGAAATATGGGGTCCGAGTTTCGTACGCTAGTTGCTCACTATTTGCTTGAGTTGGTGATTGCAAACACCCCATACACCCATGTACTCCCACCGGGGGCTTTTACTTAGAGCTATACGTTGGATTCTAGCATCATCAGACAACTAGAAATAATTGAACATAATATACCCGATATATGGTGCATCCACACCCCAAGATACAGAGCCCGTGTGAGGGGGCTTAGTGGACATTACCTTGCTATCGAGCGGTCAGTCCAAAACCTCAATTCCGCTGGCAGATTGACCTGAGCTACCGCCAAGAGCAGAGAGAGATTGGCCCAGGCCTTTTGATAGGACAATGATAGTCCAGCCTAGTACCAAGTCCAAAATGGGCCTCTCCTACCAAGAACGAGTTATGCTCTGAACTCCCAACTGTGTGCTGCTTGCTTCTAACCAATATACGGGCTACAAGGCAATGAATGTAGGTGGCTATTTAGTGAAGTTTTAGACGGCTTGAAGAATGAATGTTTCTCTCCTCGAAGTGTGGCGGAGGGCAGATGCAGATGGATTGAAGGATGCGGAATCAGTAGTGGTTTGCTAGATTGGGATGTTTCGTGTCTCGTGCCCCTCACAATGACGTAGATCTTCGGGCACAGACCACCAACTCACCCTAAACCAAGGCAGCACCCGAACACCTCAACTCGCGACTCCTCTTCCCAACAGCAAGTAAAGGTATTGTCCTCACCACAACAACACTTACAGACATCGTCAATACCACCAATATGTTCAACTTCGTCATCTCCATGCTCCTCCAGCTCTCGCTGTTCATGCTCGCTGAAGCAGCGCCCATCACCACGCAGGCAGCAAAGCCGTGGCAGGCTGGCACAGGAGGCGGTATTGTGGGATTTATTGTACTCGTTCTCGATATCATCGCCTGGAGTAGGTTTCCTTTGCCTTGCTTCTTCTATACGCTTCACCTGAAGCAGTGGTAGTTGTCGTGTTATACAAGACCTCAGCTGACATATCTGTGCCACAGTTGAGATCTTCAAGTCGAACCGCCCCGTCTCCAACAAGGTCATCTGGGCTCTTGTCGTCTTCCTATTCCCCGTCATTGGCATGGGGTGCGAAATTCCTACCCCGAATATTATTCGAATGTTTTTGCTAACATACGGATAGTATGTAACACGCTTTACTTGAAGCACTCTTTAGGGGTGACTTGTGTGGTATTTATATTCTCTACTTAGAAAAGTGCTAATCATGTCGCTATCTGTAGTCATATATTACCTCTTTAGCAACCGCCAAGCTCATAACACGTACGAACCCATTGGCAACTAGCATGGTCATGGTTCAGCGTCCATCCGTTGGCCACGAAGACATGCGCCATTAGTGTGATAGGTTCCAAAAGACAATGGATACATGGAAGAATGAGATAGGAAGCTGCGGACGCGGGTGACGAGTGTGATTGAGCAATGGTTGATTAGAATGGGTGGTAGTAGGGTTCGTGCTTACTACCGGTGCAGTTGTGAGGTTACTTATTCATTACATGGGATCATGACGGTGTATCAATCGACAAATTATTTCCTCACAGTCCTTCTTGCGGGTTCTATCAAGTGTGTACACCATCCAAAGACATCACCCGACATCGCTTCTCGATGGAATAGTATCAAGTCGTAACCCGCGCTACCTCGTTTGAGGAAAGTACTTTGAGTGTGGAGATGTTTGTGATTACATTTATTCTTCCAGGATAGGTCGAAACGGTCGCCAACCATGGTTCTAAACCTCATCATCGTTCTCCTATGGTACTAAATATCGATTTGAGGAGTCACTCTTGTGCTGATAAAAGTCATGGGGTTGACCTCCAGATGTCATCTGACTTGATGGAGGAATGAGATTTGATGGTCTCGGATGTTTTCAACTTTAGCGATTGGAGGTCTCTCAATATTTTTTGACCTAATCTAGGGTGAGGGGAATCCGGTCGGTCGAACTACAAGGACCATGGCACATCTGCGGACCATAATGTCTCTACCATGGGCCAACCCCAGGTTTTTGCTTGGGTCGACCGACCAAAACAGACGCACCCAATTTTGGGTAGCTTCTCTGGTGTCTTTGCACCCCCCTCTACCAACTTCAATGCCCATCGACGATTATTTGGTATTTTGTGTACCTTGCGTCCTTACCCCTTTTCCCGAAAGGTCCAGGATGGAGAGCCAAAGCTCGGATCGACGTAGTTCCCTTGTGAACCCACAGAAGTATAACCTCAAAACTCAATCTGGAGGAGAGCACCGTTGCTAAGATTAGCAGTATTCGCCCCGATGCCTTAGTATACGACTGCTTTCAGCGCAACACAAACGCTTGCGACTTCAAACTGCCTTGTTCGGACGATCAGATCCGCGCCGAAACCCAGGAAGGACCTCCTAGATATGAACTTCCGGAGGAGGACGACAGCTTCTTGGTTGTTCGGAGATATTTATACGAGCTTCTTACTCGATCGGGTTGGGGTGTTAGTGATAGATATCCTGTCGCTGTGCGGTGCACTGTGAACAACTGGATTGGAAAAGGTGGTTACTTCAAAAAGATGTATTGTACTATGGACGGTCTAAACACTATTTGCCCGAGGTGCGGGATGGATGACAAGGGTATCGAAGTGGCTTTCGAGAGCAGTATCCGCGACACGATCACAGCTTGTATCGTGTACGAGACTCGGAAACTATGGGAGTACAAGCTTCACCGGGTGTCTAAGGCATCGATAGCAAGTGAATACTTGGCTATTGTCGCTGAGGAGCAACAGAACTTAACTGCCACAAAAAGAACAGCTCATCTCTCCCCGACTGACTGTTTGAGACCTGAAGTTACATCGGATCAGCAATCACTCCACTCAGATGACCAATCTGTTTACTCTCGGCATGAGATGAATAATGTAGGGGATCATATTCCTCCGCGCAGCTTTAGTCTTCGCCATCACCCGTTTCTTTCTAGAGATCGAAAACTTCCTTCACCGTATAAGGGTGTATCGACATACGATTTGCGTTCAAGTACCCCGGCGCAACGGCCTGCAAGCCGCGCCCGCTGCTGGACGACAGAGAGCCTCCAGAGATCTATCTCACGTATGAGTTCATTCAACCAGCGCCTCCAGTCATCTAGGGTCACGTCACCAGAAGAGCTCAAGCCACATTTCAAGCCACAAACTGAGTTAGACGGGGAGATTAACGTTGTCCGTTTTGACGATACTGGTCCTGAACCTGTGTCCCTAGCTACAAATTGCCGAGCAGTTCACGTCAAGCCCCATCGCAAGGTTGCATGGGATCCAACCCATTCTCTATCTCCCATGGCTTCTCGCCCGTTCTCGCCCCTCGCCTTCTTCAAAACACGTCTCGCAGGCAAGGAGCCTCCGAGTTCTGCTCCAACGCCCCCGGACGACCCAAAGGCTAAATCGTCTGGCGATGCCCAAATAAAAAAACGCAAGAGCTTCCAGTCTAGGCTTGCCGAAGCTACCACGGTCGGCTACTATGGGAGGCACGAAGTAAATCGGCGGAGGTATGTAACCTGTAACGCGGGAAGGCGGGATGCTGTGAGCGTGTACCAGCCCACGGGCATGATACAATACTCTACAAGCTCTACGTCAACCCGAGTGAAAGTTTCTAGTCAGCCAAGTTTGAACCCTGTCTCCGAGCTAGGTGAAGAGCTCCGCGACCTCGCCACCGCCCGCCCTTCTCAACGTAGTTCAAACGTGGCTAGGGTCGCCCCAGACACGAAAATCTCTTCTGATTCAACTACTCCTATCACTGCTGCTGGGAAGGAAGCCGTTGAATTGGATTTTGGGGAAGTCAAAACTCTCAATTATCATGCCAAGCCGCCTACACCAAAGAGAAGGTTTCTGGTTAGGCGGATTGGCAAGATCTTCGGTAAGATTGGTCAAAGGAAGAAATAAGAAGAGGGGGTTGAAGAAGATGGATCGTATTGATATATAGGATTCATTTGTCTTGCTGCGCTGGTAATTAGGTTCACTCGTTGGACGGCGAAACAGATTGTATATGTTTGGCCTTTCAAGCTCTCTGATTAGGCTCTTGGGATGGAATTTTCTGCTTTATCTTTAATGAAAGGCTGTCCTCGCCTTGTACTACAGCTTTGCCTTTCCCTCCACAAGTGCTGAAGCTTCATACAAATAATAGTAATAATGTCATGGATTTATTGCCATACTTCTTTGCTTGCCGTTCTATAAATGTAATCATACCTCGTGCCCGCATGTCGACAGATGTCTCTCACCTTCGTCTGGTACTGTCCACCTAGGCTCGATGCCCATGAGACCTCGTGAGCTAATCATGCTAGCGTTCACCGAGCTCTTAGGAATGAGCTGTTCCCCCTTAGTGGCTAGGATCGACAAGACGTGAGCTGCAGCCTGTTTTGTATTAGCTAACACTTCCTGTACGAGCTTGGTGACTTTTACCTTTGCGTTAACGGTAAGGGTCGTTGGGTTCGGGTTGTCAATTGTATCGCAAGCCTGGTGATAGCACGGATCCTGCTCAACACCAGTGCCAGTGTGGAGCCCCCCAACGGGTTTCCCAATGTTCATGAAGGATTGGTAGTCACTACCACCAGTAAATCTCGCCGCAGTTACATTTACACCATTCTTCTTGAAATGATCAACGAAGAGCTTCTCGATAGTTGCAGATCCGGGTGCACCGGTTAGGTTGAATGTGCTCCCATCCCCATCAAACACGCCGTAATAGCCGCGGGATACCATGTCGAAGTTGAGATACGTTAGGATGTTGTTCGCTTCCGAAACGTTCAAGTGCTGCGTATAATATTTTGAGCCCAATAATCCATTTTCCTCGGCCCCCCACCAGGCAAAACGGACTTTATTCTTCACCCTGAACTTCCTAAGCGCTTTGGCGATCTCGAGAATCAGAGTTGTACCAGACCCATCATCGTTGATTCCAGGGCCTGCCTGCACGCTATCAAGATGCGCGCCCAACATGATCACGTTGGAAGGGTCACCTTCCTTTGTCTCTGTGAAGACATTCTGGGTGATTCTTGTTTCAACTGTTTGCGTCTGCTGGAAGTAGGCTTCAATCTGCTCACCAGCTTTGAGGCGTGCGACAATAGGCTCACCATCGGCTTTGTTGATATAGCCTGAAGAAACGTACTCTTTAGGGTTTGGGTTTGAGAGAGTTCCACCGGTGACGGGGGTGGTCACATCACTGTAAATGATGACCGCAGCAGCCCCCGCCGCCGTAGCGGGCTTGATACGGCCGGCAAGTGTAGTACCATCAGGGCATGTTCCTCGTTGGACCAATACAATCTTCCCCTTTACATCCAAGTTGTCGTAAGATTTGTTCGTGCAGCCTTCGGGCCCTGATGCGCCAAGTACAAGCGGTGCCGTCAATCCGCCAGGGGTGGTTGATGGTGAGTATGAGAGCCCAATAATGTGGTAGGATGTGTTGCTGATGCTGAACTTTATAGATTCAACCTGGAAAAACAGCGCTGGAAAATCTTGTACCTATGTCTTGAAGTTTGAGTTTGCGGTTTTCGAGAGAATGTAGTCCACAGATGCTGCATATCCTGGAAGACCAAAGGCTCTGTTGCCTCCGTTCTTTTTTGCGAGGGAGTCAAGAGCTTGTAGATTGCCCATCAGCCTATCGTGGAGTTAGCAAAGACTTCTGTCCGTGCGAAAAAAGCCTTACCCGTCGGTCGTGATTACATCCTGAATCTTCTTCGATGACACTAAAGGTCGCAGTTTGTCACCATAGGTTGGGGCAGGGAATACCGTACCCAATACCTGCACAGCGAATGCTAGAGCCAAACAGCATTGAGACCTCATCCTCATATATCAGATGACAGTATTCTCCAGTCCTCGAGCCGTTCGATGGAATGAGCAACTTCCACCATTGTTGCGAGGCCTGTCCAGTCCATATATATAACATTCCCCTGTCTCCTAATGTGCCCGGTTCCCTGGATAAATTTGAATTGATTGCAGGCACGACATTTCCCTCGTCCACTCTTATCAAAGCCTTCCTTCGGCTTGCGTGGTACTGTGTCCGGAAAAGAAGGTCACAAGAAAGTAGATCGGCGTTGCCAAGGGCGGAGCGTGCTTTGGAATTGACACCTTCCACTTAAGTGATTAGGCCGGCTTGGCGTGACCACCCTCATTGCCACTAAGACTGAGTGGCAACCAGCTTCGACCGGTCTTATGGTAATTCGTGGGTGGGATTTGATGTCTCCAAGCCCCACAACATCAAATATCACTGAAAGTCTATCTTCATCATTGTTGCGGCGAAAGCATCTAGTGACTCAAAAGAGCGAGACATACTATGGTACACAATCGGATATAGATGCTCGCTATAAGGCGCTGGCGATCCCGGCCTTGATGTTTGGTGCCTCCATAATACCAGAGTTCTAGCAAGATATAAAACAGGGTTTTAGTTTGCAGCGTTCCTTGCCTTTGCATCCTCAACCGCCTTTTCCCAACTCGTCCTGTAAATGAACACTCCTTCAATTGCTGCAACAATGCCCAAGGCAATAGCTGGTCCCTAATTATCGTTAGTATGCCAGTCCTCTCAATACCAAGGTTCACTATAAAAGGAGAACTTACACTCCAGAGCCCATACAATCCCCATTGAGCACCGAAGCCAGTCCCGAAACTAATCGGTACGCCAACCACGTAGTATGCAAATAGCCCCACATATCCACCAATCTCCTGCCGTCCTAGGCCTCGCAAGATCCCATTGCAGTTCGCCGCCAGCGCATCAAAGACCTGGAATGTGGCGCAAAGAGGGAGGAGCGCTGCGACCATATTGATGACATCCTTGTCTGGCGTAAAGAGCCTTGGAATGGCCTCTCGCAGTAATGAAAGCAGGAGGAGATTGAAAATACCGACCAAAACGGAGGCGAAGATGGACACCTTCGCCGCCATTTTTGCAGGAACAGCAAGCGTCGCTCCAATCAAGTTCGCAATCCGCGTCGAAGCCGCAATACTAACCGGAAACGGAATTTGAAAGGTGATTCCCGTGATCGTTCCTAATACACTCTGCGCTGCAAGTTCGGTAGGTCCAAGCCAACTAGAGCTTAGTGTTAAGATCTCAAACGCCAGAAACTCTGCGAGTACCATGATTAGTCCTGGAAGAGCGAGTCTAATCATAGGCATCCAATTTTTCAGTGCTCGACGGTCGAAGCCACCCCAGCACTGGTAGCCGTCGATGAAGCGGACGTAGAGGAATAGCAAGAGAGGGAGAATATTCTCGGTAATGGCGACTGCGATAGGTGCGCCAATGAAGCCCCAGCCTAAGTGCCATACCAGTAACCAGTTCAAGAACGCGTTCAACGGTGCGCAGATGAGAAGGATGTACATTGTTGCACTGAACAAGCCCTGTGCTTGTACATATCTTTTCCCGCTCTCAAAAGCTGCATAGCCCGGCGCACCAGCGATAAGAACTTTAAGATATAAACCCGCCAAGCGTGCCGTTTCCTTTTCAGGAACGATTTTGGAGAGGATTTGGGTACCAAATGCCCAGATGAGAGATATCGGAATCGTTATGAGGAGTAGGAAATAGAGCATGCGCTGGAGTTGTAGGCCAACAAGATGCGGGCGTCCAGAGCCATAAGCTTGTGCGCAGAGGGTGTCAAGGGAGGTTGCGAGGCCTTGGTAAACGGCATAGCCTGTTATAGAGGCGGTCATACTGGCTAGGCTCACGGCGCCCAGTTCTGTTTTGCCAATGTGGCCGACTGTGAAGACACTAGCTACTGGGAGACTGTACTGCAGCAAGAACGTTAGTATCAGCGGTGCCGAGCTCTTGGTTAGGACTTTCGCCTCTCGCTGCCAGCTCGTATTAATCTTTCCTGCTGCAACCGCCTCATTCCACTTGTGATTGATGGTCCGCGGCGAGTCCAAGCCTCCATACGGTTGACCTGGATCACCTCCAGCCTCTAGAAGCGCTGTTCGCTCAGACGGTTGCGAGTCAATGAATGTCTCCTCATCTGGCGTACTTTTGACTTTTCGTAGTACGGAGAATGACAACTTGGTACCCAGATGATTGGATTGTCCCGCACTTCCTGATCGAGGATGTTTGGGTAGCAGGAGGTTGTTATCACGGAGTAGACTCCGCTCCTCTTCTCGAACCGATTCCCTCTCTTTCTTCGATAGATGGCTATGTTTCTTCCACGATGTAGATAAAAAAACCCGGTCTGGTACACTTGAGGATATGATGGCTGTGGCTCGGGAGCCTGGGTTAACATATGAAGGCCGGCGATAAGAGTTTATCATGGAAAACTGGCGCACTGTCGAGGAGCCGGAGGAGCTATCATCATCGTCATTGTCTTCTGATGACGAATCGTCGTCATCTAGGTCTCGTGCAATAGCTTCTTCTGCAATGTCTTGAGAATGGGCGAAGCCTTCCATCTGAGACGTGACATCGTTTGCAAAGCTGGTGACGGCATGTTCCGCTGGCGGTGATGATGGCGGGGCCATTGCCTACTCTCTACTACACGATGCCGCAGACAAGAACGTATTGTTGGCCAATGCAGTAAGGTGAGCTGATAGAAAAGAGGAAGGAGGCAAAAGTAACCTATGAAGAAGCCCAGATGGTGGGGAAAGAGGATGACTGATATTTGATCGAGCTCCATGCAGGGACCTGGCCGTTCGCATAGTTAGAGGCCCGCATCTGCCTTGTGCCAATTGGGCAACACTAGGCGCGACTTTGGCGACTTTGGGCTTGGCACGCCGCCCTCTAGCATCGTGAAGGGCGGTAACTCATCTGGTCTAATCGTGAGTCATTGGTTGCGGCTTGTTGCTGTTCTTGGACGGGTGAGCGAAGTTAGGCGAGGCGATGAATTTGTGCCTGTGGAACAAACGACGTTCAAGTCGCGCAAGCACGTGCGATGCTATCATACATCCAAGTAGAAATACACGACAGGGCGCTATGTTTGGTATCATCTCGAGCGTGCAGAAACCAACCCGGCAAACCATCCTATACGACAACCCTCCTCAGCCCTTCAGTCCCACCAAGAACTCGCCGGCCTGTAACGGCATCCCTCCCTTTCCCACTCTCCCACCTCCCTTCTCTGCTCCCCTCTTCCTTACCCCAGCCCTCGTCCTCCATTTCCTCTCCTTCCTCACCATTCACAAAGCCAGCAGAGCCCTCGATAAAAGCCACCTGCCGGTCGTGTTCCCCTTCCACCCAGCGATGTATGCACGTGTAGCAGTACACAAAGCCCGTTGGCGAGGCTGTGGGTGTTGTGATGGGTCTAACGCAGATGGGACAGAGGTGTGAGGATGGTGGTGTTGGGACAGTGAGGATGGGGAGCAGTGATGTGGAGGATATTGGTGGGTCGATGCGTTGCAGTTTGTTGGAAGCTGAAGATGACAGCTGCAACTTTTCGCTGCGATCCGACTGTTTTGCTGTAGATCGTGGCAGAGAAGGCAATATCGGCGGCGGTAACTCAATATTCTCCGCCGCTTTCCTGGACAGCTGTCTCGCGAAGTCACTCGCATGCCACCACTCCAAGAACTTGAGCGCAAAGATACTGGTCGGGAGTAGTATCTTTAGTGAGCTGAGCAGTCTCGGCTCTACACTCCTCGCAAGATTCCTCGGGCTGAAAATCGAGCCCCCCTCCCCAGGTCTTGCAGGCCCGACCTTCCTTGGTGCGGTTGCAAGCGCGATGGCCCTGTGATCCGCATCGCCCAATCTTCTCATCCTCGAACCAATCAGCCACATGAAGGGCGAGTGGTATTTCGTGTCATCGAATAGGTACGCCATGTTGAAAACGAGGAGGGAGAAGTAGTACGCTGCGTTGACCGACGGATATACGTTCCGCAGAAACCACTTGTAATAGTACATGAGCCTCTCCTTTATGCTCGATCCGCCTCTTAAGCCATCTCTATCTCTGTTGTACCCGGGGCCGAGCAGATTCGCATGTGCAGCGTGGACATCGTATCCCTCGTCCAACTTGCGCTTCAGCCACGGTAAACCCACCAAGACGGCGAGGTTCTTCCACACATCTCCTGACCCCAGCTTGACCGCCTCCCGTACGCTTTCACTCGCCCCAAGTTGCGCGCGCGGTATTTCGCCGCCCCTGATTTTCAAGACGCGTGCCCGCTTCAAGCCATAGAAGTTCTCGGTAAAGCTCCCGCCATAGGTGCGTAGGAAGTGGCGCTCTACGAGCAGCATGACGACGGCATAGACCTCATCGAACGAGTTTAGCACGGGGAGTAGGTAGCGTGGATAGCGGTGTGTGGAGATGGCGAGGAGGTAGCGGAGAGACGGGGGAAGGAGCGATGCGAGTTGTTGTTCGGAGAGGAGTTCGAAGAGGGAGGGTTTGAGGTCGTCTATGCCGTGTTGGAGGGTGGGGAGGAATTCCATGGTGATCGGGGCGGGAGTGCAAAGGTAGCAAGGCGCATTGGGGACGTGTAGTTGAGATGGTTGTGAAGATGCGCGATGCTATGGTAGAAGAAGCCGAGGCATGGTCGGTCGGTTACACCTGCCTGCCCCGACGCGTCTCACACGTCACAGGCGCCCTTCCAGCCATGACTTCAAGCCCGCGAGGCCACACGCTTCTTCATCAGCAACACACACGGCCACTATGATATATGCAGACCACCAAAGGTGCCGGGAGCTGGCTCGTCCAGATCTCGTCAACTTCTCCGTCTCGGTGTAAAGTTCCCTTCCAGCCCTCACCCTCAGACAATAGCAGTAGCTAACGGCCTAAAACGCACAGCTTTATAGTCCTGGGCATACTCGTCTCGTACCTCCCGCAACACTACAAACTAATATCGCGACGCTCCTCGCGGGGTCTCAGCCCTCTGTTCGTCCTCCTCGGCACAATATCCGGCACAGCTAGCATTGCGAACATCTTGACACTGCCTGAGAGTACAAGAGACATGGCGTGTTGCAAGGAGATTGGCAAGTTCCCGTGCGCAGCCGCGTTGCTGGGTATTGCACAGATTGGCGTGCAGTGGACGTGTTTCTTCTTCATGTACGCTTGCCTCCTCAAACGTGCAATGCAAGCAGCTAACTGACAGACAATAGCATGCTCCTTTTCCTCATCTTCTTCCCCCGGAACCCACCAGCCGCTGAAGAGGAACAAGACACCAACATGCCCACCTGGAAAGAAGCTATTCTCGTCCTCGCCCTCTCTTTGACCTTCTTCATCATCGCATTCATCGGCTCCATCGTCTTCGTCTACGCTCTACCTTCCCACGTTCGTGGCTGGGCTAACTTTCTCGGTCTTTTAGCCACTGCACTTGCCGCTGTACAGTACATACCGCAGATCATCATGACATGGAGACTGCAGGAGACTGGTAGCTTGTCGATACCTATGATGTGTATACAGACGCCTGGGAGTTTTGTCTTCGCGGCAAGCTTAGCTACAAGATTAGGCCCAGAGGGCTGGAGCGCGTGGGGACTGTTTATCTTCACGGGTTGCTTGCAAGGTTGCTTACTCGTAATGAGCTTATGGTTTTGCTGGAGGGACAGGCAAGCACAAAAGAGTGTGGAGGAAGGTCCTATTCGGGATCATGAGCAGACGCCGCTGTTACGTGATGGCAGAGACAGCTGAACGATTTGGTCCTGGTCCCGTAAAGTGGTCTGATTAACAATGACGGGGGTATTCAAGGCCAACGCAGTGTTGCTGTTGCAGAAAGTTCGTCCGGGTAGGCCTGAAAAAGGATGTGCACTCTCAAGCGTAGGTTCGTACCTGCAATAGAGTTTCGCAAGCTGTTACCCCCACACTCTTCATCACTTCTTTCCTACTGGAAATGGGGTTACTTTACGTTGAAGTATACCATCGGGAGCTGACAATCTAGCGACAGTAGCTTCATGCACGGCTTTACCATGATGTTTGACTGTAACCAAATTGCTTCCCCAGTACAGCAACGTAAAGAAAAAGAAAACATGAAGCGGAGAGAGAGAGAGAGAGAGAGTGGAGCATGATGTAGCATGATAGAGTAGCACACCCAGGCGCAGGATGCGTATGCTCGAGTGTCAACGAGGAGAAGCTAGGAAACCAAATTAGATCGCGCCTTACCCCAGGAGTGCTAGCGTCGCGGTCTCTCAATCCCCATCTAAACCCACCCTCAAAAGCCCGCATTAGTTGGTTTAGTCGAGTCTCTGCCCACTCACGGTGCTCATGAACCCAAGCCACAGTCACAGTCACATGTAATCGATGCCGTTACACAGATTGCCTAGCATAGGTTGCGTGCGGCTGAACAACCCACTCGCCTGTGCATGCCCTTTCAGGCCTCTTGTTAAACCAAGCCGTTCCACACCCTTTGTATGATTTTGGAGAACTTCATATAAGACTCCTAGGCCTCGCTACTGTGCACACATAACTCGAGCTTCAGCAGTCAAACAACTACAGAGAACATTGCAGGTTCTCAAGCGACCTTGATCAGCATCTCTTCTAATACAAAAGACGACTGCTCATTGCTTTCCTACGTCAAAATTTGCAGTCATCTCCTCTGGGTCTACGACAGCAGCCTGAATGTTCGGCCCCTTCGCTCTCTAATGGCGTGCGCCATCGCCAAATCCACCAGCCGGTACCCCTCTTCCTGAAGGCATAACACGCACTTATGTACAGACCATCTCCGGGCCTCTAGAACTCCTTTCTGCACTCCCCACAGACTCATCTAGCATCAAACCCCCCCTCTTCTTCGCCCACGGCGGCTTTGGCTGCGCCTCTGTTTGGCTCTCCTACATGTCCTTTTTCGCTCAACGAGGTTACCCATGCTATGCCGTTAGCTATCGTGGTCACGGAAAGAGTTGGTATCCAGGTTTTTAGCAAATGTATTTCACGTCTCGAGGGGCGATTGGCGAGGACCTAGTGGCAGGTATTGAAGAGGTGGAACGTCTAGAAACGCAACGAAGGACGAGAGAAGAGAAGGTCAGGGTGGTGTTAATTAGTCATTCTGCCGGTGGGGCATTGAGCCAGTATGTATTAAGTAGGGGGTTGTGTAGGGTGGCTGCATTTTGCATGTTTGCTGCTGTGCCGGGATTTGGCTCGTGCGTCTCTTCTCTTTTCACCTCCCAAAATCCCAATCTAACGATGGTGTAGGTGGTCGTGCTACAAATTCTGGTTTCTTTCAGCACCACTAAATTTCTGTTACCGCCTCTTTCACTCCAAGTACCACCTCGCAACCACCAAGCAAATTCATAACGCTTTCTTCTCTCCCCAAACGCCAACATCCACCGTGAGAGATCTAGAGTGCCTTCTCGCTCCTTATGAGAGCATGTGTTGGCCCATGCAAGCGCTCTCAGCCGACGTCACGGGTCCAGACGTTATTGAGCAAATCACTGGATGGACGCCCGGCAAGCCGTCGTCAATGAATGCGGCACCAGCGGGAGTTCCGCCAAGGTTTTTGGTGTTAGCCGCTGAGCACGACGTTCTGTGTATGCCGCCCGTGCTTCTTGATGCAGCGAGGCGGTATCATGCTGCTTTTCACTATTGCGTTAGGATGGGTAAACTAGACGGTGTGAGCGAGTCTGATATAAGGGTTATGCAGGAGGAGTGGGATGGCGTGATATTTAGGGTGGTCAAGGGGGTAGCTCATCATTTGCAGAATTATGTTGAATGGGACAAGGGTGCCAAAGAGATCTTGAGTTAGGCGGAGAGGCTTTGAGGAGATGATGTGCATGGGGAACGGTGGAACATACCACCACGCTGATGCTCGTAAGCAAGTCTGTATGGTTTTAGTGAATCTCACAAACATCGAATAGTTCGTTGATTTTATAGCGATAGCTGTTGATAGTTCTTGTTGAATTAAACTCATCACTGTACACTTGTGCAATGCCACTTTTTGCGGCCCTTTCCATCAATAATCACGCTGAGCATATAGCTTTGGGGAAGTCTGACTGCGACGTCTCAATCGCATAATCTACACATATCAAGAATTCTATTTCAAAGTCAAAGTCCCCGCAGAACACGGAAATATCAATACAGACCTTGAAAGCTGAAGCACCATCCGAGTTAGACATTATTTCATGGAAAGGACAAAGGATCGAATGAAACATTGATAGATGAGGAAAAGAAGCAAGCATACTGATAACGGACAGATGAGCTTACCCACTCTCAGCATCTTGTGAGTTGCTACCTGTAGCGTCTTCAGCTTCCATCTTCGCAATAGCCCACCAACCTCGCACAATCCCTTTCTCGGCGGCAAGACCTACCAATGGTTTCCTACTCATCTCGAACTGATGACGCTTGAGCTCGTCGACGACGACTGCAAGCTTCTGTAGCCACTTCAACGATGGTCTGCCCTCAAAGTGCTTGCCAATCCTCTCGCAGGCGAACTTCCGCGCCAGCTCAGTCCTCTCTTCCCCTCTCCACACGTCTTTTAGATTACTTCGCGCTAAAGCTTGGGAGGCTAGCATAGTAAAGCAATGAAGTAGTGGGAAAAGTAGATTGCCTTCTAGATCGGCTGCGTCTTCAACATCTTTCCAATGAACCAAAGGCTTGTCGACACCAAGACAGCGATTACCCTCCCACAGAAGCACATTGATACTCAAACTGGTTTTCTTCCTGATGACATTATGGACATCCCAAAGTAGGAAGCATAGTCGGATTAAAGGAAACGACATAGACTCAGGATTGCCGTTGCGCGATGTGGTAATCGCATCGTGAAACGGACTGAAGTAATCACCCGCACTTGCGGCATCATGAAGGGCCTTCTGCAAAATGTCGTCTCCGTCGCTCGTATAACATTGTTTGAGAAACTGCATCATGTTCTCTCGCTTGATGTCGATGCCGACTTTTGCGATGCTCTCCCGCAGCTGCCCAACGAAAGCATTCAGCTTGGTCTGGTAATCTGGTAAGTCGCTACTGATATCTCTCAAGATTGAGATGGCGGTTTGCTTGTGGTCGATGTTTGTTATAGGGCACTGGCAGCCCGGGCATTTCACCCCGCTCGGATTGATGTCAGAAATAGGCGACCACAGGTTGCCCAAGTCGACGTCACCTCCGTGAAGGGAAATCATGAGACATCGAAGCCCGAATATATGTCCGCATGCTAGCAGCGAGACCGGCGTGTGCTCCGCAGAGAAGTTCTTATTGCAAAGGAAGCAGTTTTTAGAAATCTGGAGGTATCTGGTGATGCGGTCGCCCATGGCTTCTCTGAGGTGGGCTCTCGATATTTGGTTTAGGTAGAAGTAGAAAGATGTCCTTTCTAGGGTCTCATATAAAGGGGTCCATTTGTGAATGTCCACCCACAGCGAGGACGGTGAATGATAAATCGCGTAACGCAACTTTGCAGATAGGCAGGCCAACAAACGACAGAAGCAACGTACAACGCTAGGTTAAGACTCTGTGAGTAGGAACTCCGGCGCATTGTTCTACCGCTTGCTCGCTAACGATGCTGACCTGACTTTGAGGTTTGGTACCACGGTGGATTGTATCCCAGGAACGATTTGAGAGTGATGGGGGCAACTGTCGGGTTTTCTGGGATATCAACAAAAGTACGAGCGTGGGCCGTGTTTTGCAAGTAACTTATTCGACATCATCGCGGCGTTTCAGAGTTTCAATCGTTGATAAGGGTTGCAATGTGGGTCGGTGTCCGACGTGCCAAGATACTGTGGAGCTTACTGTAGCCTTCTCTTGGCGGGTCTTGGCTCATCAACCCCGACCGCAACTGACCAGAGTCGTGTGCTTTGCTCGCGGCTCATACCCGTACTGCTGTATGCCAGCGCAGTGTGTCTCTTTGGGAGAGTAGGCGGTGACAACAACAGAGTCCACAACATTGCGATGCAACTATAGGACATAAGACGGATTGGGGCATAGAACAGCAGCTGTTGGGTTTCGGGGAGAAGTCCAGTTTGGAGACTTGGCAGATGTAGGTGCCTCCGCTTGGTTTCACGCTATTGACCATGTGTTATGCTAACGAACCCGCTCAAGCTTCGGAAGCGTTTGGTTCTCGAATCCTTCGACCGAACGCCGGAAACCTGTCATTATGATCACCGCATTCTAGTCCTCCCATAGGAATTGATGTCGCGAAAAGAATTCAAGCATTGCTGCCACTGCAACTTCGGCTCGCGGAGCAATCCGCACATGGCTTCTTTATGAGATTCTCCTATTGGTGGTCTTTCTTACCTTTAATCGCCAAGCTTCCTGGGTAGCATAGTAAAACGGTGGCGCCGATATTACACCACCCTTTCTGAACGATTCAGAAACAGACTAGATACTGTTTGCACTAGTACATGCAGACAGCCGCCCTGTTTGCGGTTGTCCAGCGATGCACCCCGGACCACCATGGTTGTTTGACACCTTGACGTTTTGCCAAGAACCTGTTCACGGGACTGCTATGCTTCAATGCGCTTGGTGGATGATTTTAGTCTGCTTAAGTCCGCCGAGAGGAGAGCTCTATAGTGGCGGAGGAACTTGATATCGGAGAGCCAAGAGAATTATGGCCTGGTTGTAGTATTAAGGGCGACCCCTTTAGGGATTATGGAGCCTGGACAAAATACTACAAGCTTAGCACGTCTAGTATATAACATTTCTTCTTGCCCAGATCAAGGCTTTCATTCAGCTTCAAGAGTCGATCTCTTTCATTCATTACATTCTCTTCGAGACTTTCCATTCGTTCCTCAACCGTTCTTTACCAAACTAAACACCATCCCGTCAACATGAGGTTCTTCGAGATTGCCACCGCGGCTTTGACCGCTGCCTCCACCGCATACAGTGCGCCCCTTGAGAAGCGCGCCGTAAAGGTCGATGAGTTGGTTGGCTTTGCCGCCGGTACAACTGGAGGCGGAAGCGGTGCTGGCACCACTGTCGCTTCTTGCGCTGAGTTGACCGCCGCGGCGAAGAAGGGAGGTGTGATCAAGATCAAGGGCATGCTCACGGGCTGTGGTATCATCAGGATTGACACTCCCAATACTTCCCTCCTCGGCGTCGGCAGCACTGCCGGGCTCACGGACGGTGGGTTCCAGGTCCGCAAGACCACCAACATCATCATCAGGAACTTGAAGTTCTTCCGTGCACCAAAGGGCAAGGACTTGGTTGACATTGATGAGTCTACCAAGGTCTGGGTCGACCACAATGACTTCTCCAGTGTTGGTCTTGTTGGTGACAAGGACACGTATGATGGTCTGCTTGATGCTAAGCATGGATCCGACTCCCTGACCTTCTCCTGGAACAAGTTCCACGACCACGTAAGTCTAGCCTTGTTTATTGTATTGATAAACGGTAATCCTAACGAGTTCCTAGTGGAAGGGTTCCCTCGTCGGCCACAGCGACAGCAACGGCGCCCAGGACGCTGGCAAGCTCCATGTCACCTACCACCACAACAACTTCGTGAAGGTCAACTCCCGTCTCCCCTCGATCCGCTTTGGTACCGGCCATATCTACAACTCTTGCTACAATGGCGGTATTTCTGGTGTCAACTCCCGCATGGGTGCTCAGGTCCTCGTCGAGCTGAACTCTTTCACCGACACGGCTCTCTCCATCGTCACCAACCGCGACTCCAAGGAGGAGGGCTTTGCTACTGAGAATGGCAACATTTACACCAACAGCCCTACCCAGATTACCAAGAAGGGATCCTACAAGGCACCATATGCGTACACCACTGACCCTGCTGCCAGCGTCTGCGACATTGTTGCAAAGAGCGCTGGTGTTGGCGTTGTCACCTTCTAAGCGATTGAATCGACACATTGACCTAGGATGGCCGTGAGGACGGCAAAAAGATCGACGGAATCGTCTTGCTACTGTTGTACATATTATCTTTCTTGAATATACTTGCACTTTCTTCTGCTCAAAACATTTGGAACCATGCTGCTTTGATACCTACCTCGTGTGTGTCCCGCCGCATGTGTCTAACACATCCTAAAGCTAACGTGAGATGTTGAAAACGCCTGTCAGCCCTATATCTAAGTTTTGAGATTTGTGGTGCCAAGTAAACTGCGTCAGTTGTGAGTGGGTTTTGAGTCAGTATATCCCGACCGACCTTGTGCTTCAAGCCCGGTTGGTGATGGTCGTCAAGGTTCGCAGCCTGCGAAACAAATGTACCAATACTCTTTACTAAAACAATAAGGGCGCCTCACCGCTCCGTCAATGATCCGAGCCGCAGCATCATAGAATTCCTCTATCATCCACCGTTAGTAGCCTCAAATGCCACACCAGCGCAATCTGGACTACAACCCGTTCCTGTAAACTGGCTCGGGTGGCTTTGGCTTCACAAGTATGTTCAGTAGCGACACATACTTCTAGATCGCCCAAGATGCATGTATCTATGTGCTCGACGTCGATTACCGAAAGGCGTCCGAGGACCGCTAGCCTGCTACCATTCAGGATGTAGAGGATGTGCTGAACTGGATTGCGACTCGATCTGACCGTTTCGATAATAAGCGTGTAGGGTTCGCTAGGATCTCCTTCGTACTTAGCAGCATAAAGTTTCCGCCAACGATTGTAATAGTGACTGCGGAAGGGAGTAATCTGGCCCCTGGGGGGTTTGTGTTTGCGAACAAGGTGGATGGTGGGGAGAGAAGGGTGGTGAATAGAAATCTTGTAGGAATGAGGCATGAATATGAGAAGGGGCGTAAGAAGGGGCGTAAGAAGGGGCGTAAGAAAGGGTACGTGGGGGAGGCTTACGGGAATGATTTTGCTGAGGCCCTCAAGGGAGCATTGTGCAAGTCATGTAGAGGATTTTGCAGATTGATTCATCAATCTTTGGGTTCTGTTGAGCTAGTCTTATCCATGCCATTGCGCCGTGATTGGGGTAATGATTTCCTGTACATTTTCCTGCTAGTCCAGCTGGACTTCCACAACGTTTGACTTTGAAGCATTCTCTAGCCGCTGAAGACCCAAACCACCGAAAATACGATGCAAACAACACTGACAACCGCAATCACCTCCGGGCCAGCCTTGATCCCCACGGGCAAACCCTCTGTCGTAAATTGCGCAACAATGCCCTGTGTGAAGTTTGTTGCAGCCTCCCGCAACGCAATCTCTGTCCAGTTTCCGCACACAGTATTCAAAGTCTGATCGGCGGTAAGCTTCGGCAGCTTCTTAATCGCCGCGTCCATCATTCGCGCGTTAAAAATGGTGCCGACATTCGACTTTTGCATTAGGACCGTGCGGTAGGAGCCATTGGCACCGATGGTGGACATGTTGGCAGTCCGTTCGTAGTCGAGACAAAGTTCGGCTTGTGAGGGTATGGCAGAGACTTGTCGGGCTTCGAGCTTAGCTGCTCCGGCTGGGTATGTTTGTTCTGGGCTTGCGGATGCGAGGTGGAAGACTGAGAGTAGGAGTAGGATGTTGGCGATGAGCGAGGAATGCATCTTGACGTTCTGATCTTCACCGAAACGAATAAAAGTTATTATGCTTAGTAGAGTGACCGGCACGACGAAAGTAAAAATTGACGAAAGGCGATGTTGTGGATGTAGAACCCGAGAACCACTGCCCGAGGCACTAAGAGCGAAGGAAAATGGCGACAAGGGAGTAACAAGGAGATCAGGCCACTTCTCCGTGATATAGGCGTCTGCCACAGAATTGACGGCTATGGTTCATACTGCGCTGCGACGTGGAGTGCCAGATGGGCGTGGTCTTGAGGCCCATCGTGTGTCATGTCACGCTGGCATAAGCGCCCCTAGTAAGCGCCCAGTGTTAGTGCGTCAACTTTACTCACATAATGTCAACCAATCATCCACCGATATCCGAACGAGCACCAATCAATCCATCCATCCATCCATCTTTCAATAAATAAATAAGAAAAAAGAACATTGTGGCTTAGTGGTGATGGTGCTAAGAGTTGCGAGCGGTGGCGCGGTACGGAGTGATGTCCAAAGGGAACAAGGGGTCACTGGGATGCGGGACGAGGGGCATCCGCGCACAGACAGTTCATGCACCAGTGAGCAAGTAGTAGACGATCACCCCAGCATGACAAAAGGGCTAACACACTCCCAATATTATAGCCTTCAAATTGCTCTGCAGCCGGATCCGAGGCAGACGGTCTCTCCATCCATCCCGTCAACGCGTCCCCCTACTTGAGACTCCAGAGCCCAGTATAAGTAAAGGACAACAGAGACTATCGGACAGCTGCTACGCAAGTTGACTATAGGAGTGATACTCAACATCTCAGAATAATCATGCCTTTCACACGTTGATAACCTGTAGAACTAGCAATGGTTGAATTGACGATCTGTATAGACAGGTAGACACAGGCCCTTATTGTGTCTAAGTTAACAAGGAGAAATACGTTGTAGAACCCAACACGCGAAGGTTATCGCACAGTCCAGTTAGTCAGTAAAACAAAACCAAAGGAGTGAATGCTCAGAACTAATCAAAATTATCAGCCCCTGTAGCTAATACAAAGGTAACATTAGTTCAAGGCCGGGTTCGTGCGACGGCGCTGTTCCTTGGACGTTGCCCTTTCCTGCTGCACTCTATTCCTCCGTTGCGGCAATCTCTGCCTTATTCCCCTCTGTCGTAACCCTAACATCCTTCCATCCCATGCCTACACTCACAACAGCCGCCAACCCTGCCAGGCCCACTAAGAAGTAGAATACGTTGCGCACGCTTTCTGAGTAGCATCTTAGTATGCCCTTCAGCTCTTCCTCATGTCCAACTACCAGATTGCGTACAGCACTGGCACCAGAGCCAGCATCTAGCGCCGCCTTAGGGGACACTGAGGGCGCATAGCGAGGGACAGTGGAAGCCAGTGTCTGCGCGAAGATCGTACTGCTGATCACAACGGCAATAGCGGTGCCCAGGTTCTGAAAAAAGATGAGGATGGCGAGAACGATGGGGACCTGCGAGGGCCGAACTGCATTTTGGGCTGCGATGAGCGGCTGTGAGAAGTCAGTGCACTGTAGGGGTGGAGAACAGAGGACAAAGATACCATTTGCATGCCGGCGCCGCGACCCGAGCCCACGACAATCTGGTACCCGATTCACACTCCCGTGCTGGTAGATGCAGTAAAGGTAGAAATGAGGCCATTGCCGATAGCTGTAACGACGCCACTGAATAATGCCCAGGGGAGGTAGTATCCGAGGTGCGTTACTAAAAGTGTCAATCAATCATCCGCCCTGAGAAGTTTCCACATGCACATACCCGCCACCCCAGAAGCCACAACAAACAGTAGCGAGCTCAAAATACTCGGGAGTATGTAGACGCCGCTCATGGTCGGTCCCTCGCCCTTGACAGCCTGGAAGTATGTCGGAATCCAATTGCTAGCAACCAGCGTGCAGCACATGATGCAACTACCAAATATACAGCTCGACCATACAACTGGCTGCCGCAATATCGCACCCGGAATCATAGCTTTGTCGCCCATTTTCCTTTCCCAGAGGATGAAAATGACAGTGCTCCCCCCTGCACCGCAGAATAGACCGATAATAGTAGCACTATTCCAGGGGTATGTGTTTCCACTGCCGAACTGAAGGGCGAGGAGGAGCATAACTGCGGATGGCACGAATAGTGCGAAGCCGAGGAGATCCAGTTCTGGAAGTAGTCCGAGGACCAAACTCATCGAGAATCCTGGTTTTGTCGTGATTTCAGGCACATGGATAAGGAACAAGACTAAAGGTTGAGGTACGAAGTCAGTATCTGTCTCACACCCAACTCTAACACTAAAGTTACTTACAGAGGGCTGCAACGCCGCCGATGGGTAGGTTCATGTAGAAGCACCAACGCCAAGTCGCGTGCTCGGTCAGCACGCCTCCAATAAGCGGCCCGGCTACGACGCCCATTTGAGAAATCCCAAGTAGAATACCTGTGTACATCGGACTTTTCTCAAGCGGTACCGCTCCTGATATTATCGTTAATGCATCATTAGTTAAACCAGAAGCTCCTAGGCCTGCAATGGCCCTGCCGACAATGAAAATCATCGACGAACTCGCGACTCCGCATACTAGGGATCCAATCTCGAAGGTGAAGACGAAGCTAAGGTACACGATCTTGGTACTGAAGTGCGTGTAGAACTTTCCAGACATTGGCTGAAGAGTTGCACTATTTTTGAAGGGTCAACAAATGGCATGCGAGAGAGAAGAATGAGGTTATGACGTACGCCCCGAGTGTATACGCTCCAACATACCAGCCCACGTCTGGTAGCGCGTGAAATTCGGTCGTGATGTGAGGTATAGCGGTGCCAATGATCGAAGTATCCAGCAGCAAAAGAAATGTGACAAGCGTCAAGCTCCCAAGAAGAACACCTAATTTGACACCTGTGAGGTACTGCTTCCCTTGAGAAGGGTCATCTTCAACTAGAGTGTTGAAAGAGTCCTCGGTTTTAGGTTCTTTGGAGGTCGGGCTGGTGTAAGCGGAATTAGAGGCCATCGAAAAAGGCGGAACCACAGAAACGGAAAGAGATAGCACTATGTTGGAATTTGTTGCGGTAGAGACAGATGAAGGGGGAAGGGTCGTTGGTGTTTTGAATCGCAGATGAATAGGTAGTCCTGGGGCGTAGGCACTTTTTAAATATTTTGTTTATGCAAAAAGAGGCGTTGGCATGGCGCACGGGCAGTACCGGTATGGTACCATAAAGCGGGATTCGGATTTCACGCATTAGGCAACCACAATGTTAGGGACGGAGGGACGATAGAGCCGAGATACGGAAATTCAGATGATGTAACAGGTGAATACAGCAGTCGCATATAGGTTAGCCATCGCTCGAGCAGATAAGATAACCTTGAATAGATAGTCGGCAAAATAGGCTCGACATCTTCAACAGACATGGCAATACTTTTGCATTTGATGCAACCCTAGGACAAAGTACTCGCTACCTCTCAAAAGTCAAACGGTTCCGACAACTAGAAGCTGTCAAAGAAATCCATCGAGGAATCGGCACCATTCCATTCCGCTGCTGCCGCAGTACCATCCAGTGCCATGTCTTGATCTTCAACCCGCCAAATTGGCGCAGTCCTCCTTATAGCTTCAGCCGCCGCAGCTAGAACGCAGTCCTCCCCAGTTTGCTCCTTGAATCTAGCGTTTTCACGTTCTGCGACCGCAGCTAGCTGCTCTAGAAAACTGACAATGTCCACCGTCTCCCTCACTGCTCTTGAATCCCAACCTGGATCATGATTTAGAGTGGAAAGCTTGTACAGAACCTTGACGCTGTAGCTGACGATGAGCATGGCGGATCCGGTGATGTGTGCAATATCTGATAGAAGATAGTTTTCTATGACGGACTTGCAAGATTGCAGACAGGAGGTGAGATATTCGATGCGTCTGTAGTCGGAAGGATTCTGATAGGTTGGCGGATGCTGAAGGAGGGTTAACTCGTAAATCGTTATCTCCGCGCTATAGAGGAATGCAATGATGGTGTCTAAAAATTCTCAGAACTATGTGAGACGTAGGACTAGGGAAGCTTACTATGCCCGAGCTGTTCGGCAGTGAGGGTGCTCCTAGCACTGTCCAGGCAGGTCTTAAGAGGTCCAATAGTAGGAATCACATGGTTGGTATAGTTAGGATCTTCTAAAGCTCGTCGAGCTACTTCCGCTGCGTTGACACATATTCGCGCTATGCGTGCGGTAGCGACAAGAATCCTATCTCCTTCGTCTTCCGCATTTCTCGTGAGCTTATCACACGCTTCTTCGATTTGTGATGACCACGGCAAACAGTCATATTTGAGCGTAGTAGAGATACTGTTGTTGAGGTTAACCTAGGTAAGTGGCCCGTTCTAGGTGATCAATACTCACATTGCGCTTAGTCCGAACACAGCAAGCAACGCTCTGCTTGCTTCCTGTGTTTGAATTCCAATGTTATCGAGCTGAGGGCCTTGAGGGCCTATGCTTGGACACTTAGATGGTTTTTGTACTAGTCGCAAATCGGTAACGAGTGATCTTGCTAGACCTGACATGGAGCCCAAAAACTGTTTCCCGTGCGTTACATACATTGACCTTTCTGTGGTCAGGCGTAAATCCGGGTCTCCAATTGAAGAAACTGGCTTACCATGTTATGCAAACAATTAAGCTTAGCAGTAGGTCAATACTCCGTTCACCGCTCACGATAATCTTTGAAGCCAACGTCTCCCGGAGCAGCGTACTCAGAAGCGTCTGACGTGGTACCGCCTTAGTACATATAGTGTGGATAGCAAGGCATAGGACTGGCTTTCCAAGCTGCAAATGTTCCGCGGTGATGTTCGCCGGTAACAAGATGAATGGAAAATAGCGGAGGTAGTTATCGCGAAAGTTGGCAAGGTCATATTCTGTAATGCTAATGTCGTTTCCGTAAGCTATAGAGGAGTGATGAGGAGAAGGGTTCGAGGATCCAGGGGTTGGCATGGACGGATCTCTTGACGAAACTGGCTGGACAATATTTTGGGTTCGCAACAAAGTGACAATATCATCCAGCTTGTCTTCTAATTGTGCCCTTTTCGAAGCTGTTGTGCCCCTTGACCCTCTCTTCCGGACAGTCGCTGAAGGTATACATTCCTTGCCTAGGCGGTGACATCTGCAGTGAAGCATGTTAGCCAAGGTTCTGCAATACTCTAGCCTGGGAGTGTTCAATATATGGTAGGTTTCTTGCTGAGCTTTGAGGTAAACATTGGACATCGCGACATGCACCGTGTGCTACCAAGCGTGCTGACGTTATATGAAGAGCGCAACTTGCCTTTCGCATACATCCCCATCCTGAAATACGCACCGGCATTTCGCTTTGACGCAGTTGACGCACGCTTGACCATAGGGCGCAGAAGTTTTCCGTGAAGCAGCGCTTTCCATGTGCAATTCCCTATGTTGATTCGCAGTCGGAGGGATTCAAAGAAAGAGGCTACGATTCTCGACTACTCAGCAAATTGTGGTTGAGCCGGGATTGGACCTTATCAAATCCGCTCGGACGGGATTCGCGTTCACTTCGCTTGGCTAATCCCTTAGGGATATCTCACACACACGTGACCATTGGATGCCCAAATAGGCTAGCTGATTACACACTGTTGACGAAGAAGAGGACTTCACGTGTAAACCCAGCTATGAACTGCTAATTATAGCGAGCTTCCAGGTGTCTCAAACGCATGGATGTGGTGCGCTCACTGGTAGAGGCCCACATGATTGAAGACATGGCCGACGTAGCCGCACACTGGTAGGACAGCAAAGAAGCGAATGAAGCAAGTTAATCAATCGAGAAGATCACCCTATGAACGAATTGATTTGACTTCACTAAGAATTCAAGGCCGGGCGATGCCACAAGCCCCGCAGTCTATGTCAGAGGAAATCATCAATGCACCCATTTTCCCATCGACGCCTCAGAAATGCAGCATGACAAAACAAATCCGCGAATTTAATGCATCGTAACGAAGGAGAGAACTCTTCTAATCCTGCATCTTCAGATCTTCGAAATCGTCTAGCAACTGATCCATCGGAATCTCTATGCCCTCATCATTCTCCTCGTCTTCAGTCTCCGTCTCCATGGCGTCCGCCTCCCGTTGCCGCTGTTCCTGCTGTGCCTTATACAGCGCCATCCCTTGCCTCAAGTCCTGATCCTCTTCCACATCCTGCAAGAACATCTCAAAGTCGCGTTCCATCTTCTCTTGATCTTGCTTGCGAGGTAGCATCTCGCCCTCCTCCCTCGCCATACGCTTGAGACGCCAATTCCGTTTGTTCTTGTTCTTCTTTGAGCGCTGGTAGAACTTCTTGACTAACACTACGTCAGGGATTGCTGATGCGTATTTGTTATTCGATTCGAGGATGTCGAAGAGTTCACTATTGAAATTCGTGTTGCTAAGTAGGTAGCCCATTACTGAGTCACCAACGTGTAAAATCCCACCAAGATGCGTGCGGCTATAGTACGTTTTGTCGTTAATGCCCATGTCGGAGGCGCGGGCTACTGTAGCTTCAGCGAGGAAGTGCCGCCCCTGTTGTTTTCCCAAGGGCTCAATGTCGAGCACCATGAACTCGGTGAGTTCTTGGACGTCTGCAAGCGGGCGGAAGGGCGTGCGCCAGTACACATCCGTCGCGACATCGGCGGTTTGGAGGGTCGCTACGTCTAGTAATTGCACGGATGTGCCGATGCGTGTGCAAAGTGTAAGGGGGGAAATGTTGCCCGCTTTCTTTGCAAGTGGGATAGGTAGGACGACGAGGTCGTCTTTGCAAATGGGTACAATTTCGCAAGAAAAGGAGAATTTGTAGTTCTTTGTTGAGGTGTGAATGTCGTGCGAGATCAATTCTTCGGACTTCTTGATGTTGACGGGTATGACGGCCTTGAGGAAGTCGCAGAAGGAAATGGCGTGGTTCCGCTGCGCGAAGAAGAAGTCGATGCCGTCGTGTACTTCTTTGATGTTTATTGTGTCCTTGTGCGCCCCATGCTTCAAGATCAACTGCTCGAGATACAGGAACGTCCTCTTATGCGGCACCTTTTGTCGTACCTGTACGCATGCTCGCCAGGTGTTGTGTGTATAACTCTTCGCGCAGTCCGGGCACTGATGGTAGTTTTGGGTAAACTCGACCTCGAAGCTCTGCTGCATGATGGCGCCCTCGTTGAGCTCGCTTTGCACTGTGATCTTGACTTTGATCCTCCTACTATGCGGTTCTGTCCAGATGAAGCTCGCATCGATGATGCGGAGCTTGTTGAGTCCTCGCAGTTTGCGCAAGCAGAGTGCCAACAATTCACGCGACTCGGGGGCCGCGACGACCCAAGTCGTGGGAGGGGACAGCCATCGGTCGCAGTCGCGGCACATGAGCAAGATGGCTTCGCGCTGAATGCCACCGGTGACATCTGTCTTGAGCTTGATGCAGTCATAGCAGAAGGCGCCGGAGATTGTGCCATCGACGGGCGCACCGCAGTCTGCGCAGAGAATGGTCGCAGCGTTCTTGGGCGCGGGGGTGAAGGCGAGCGGGGTATCGACCTCCATGGCTACGACAGCTATCACTTGTTGCGTTTGACGGGTGTATAGGAGTAGATGTGACTATCTCCAGGCTATATAGAAGAGAGAGTGTGTGTGGTCGTCGAGGGTATATGAGTCGTAAAACTGGGGCAAATGTCTGCTTGGAAATTCACAATTCACCCCGCCAATATTTTCCGGCCGCCACTCTTATCTTATCGTCACGTGATTAGGGCCTGAGCGACCGGCGTGAACGGGCTCCGCTTCACCGATGTAGAAAGTTGCGTCAACGACGCCATGGGATTGCACCTGTTCCACATCCAATCTCTCGTTCAAGCATGTATGTCGCGCGTACAGCTTCGTCAAGGTTCTTATGCAAGGCTTGCTGGAAGGCCGTGTCTCCATCTTCTGCTTCGATTACGAGATCTAAAGGCTTGATCCCTTGCGCCTCTTCTCAACTACCTGAGACAGCATCGAGCGCATCACAATGCCTCTTCAGTACCAGTCCACCGAGAAGAGTGCACAAACATGACCCCTCGGCCGAAGATGCTGAATTCCCATTTCTAAGTCACGGTGCGAAGCCTGCAACGAATCCTGCCGAGTCCAAGAACCTCAATTCTTCCCCCGTCAAAACCGCGATCGAATCCGCGTCAGAAGAGCCTACACCTCCGTCGCCTTCGACGTCTATACCATGGTATCTTAGGCAGCAGTCCTCTGTTCCATCTCCAGCTCAGAAGCCCGCTGAAATCCCCAACCTACCGCCGAACCCACCGCCGCTCCTCGAAACCCTACTCGATTATGTGTCCATCACGGCTGGTCTAGATGACTTGCAATTGCTTGACCTACGTCATCTTGACCCTCCGCCTGCTCTTGGGCCAAAGCTGATCATGCTTATCGCTACTGCGCGGTCCGAGAAGCACTTGCATGTAGCAGCGGACCGATTCTGTCGGTGGTTGCGAAGGGAACACGGCTTGAAAGCGAATGCGGCGGGTCTCCTAGGTCGCAACGAGCTCAAAATTAAGCTAAGGAGGAAGGCCAAGCGCATGAGGATGCTGGCCAACGTTGGTGGAACCATGCCAGAAGGCAACATTGACGATGGCATACGTACCGGCTGGATTTGCTGCACTATCGGCAAGATCGAGGCCCATCCGGAGGATATGAATATGCCAGGTGACAATGTGGAGGACTTTGTGGGGTTCAGGGACATCAAGCCGGGAGTCAATCTTGTGGTTCAAATGTTTACCGAGGAGAAGAGAGCTGAGACTGACTTGGAAACGCTGTGGGGTGGCGTATTGAGAACACACCAGAGGAAGGACAAAACCGCGGATGAAGCGCTGAGGGAGTTGGAAGAGGACCTTGAAGAGCTTGAGAACGATCCGGAAGACCTGGGCTACGAAACGCAACACTCAGCGCAAGCGAGTGCTCAGACACAAGCTAGTGACTCAAGCCGTCCGGCGGCCACTCCAGCATCAACTCGACGGTTCCACCGACCACGAGCATCGCTAGGAGATTTCTTCCCGCCAGCTACGAACTCTGATGCCAGGAGACAGCTTCGCAAGCTTCATACAATCGGCTTGAGATGACTGGTGTACGACTTCTTAGTATGTTGCCAGCATGCAGTGCGACCTCAATTCTGAAGGTTGAGTGTCCATTAACTGCCACCCGTACAGCATAAACTGAATGTCTTCAACCACTTTGCATCGTTTCCTCGGAGACACCGAAGTATATCACTCCCAACATCGCCATGCGGAGTAACCAGTCTCTTCATAGAGAATTTCCGCACGATTTATGTATATCACCTAACCCGCCACGAGGAACGCTAAAGCTTTAGCCAATGTATATCGACCGTGTAGAATCAATATGGGTGCGAGCGGGTAGGTTGAATCTACTAGACCGCGAAGTCAAAATACTCAGTTGCAAGCATGGCTGTATAAAGCAGCCGTACTTCAACTTTCCACTATTCCGTCCTTGACGTTTCTACTCCCGAGTGTTGATGCTGACTGTGTTACATCATCGCAATGACATATCGTAGGGCTTCTGGAAAACATGTATCGAAAATCTAGACTATGCGTAACGGTCTAGGTTTCCTTCCCGCTGTCACTTCACAAGTCAGATTCATTACACTAGTATTACGCCGCCCAAGGCCCACTTCTCAGCTTTACGGCGTAACACAGCACAAGTATGCAGCAACTCCGCCCTTTCAAGATGACGGATTTTGGATGTGCAGGGTACTAAGAGACCGGATCTACAGTAGCTGCTCCGCTGCCTCGGGCAATAAGCACTCTATTACTAGACAAGAACCATTTATGGTAGGATTAGAAATCTATATATCTAGGTGGTCAGCGTCAGGTGAGGGGTAGTGGAAAGTGGGAGCTTGGAAAAGAAAATAGAGAGGTTAGACAGGCGTCTCTTTGAAGGGAGCCTCAGTGTTCAGAAATAAGTAGACTGAGCGTGGAGTTGAGTCAGGGGTGTTGTTCGGATCACGGCCCTGGAAAGAATCGCCGAGGACTTTTCGACATACTGCCAAGGCACTGAAATTACAAATTCAGAAGCAAGGCAGATATTTTGAAATTTCTTTCAAACATTGACATTCAAACTCTCTATTCATAATCACACATTTCACATTATCAGAGTATACCCTTCACATGTTACCCAAGCGAAAGCAGCCCTTATCGCACATGACCCCCCCTCTCCTTTGCTTATAGTATGAGCATACCCAACAGACTGCTCACCGCCACAGCAGCACACATGCCCATGGCCAATTCGCCATGCTCAAAGAAGCCCGGAGCATTGAGACTAGGGGCAGCTCCCTTCGACTTGGAGCTCGAGGCTGCTGCTCCGCCACGGCCGGTCGCAGTTGGTGGGGAACCAGTACCGCTCGAGCCAACTGCAGACAGTAAAGCAGCGCAGCTTGTAGGCGTCGACCCACTCTGCGTAGTCGCTTTGCCACTAAAGCTGCACGCATCTGCGCGCTTGCTGTTACCCAGATAATACTGGTTCGCAACAAAGGCGAGCTGATCCTTGGGGTCGCAGCCAGAGTACCCGCCGAAGTTGCCAGTTGTTGCGTTGCGGGCGATGCCGGAGCAGTACTTTTGGTCAGCGCCACAAATGAAGTCAAATATGTCGGCATATGACTTCTCGTCTGTGGACTTGATGTTGCATTGCAGGCTTCCTACCATGCAGGCGCACAATTGCGGGTTTACAGTTGGTGGTAGGGGAGATGCTTGAGCTTTCCAGGAGCCACCAGCTGAGGGACAGGCAGGCGCGGAATTGGCGGGCGTATATGCACTGCGTTGAGTGATGGAAGGGCTGACGGATGCGAGTTGGCTTTGGAGGGAAGTAAAATCAGGGTAAGGTGATACACTGGCACCGTTGTTCTTCAGTTCCACGAGGCCGTAGTTGTTCGCGCCCATGAACCACTCGTACACGATTCCTCCGCTGAAGACCTTGGTCATGTTGCCGAAGAGGACCTCGACTTCTGTGAAGGGTCGGTGGGTGGCACCACCGTCAATACCCTCGATACATCCATACTCGGCGAAGAAGACGGGGACGGGGTAGTCGGAGAAGAAATCGACGCGCTCGCCGTAGGAAGAGGTCGAGTAGTCGCTCTTACCGCACCAGGAGTAGACATTGTAGCCCCAGAAGTCGATAGACGTCTTGTTGCCGTCGTCGCCGGGCTGGCAGACGAAATAGTGCGCAAGTTCGTTGCGAGTGGGGACATCAGCAGTTGCGTAGCCCACGCCGAGTGTACTGCGGTATTTCTGGTTGCTAATGTATCCCTTGGTGTCACGCACAGCAGCTTTGACGAAAGCCGCTGCAGCCGTCTGATTACTAGCACTGACATTCTCATTACCAGCAAAGAAGCCGATAACGTTCTTGTACTTGGACAGGGCATCGACGACGCCAGTGTATCGCTGATACAAGGTGACATCCCACTCGGGATCATTCGACCTGATTGAAGTCCCGGGCTCTCCCAGATCAGCAATCACATAGATGTCTGCGCTCGCCAGCTGCGCCATGCAATCGTCATGGTTCTTGGTTGGATCGATGGCATATACACGGAGGACATTGGTATATATCTGCTTGAGCAAGGGGATGTCTCGACGGCAGGCAGTCCCGTCAGCGAGCGGATCAGTGTAGCTGGCGTTGGAGTCGGTGCTGCCGTTGGGTTGGTAGTTTTGCTGGTACGCCACGCCCTTGAGGTAGCTGTATAGATTGTCAGTACTGACGGTTTCTTTGTCGTAGAGGAAGATGGGACGTACAACTGCGAGCCATTGTTTGTGTAGAAGAAGTGCTGCCCATAGACCTCAATGGCGGGGATATCATCGTAACTCGCTGCTGTCGCGCCACTGATCAGCGCCGCTGCAGCGCAAGCCAGCTTTTTCCACATCTTCGCACTTGGAGCGAACGTCGGTCAGGTAACGAGTGAGGATCGAAGCTTTTCAGCTCGGTGCTTGGTACACAAGAAGAGGCTTGGCTGGTGGAGTTGAGAAGAGGGCAGAGTTTCCGGGGCAGCCGGTATTTTGACAACCAAGGTTGGACGCGTGTCTTCCGAGCTCGCTGCAGGTACTATTGCATTAACCGCTCATGCTGTGGTGGCTATGCTGACAGGTGTACGATAGCGCGCGGGGCCGGGGGTGTGCGCGCGGTGGGTGACGACGATGCTAGGGATGTGTTAGCGGGGGCTGGAATGTAGAGGTGGGTGGGCCCTTTACTAGCATCGATGGATCGATGCTATGGACCTAGGTAGCGCCCGATGGGCGGCTAAACTTCTCTGAGAAGGTCGTGTGTTTATTTCCATGCCGGAATTTGGCATTCTCTCAACGTCGTATGGACAGTAGCAAGCTCACGGACATTTCGAGTGCGCTGAGTCTCTGACGCAGGTCCAGTCAGCCACCAACAGCCGGAATCCTACGCTTCATATATATATTTATAATTATATCCGGCCTTCTGGCTAGCTTCGCCGCCTTCTCGTATTCACTGTCCGGACACCCATGACGTCTGTACGGAGAGAAGCATTCGATATACTGCTTCGCAAGGTCCGTATACGGATGATCAGGCTCTCTCCTCCAGCCTCGGAAAAAACCGCTCAATACACTGTCATTTGATTCGCGATCGACGTTCGGGAATACAGTGTACGACTGCTGCAGCTAGTAGACTGAACTACTATAGGGAGTTAGGTATGGTGGCTTCCCACTGATGAGCTATTGCAACTTCCTGTAAAAACATTCCTGGCAGCAGTCATGGCAAAATCATCGAAAACCACTGTCAAGCGTCTTCGTTCATATTCGTTTCAAGATTGGTTCACTCGAAACCACAACAACTGATTGAATGTCAGGCATATACGCCGTTCTTCATTCTTTATTCATTTCAGTCTTCGCTATGGATGTATCGCGAAGCTCTCCGCCTGTACGTCTGCTATACTAGTACCATGTATACACGCTAGGCATACATCGTACCCAGCCGTGAATGAGAACAGAGCCACAGAGCAGCCTAGTTCAAGTGACGCACCGGAGCCATATTCCAACCCTTGGAGTAGACTTTGGATGCTGAGATGTGGGGCAAATCGAACCGAATCACATCGTAGGTACTCCTCCGGAAACGTAGGAAGGACCCTAGACGCCACGCTTCGTTCAAGGCCAAGAAACCGATAATAGAACACATCATCCTAGAATGTGAGGATGTTGTTGTAGCTCTGCGCAATCCTTGTCATTTCCTCTCAATCGCAACTGGTCTCCGCGATTGTAGGCTAGTACATATTTGGGGGTCCCGGCCTCCCTTGCTGCTGCCGCGGCCCCGGGACCCCGAATTGTCCATCAAACATCATCCTCGGATCCTCACCGCGCATACCCGGCATTGGCGGTCCATATCCAGGCGGCGGGAAGTATCCCTGAGGTGGCCCTTGCATGCCATTACCACCGGGAGGTCCACCAGGTCCTCCAGGAAAACCCATACGGCCCATAGTACCAGGCGGGGGGAATCCAGGGGGATGGCCAAGGGGAGTGTTGCCCGCTGAGAAGTTTGGTCCTCCGGGACCCATCTGCTGTTGCGGGGGAGGTCCACCCAGGCCAGGAGGTTGGCGCATGGGACCCCCGAAGCCTGGAGGTGGCGCGATGTTTGCTCGCTCTTGGGGTGTTGGCGGTATACCTGCTTGACCGCGCCCACCCATGTATGGCATTTCTGGTACAGGCTGCGAAGGAATACCCATATTTGTGGTTAGGCGAGGGTCTGCGGCCGTGTTACGGCGCTGGAGGCCCATAATCGCATCGTCATGACCAGGAAATCCCATAGGCATACGCGAATTCTTAGCTCTCATTGCCTCTTGTTGCTGCTGCTGCTGTAAACTGAGCTGTTGACGGAGCTCTTGCTCACGACGCTCGACTTCTCGACGCATCATGTCGTTCTCGTTGAACATGCGAGGATCGTCCATGAAACCGGGTGGGACGCCGACACGACCCTTGGGCTGTTGTTGAGGTTGCTGTCTAGGCTGATCGTAGAATGCCATGTTTTGGCTCTCCTGCATCGGACGGGGGAGGTTGTGGATCGGTAATTGAGGAGGCGTGGCACGTGAAGGTTGCTGCATGAGGGTAAGTAGGAAGTCACGCTCACGCTGTTTCGTAGCTTGGTCACGCTGGGACTCTTCTCGTGACCGAGCATTCAAGATGGCAGCAAGGTTTGCATCTTGCGAGTTGTTGTTCCTAGAAGGCGGTTGTTGCTGTGGAAAGTGGTCTTCCCCATGGTTAGAGTCGGGTCGCGGAAGCCTAAATTGCTCTGGTAGCCCATTGTCCGGAGACATGGTGTTGAACCTAGCCTGCTGCGACGGTCGAGACTCAGGTGCAGACGGACGCGGAGCCAGAATGTTCTCGAGAATGCTTTGTTGCTCCAACGTTCGCGGAGGCCTGCTGTGCTGCGGTTCTGGGGGTGGTGACTGCTGGTGGAAGTCTAGTGAGATACCGCCTCCATGGCGAGCGCCATTGGTCGGTGTAGGTATGGTTGGCTGAGCGGCTTGCGGTCCGCCGACGTTGACCTGCCCAAGCATCTGAAGAATCCGCTGGAAGCCTTCCTTATCCGCATTAGCCTCCATAGCAGGCGCCGGCGGAGCAGGTGTAGGTCCCAGAGGCTGACTCGGCGCAGCTGGTTCCTCTGGCTTCGCGAACATGGTCATAAACCTAGACTTCTTGTCCGTCTTCGGCTTGGCCGAGACGGTTTCGGTAGGGAGTATGTCTGCCGCTTTATCCCTACCCCAATTCCCAAAAAGAATGCCTTGCGTGGGTTCGGCTCCAGAAGGCGCGTGCAGAGGTGCAGTTAGCATAGGTGGAGCAGTTATAGATGTGGCAGCTGAGAAGTCGGTTGAGAGGTCTTTTGGCTCGTCCTTGTCTTCAGCTGGCGTATCTTTGGCCCTCATCTGCTCCTTCCAGCGCTGGAAGTCTTCTTGAGTGCGGGGCTTCATCTCCTTCTTCTCGACCTTGGTGTCCATCCACTCGGGGTCTTCCTCGGCACGGGTACTGCCCCTATTCCACTCGCGGTCTCTGTCACGCTCTCGGTCACGGTCTCGCTCACGCCAGCCACCCTGGACGCCCGCCTTTGTGCTCTCCTCTTTCGCCTCGTCACGGCGACCCCAGCGCTGCTCTGGTCGCTCGCGATTGCCACGTCGCGGAGCAGCATCCGTCTCTGGATCGCCTTCGTGCTTTTCACGATTGCGTTCGCCGTTGCGGCCAAAGCGCTCAAAATCCTCCTGGCCTAAGCTCTTGCGGCCCTTGACACTCGTCCAACCTTCTCCGTCCTCTCGCGTAGCGCGGCGACCGTTTGTGAAGCCCTTGTCACGGGTACGGTCGGCGTCACGGTCTCGAGTCCATCGCTCGTTCTTCTCGCGAGGGAATCGGTCCCCAAGGTTGTCGCCGTCTACCGAGACGATGCCAGTGCGCTCCTTTGTTTCGCCTGCAGCCTTAGCCGCGGTACGGGAAGCTGAAAGAAAGGACAGCTTGGGCGGCCCAAGTACCGTATCCTCGCCAGGTTCTACAAAAAGAGCATTAATAGCGGCCACGACGCCCTCGGCTTGTGACTTACGCATGCTCTGACGCCGACCGAACTGGCCCATGGGGTTGATTAGCGGACGCTGTTCATTGGCCACGCCTCCTTCTCCATCTCGCAGTCCCCGAGTCCGGCGCACAGTGCCGTTTGTGTTTGCGTGAGTGTTGTTGGTGTTCTGGTCCGTAGGCACATCCATCCATTGCGAGATTGACGGTAGGCCCTCGGGCTTCTTGACGAGTGGCGAGTCTCTTAGAAGTTCCAACTGAGCCTCTGAATACGTAGGTCCTCTCATCCTCGCGATCCCGTATTAGCGGAGGGGGTAGCAGAGAAGTGGTGCGTTCGATGGCAGGAGGAACAGACGGAGGCCAAATATTTAGTCCACGATCACCGATGATGGTGGTGGGGGAGGCTGCCTTGGAGGCAACAGGCCAGTTGTAAAGCGCTCGATGCGCAGGCAAGGGAATACTATTCGCTCTGAAACTCGGACGTGGTATAACAATTCGAGGTCGGTGGTGGGTGCGAACAAGACGCGTGAGAGGAAATTGCGGGTTGAATGCGTGTGAGGCTTGTCGACAGTTAGAGGCCGTGCAGACGACAAGACAAGGCAAGGTTGCAGGGTGAAATCGGCGAAGCTCGAGGTGGGATGCAACGTGGTTTGGGGAGTAGCACACGGCTGCTGCGCAGGCGGTGATGAAAACGGGGGAAGCCAAGGCTGTGCGGCGGTATAGCAATTCGTGTCGATGGTCGTTTGGGGAGGGGGTTTTCGGGAGCTTGTTTGGGTGGGTATGGGGGTCTGCGAAGAATAGCGGTTGTTTCTAGGCGTTGTGTGTTTTAGGGTTGGCGGCAGAGGATGGTGCTCTGCGCGCCAAGACGCAGGTGTGGAGCAACGTCGGAACGTAGCGTCATCTAATAAGCGTGGGCGCATGTGACTTGTGCCTTCACGTTCAATTCAAGTTCGTGTTCGTGTTCGTAATATTCCGGTTCCAGACTACTCTACTAGGTAACGTCAAACTATGTAGCGTGGCGTTGGGCGCCTTCTATTGCTCCTCCTAGGCAATCGCGCCACAAAATGCTAGCAGCTGGCAGTGGCAAGGTACGAAGAACGCCTGCAATGCGGGCCCTCTCCAGCTCAAGTCATGCCCTCAAACTGCCCAAGACAATCTTCAGCCATATCAAATGAAAGTCTTCTCAAGCCCCAGCCTTTGCAAGCAACAAAGCTGCTGTCTCGCCCATGGTGCCACTACTCCACTGCGCTACCTTTTCCTGATCGCATGTCCCGTAGACACGCGCTGCCAATGTCCTAAGGGCTCGATGCCGGGGATCGTGACTTGCCAGCATCATTTGAATCCAAGAAAAGAGCCCACATCTTGTCATGAGTGTCGTACTACCTCCCACATGAGTCGCTCGAAGCAACAGCCTTACAATCTTCTCCTTTGCCGAGGCAGCACACGACCGAGACCCGTAATGACCCAACAGCTGCTCAAAGATATTGCTTCTCCTGAACAGTTCCATGTCTGCCGCCGTACGCAGTGAGTCCATGAGGTAATTCAAGTACCAGTCTACCTGCTTATGGTACGTGCCATCATCGTCTGACTCGCTGGCGACAATGCGATGCCAGAAATGGCGCAGCATGTTGTTGGTGTCCCAGGCGGGGGAAGTGGTTAGAAATTTGTTCATCGTACTGAATAAGGAAAGCGTCGGGTCGGCCAATATGCCTACACAACGGGCTGCGAGCACCCCGCCAACGTACGGGAATGCCTCAGAGCCGGTTGGATCGACTGACTCAAGTATCTCGCCAAACAGCAAATATAGTTGCTGCAAGTCGAAATCAATATTGTGAGTTTGCTGTGTTTCAGCACCGTCCGCCTGTTCAAACTTCTTCGGTCCGCTTCCGCCCATCGTCACCATAAGCTGGCGGATGTTGTGGATAGCTTGCAGGCGTATCTCAGTGTGCTCGGAACAGAGGCACAGTAATAGTTCGCCAATATCTCCATCATCAATAGCTTCACTCAAGTCCTTCCTCTTCCATCGTGTGAGGCCTGTATGCTTCTCGTCCTCTTTCGGTGGCGCTTCGAGACTGACTTCATACCTAGCTTTCGCTGGCTGTTCAGGTTCGTCGGCAGGTACTGGAGATGTCGAGGATCTTTCCGAGCCACTGAAATCTGCGCCAGTTGCTAGCTTGAGAGCCTCCTTAGCTCTCTCCTTGCTCATTTTCCAAAGGAAAGAGTCCTTCAATACATCTTGGTATGCTTGGTTCGCTGACTCAACCAAGGCGTCGCGTACTATAGTTAGGATCGTCTCATCTTCACCTATTAGCTTGAGGAGGTAGAGAAGTCTCGATAGCCACTGGGAAAGAGGATCGGCCGTGCTGCTTGTTGCGGTTTCGCCACCCTTGAAGGGCCACTGCTCCACTAGCGTTATGAGCAGAGGACTGAAAGGCCCGAGGTCTGTTGTAGCTAGGCAACTGCGCGCACACATGGCATCCAAGTCGTCAAAGTATTTGATGGGAACTTTGATGAAACGTGCGCAACAGTCGTCAAGGAACTCGAGGGCCTCAGCCGAGGGCGTAGAGGACACGGACGAGCCCCCAAGGCTAGCAATTAGAGCGTCCAAGGCATCAGGCGAGGTTTTTGTTTGCAGCATCTCCTGGTCCTGTAAAACGGCACCGAGAAGCGACTTGATGCCCGCGTAAAGCTCATTTTCTTTGGATGATACCAGAAGTTTCAAGAGTGTAACAAATGGTGAGTGTTGAAGGGTTTCTGCAACGTTAGTAACGAACAAATTCTCCATCCTAGTGCATGCTTACTCTGTTTTTGCCACCAACGCATAGCTGGTGATAGCCTTGCCATTTGGATCCAGTGCTCAAGCTCCATAATACGAAGAGCCTTGTCTTCTGGTGCCTCTGTCGGCTTTTCGGCTTCAACCAGCGCGTTACACAGCGGCAAAGACACGTCGAACTTCTCTTGTAGCGCGAGTTGAGGCGTGACTTCATAGTAGAGCCGTAACAATCTTGTTATTGATTCTCTCTTCATGTCTTTCAAGCCAGGCTTCTTGAGTGCCAGAAATATTGTCCTTATCGGCGGACAACGTCTGCTGACTTCAGTTATCAAGCGCTTAGTTGCTTGCTCCCAATGCTTAGATGGTCGGACAACGTTGGCATTGTTGAGCTCCTGGATAAAACTTCGGAGCTTCTGAAGCGTTACTATCAGGACGCGGATTGCAAATATCTGTATGAGGTCAGAGCTGTGGTTCAGACACTTTGTAAGCACCTGTTGGTTCAAAGGTTGCGGTAGAATGCTCTGCATCATGACTGGCACGGGCGGCGGGTGGTCGCGATAGGTTTTCTTTGCACCAAAATACTTGGGAACAGGAATTTGGATAGTCTGATACAGGAACGCGGAGTATCCGATCCATGTTGCCGTGAGCTTGGGGTCGTAACTAAAATCTCGTCGCTTGATGAAATAGTCTGCGACTAATTCAGGGCAAGCCTTGAAGATGTCGATGACTAGTTCTTGATGTAAGGTGTTTGCGTACGGTCTTTGACTCTGTATGAACTCGGAAAGAATGATGTTGCGCACTCTGCTCGCTTTGTTGTAGTTGTCACTCGCTTCCAAGCCCAAGTCATTTCCAAAGTCTGCTCCATCTTCTATGTCACCCTCGTTGTCCTCGAATGTGGAAGGATAGAAGCCATTTGTAGGCAACATGACGCCGTACCCTGGATCGGTGCAGACCAGGCGCAGAAAACTGTGGGCGAGCTCATCAGGTGCCTTTTGCCCTTCCGAAAGGGATCCGTCTTCCACTTCGTAGCTGTACAGACTAGCGATGCGCGAGAGGGCTTTGCCGTTCAAGATCCGACTTTTGGTGTGTCGCGCGATAGTCTTGTCTTGCAAAACATGGCTCTTGAAGACATCCAGTATCTCGTAGATCAGGAAAGCCGGGTCTGTTCGGAGATGATCGAAGACGGCTCGTACGATGTTTGTGTTTGAGAGGATCTCGCTCTTGGCACGTTCATCTTGGTACCTCAGGTGCGTCAGGAGATACCTGATGGCTGTTGTCCGAATACTTGGTTTCTTAACGTGATCGACGGCTGACTGCTCTTTGCCTAGCGAGATGTTCCGACCCAGTATCTTTGGCTCGAGCGTAAAATCTCTTTTCGCGTATACAGCCCTGGCATGTGCGCCCTCGTTGAACTTGGTGAGCTCGTTGAGCAGGCGCAGCGCAGGTGCAATTACATTCTCTTTATTCGATGCCGCGGAGGTGCTGCGCACAAGACGGCGAGCGACGGACGGCTGCAGGATCGTCCTCGCCAACAGGTGGCCGTACTCGAGAAACTCGGCCTGGCTTGCGAGCACCTTGAAAAGGAGGGCAAGCACAGCGGTGACCTGCGAAAGAATCGGCTCGAAGTTGGTCTCGGCCGCATAGTCCCATGCTTGAGTGATATTCTGCAAAAACTGCCTGTCCTTCTCATCCCTCCCTCTTCCTTTCTGGGTGTCGAGGTATTCGCGGAGGATGGCTCGCTTGCGGGGCAGATGGTGCTCGTCTGCTGAATAGAGGATAGAGTCAAGGAACCGCTTGAACAAGCTTAGACCTAGACGGATTAGCTAGAGAAGGTGTGAGGGCGCAATAGAGACGTACCGCTTCGAAAGTCTGCGGTTGAGCCTTGATCAAACAGCAGCGCATTCTGCAAATCGCGCGCAGTGGTTACTTCCTCCGCAGTGCCATTTGGCCGTGGTGAGTCGCGCTCCTGGCTGCCGTGGATCCTTTGGCGCTTCGAGTCGCGCTCAGAATGCGCACGCTTCGTATTGGCCTCGAAAGCCGTCCTCTTCCCCATGGCTTAGAGCATGCTGCGACTACCGTTCGCGAAGAGCTCGAAAAGTTGGAGCCGCCTCGAACTTTTCGACAGGGGCCAGCCCCGCTAGCACAAAGAAGGAAAGGCGCCCCAGAATCGACCCGCGGACGTCACTTGCACCCTTCAGCCCGTCAAACTTCTCTCACTTTATGAATTCCATCTTCCTTGTACTTTTCGTATCATTCTGCCTAGAATCCTTCTCATACATCACTGTTCCTAGATCATCTCTACGATTTGTCTAAATTTCTACACAGATTAGGACTTCAATGTCATTGCTTCTCTCCCTTCGATACCCTCCTCTTCACTACCCTTTAAATCATGGCTAGCACATTATTCTTTGCTTAATTCAAGTTCTTCTCTGTACTCATCAGCTAATCCTTCTCCTTACATTCCACGTTGGGTTCTTCTCTTGATACTGTGGCTGCTACACTCCAAGAGATCAAGCTTCAGCCCTCTATACACATTCCAACCACGCTCAAATCTGTTCCTTCATGTGTTCCTTGAAAGCTCTAGGTTTTACGCGCACAGGACTTCAAGGGCTGCTAAAACTGCTGTTCATCACCATCAAACAAGCTAGTGCGACGGACATCTACTCACGAACACTAGGAGCGCTACCTATTTTGACTTGCCCTTATAGGCTGAGGCCATGCATCTATCGCTCTACAGAAAAGTAGCGAAGACTTGCAGTGAGCATATACTCATCTGTATACCATCAAAGCAGGTGACACGCGCCTAGTTCCCAGTTCAATACCACCTTCACCAACCCCACCTCCTAACCTCGACGCTAAAAACATCAATAAGATCAAAAACAAGCGATCGTCAACAGTACAGCTCGAACCTACGCATTTCACTAACCCGGCAAAGTGGCCGCGATTAGGCCAAAAAAACCTAAGCACGAGAGGCAAATGCTGGAACCATAAGGCCAGCTGCTTCGAATAGGCGAGAGAGAGCAGGCGGACTCTTGGGAAACGGGTGTTTTATTCGGCAGTCTCTCAACGCAAACCCATTCATTCACCCAACTTTTCTCTACTTTTGATAAGAGCTTAGGGAAATATAGTCATTAAATAGGCACAGCAAAGGCTAGTACTACATGTGTATGTAAATGAAGGTATTGTTATTGACGCGCAGTGCGTGAGGTGAAGGTGGGTGAAGACGCCGACGCTCTCGCGGGATCTTGCCTGCGACGAGAGCTTCTTTCACCTGCCATTCTCAGATTCTGGTAAATGTTCCAACACAGGTCCCGACGAGCGCTTCGTCGCTCGCGTCTCCGAGTATTAGCACCGAGCAAGCTTGGTGCTTCAAAAGACTCCAGGCTAAGCAAGGAGAATAGTAGTAAGATAAGATTTGAACAACCGGTTTTCGAGCTTTCGAGCAAATGTGGCGCATGAATGAAACAAGTGTAAGGGAATAGAAGGGCTAGGGTTGACAGCTTCGCAACGGCGTTCCACTGTTGTCAGAGTTTCTGATAGAAGCGCACAAAAGGCGGATTCTTAGCCTAAACAATAGAAATATAAAGCCTACTTGATCGTTTCGTTGAAGGGTCTCTAAAAGTTCAAAGTAATTGCTTGTTGGCAAATGAAATCCGCCAAAGGCTGTTAATAAACGCTGTAGATGCTTCCCAATTTTGCTCACACAGAAATACCCTTGCCTGCGTTCGGGGCTCACTGTTTCTTTTGGAATCACTACCACATGTCAACCTTGCAAATAAGGCGGTGGCCTTTCTCCTCTCTCATAAACCGGGACTGGATCTCTCATCTCCTCATCACTACCACCTTGCGGTATGACGCAATCACTCACATCGACAAACAATGCCACTTTGATAGAGCCTTTCATCATGACCCTTTCTACTCTGCCCATCCGCCCTATGTTCTTGCTAATCGCCTTGCTCATAGCATGGACGAGATGCTCTTTCCTCAATGCCTCATGGAAGTGAAACTCCAGGGTGACTTTGTCCGCGATCAGAATGTCGGGGTTCGACCAAGGGGGTAATGTCGCATTCGATGTATGTACTACTGCATGTAGGAGGCGCATGTACTTGCTGATGAGACCCAGTAGACTTGACGTCGTGGGACGCGAATCGATTTTAGACTTATCATTGAACTGGCCAGCCGAAGTCGATGCAAGGAAATATCTGGGTATCTCGCAACCGCACTCACCGAACGCAGCGATGCCGTCCACGAAATCCTGGACGAAATTTGATGCTCGTTCAATTCTGCGCTCTTCATGCGATAGCTCTTCGCCCGTCGGTCGCATTGTCGGAACTTGATCCCCACTCTCGCGCTCCTGTGTCGTCCTACTAATTACCTCACGTGCCCAGATTTCCATGAGCTCGACTCTCCACTTAGTGCCATTCATAGCCCTCTCCCGAATCCTTATCTCGGCGATGTACTTCGACTCGCGGGGGTGGCAGTCAACACGATATCCCCAACCGCGGAAGTCTCGTGCTATAAAGGCAATGACAGTAAGGAAAGGACGGGTGCAGCTTGATGTATGGATGAGGTAGTACATTTTTGTGACTATACAAACTTTGTTCAAGCTTGCAAGTTCTGGTCTGTAGACAAAGATTGTGGCACTATACTTGCGGCAGTTTACCCTTTTCTGAGCCTCTATATACAGACAGTGGCCCGAGGTGACCGCAATTTTCGAGTTGCATCGTCTGCGCCAGCGTATCTCTGGTTCACAGTTAGGTGAAGGGGTGAGGCTCTTCACGTCACTGCTGAATCCATATTTGGCCACAGCGAATGTCTGCAAACCCAAAATGGCTTCCTCTATGGATAGGCAAGGAAGAATCGACCGTTTTGTACAGGGTGCAACTGACTTGAACATAATTAGCAAACTCGCTATCTCACGTCATTCAAATTGACCTCTGGTTGAAGTCTTAGTTTACATTTTTGCGCTCAACTGTCACCCGTATAGGGAATGACACCGTTTTAGCTCTGAAAACTAGACGGATTGTGAAGCCTCACAGCTAGCTAAAATCTATTGTCTACCTCGAAAAGAAGAAACATTTCTTGTGTGCGGTCGAACATTGAAAGTGGTATCATTTACAAATGTATCGTTTGTGAATGAGGAAGGCACTCGAAAAATTCACCATCTTCCCATTAGTAAATAGAAAGACTTCGACCACACATGGAGCTATCACTCCTCGGCGATGTACTCTGAGAGTAGGGTGACTAAAAGCGTATTCTGAAGAGAACCTTATTGCTCGGGGGTCCCATTGTAGAGGAACTGTATATTTGGCCTAGATAAGCATGGACCCTTTCTCGTAAGTTCAAGCAGCAAGCATTGCAGCATTATGTCCAAATATCAAGCTTTCAGACCCTCAACCAAGGAGGAAGATTAGAATGAGAACAATGTTAACCCATTTCCATTTCCATTCGCATTAAAGATTTGGTATCTCGCGTAAAGAGCGTTGGTATCTTACCCATACATGCTGCAAAAAAGCGCCGGTTCCCTAGGATAGTATCCTCTATATCAAACTCCACATTTCCATCGCGGCTTCTATCTTTTTTCTTTCGTATACATCCATAGCAATATTATTACATCTTCACAACGCCATGAGCGTCATGTATCGACCAAACAGACAACAGCGTTACCATCGCAAAGCGATGTTGCAGCGCGTCGAGGTCAAGGATTAGAGGTCCGCGCTCTTAGGGTTCACCAAATAGATATCCGGTACCTTTGGCACCTGTGGGCTCTTCTGCAAGGCCAGCTTAATCGCCTCCCTTGTCTTCACTCCATCCTTCGCGTCGCCACCTCCACCCGTCAGCCTCCTCATACCGCTTCGAAATCTACTCCTGGTGTCGTGCGCCGCAGGCTTGATGACGGTCTCAAACCCAAACGACTTGTCCGCGCTATTGTTGCGTCCAGAAACATACTCGTCATCGGAAAAGGGCTCACCATGCTCATCGAGGGCGGTGCTGGAAAGCGAGGGCGACACGCGCTGCATTTGATTGGGAGCGGAGGGCGAGGTTACGGACCGGGAATGGAGGCCTGGGCGACCTGCTATGTTGCTTGTTGGTGGGAGGGCGGTTGTCGAGGAGGCGAAGGAGCTGAATGCTCCTGGTGTCATTACGCCAGGGTCTCGAGCTGGCGAGACTTTTGGGTCCGAGATGAAGCCAGATTGGAACGAGGTCACGCTGGCATTTCGCGTTAGCGACTTGTGTAGAATTGGTGCTGTGTGCTGGTCGTAGAGATTTTCTCGCATGTCGTGCGCGTAGGGCCCGTTCATGTAACGTCCAGAGGAGCTGAAGTTCGGTAGATCAGTCAGTGTCTCAGCGTCATCATCGTCTTCGAAGAAGTCATCCAGGCTATCGAGCTTCATGACTAGCTCCCCAATATGACTGTCACCGCGGGTGTCCTCAGACGTCATGGTAGCTGTTCGATAGTCTGATAGCGGGCTAAAAGGAAATTCTTCGTGTCGAAACTCAATTTTTGGTGTTTCTGTGTCCGGCGCCTCGCCGTCATCCAGGTTTCCGCATGTGTAGAAAACAGCGTGCACATTGGCTCTTGTCAGATGCGAGTGGTGAGCAGGCATCGGTATCGACCAGCCGCTTTCTTCAGGAATGCCATACAGCGACTGCGTCTTCTCGAACTGCTTTTTGTACCCTCTAGTTGAATGAGATCCTGCCATGCTCATACGCATGTGTTGCTTTTCAAAAGGCGTAGGTGTGCTGCCTGTCATATTTAGATTGATGACAAAATCTAGAACTCGCAGAGCCTGCGGGCAGAACTCGCTTTGTAGCAACCGTAGTAGAGGCGAGATGAGATCGGGTCCCTTGTAGGCTATCTCCGGCTTTCGCATATCGATCTCGGGTAACAGCACATAGAGCACTTCCATCGTGTTGATCTTTACCCAAGCATTCTTGTTCGTCAACAGACTGAGCAGGAACACAAGACTTCCGAACTCAAGGTCCGGGAAGAACGCTGATCGGATGGCGGTCATTGTTTGCGCGAGGAAGTCTTTCTCTTGACGATATCTCTTCATTGCAAGGGCTGTCAAGGCATCTGCAAGCGCAGTACACTGGTACTGCTCTCCCGCGACGCGTGCGAGTACCTCGGCGCTGGTCCTTATACTGGGGTCCTTTGTTGCTGGATCAAACGATCGAAGAAATCTTGGCAAGTTTGCGAGGATGGTGTACACGAGCCGACTGTCATCGCCTACTATACGACTAGAAGGCAGAATGACCAGTCTCTCAAGGATTCGTAGCGATCGGTCTAAGCATACGCTCGAACGGATGCCTTTGTAAGTCAGTTGGGCGAGGCCTTCGAACTTGCCTTCCCATTTATCCGGGCAGCTGTCTTCCAAAATTTGTAAGACATCAGGGTCACCGAGGTCCAGCTTGTCTAGAAACTTGTCTAGCATGAGAAGACTTTCCATGAACTCGCCTTCATGTATGGTGTCCAAGCAAGCACAAGTTGTCCAAAATAGCTGAGGATATTGAATGAGATCCTCCGGCGCAAGCGCTTCGATGATTGCTCTCAGCGTCGTCAGAATCTCCATCGAGAAGGTCTGAATGTCGCTTTCTTCATCCGAGATGGTGTTTGATAATCTCGCAAGCATATCTGACAACATCTGCTGATCGAGAGAGCTAAGGACGCACCGAAAGAGCTGGAATGACCGGCATGCTAGATGACGAACGGGACACGATGTGGCCCAGTTCAGCGCTACTCTCCCCCATGCTTCTCTCAGCCCAGGGTAGGCAAGTGAAAAGAACTTCAGCACCTCGCTGGAGACGTACTCCATCGATTCTGGCACCTTTGAGCTAGGGTCTTCTGCGTCTTTGCCATTCTTATCATCATAACTCCATACAACCTTCGCATCGTGTTGTCGAACACTCTCAACAAAGTCTTCAATGGATCTCTTATCGATGCTTGAGGTGTGATCTTCAATCTTGGAAATGACTAGTTCATGGATAAGATGTACAAGCATCTCTCTGGCCTGGTCTTGAACCACAGGCGTGTAATGATCCCAAAGCACAAGAATGACTTGTAGTAGTAGCGGGATGTGCTCGTTAGCAACCTGAACAGGAGAAACCATGAGATCAACGAGTAGGATCAGACAGATCTGTCCCAAGGCAAAACCGGACTGGAACTGTTAGCTTCAATTCCTGACTTCTGCGGTTCATCTATGCTTACCTGCTTGTTGCTGCTTGGGAGCAGAGCGCCAAGGTCAGCAAGATATGGAAGGTTGACAGCGTCCGGTGGAGGCGGTATTGGCTCGCGCTTTTCGCTGACCATAGACCGTGGGTTGATTTGCATGAGTAGAAACTCCACCACTTTAAGCCCAGCTGGCGTACTGGACAGGTGGACTACAATCTGTTTCGAAAAGTCGACGTAGTTCTGCTCCCGCTTATCTAGGCAGAGGTTGATGATAAAGTTCAAGATTAGCTGGACGTTACCACCGTATGGTCCCGTTGCCAGTGCTTGCCAAAGAGCTTGTATCTCGTTATGCAAAGCATTCCCGCTGCGAACCGTGATCTCGAAGAGATTCACAAGAAGCATGTAAGAATTGGCGGTCGGTCCTCCGTCGGGGTTCACTTGGAGTTCGACAGTCTGCACCCAGGGTAACATTGCGGCGACCATGTTTCGCTGGTGGTCAGGCTGTAGCTCTTTGAAGTAGTAAGAGAATTGCGAGAAGACCAGAAACGCGAGTTCCGAGTGTTGTTTGGCAAGCCTGCGTGAGGACTCGAACTGCGCAAGCTTGTAGACGGCGATTGTCTTGTCCGATATGCTAATGTCAAGGTCCTGTAACTTTGAGTTTTTCTGTTCCCTGGCTTCGAGAGTTCTCAACAGCCGAGCTGACTTCATGCGTATTTCACTGTTCTCGTGCCCTAGGGTATACAGCCCTGCACTAACAACTTTCCAGAATGGCAGTGTGTAGTCTTCGCGCTGCGTCAGTACTTGTGTGACCACCTCAAAGTAACTCTCGAGAGCTTTGGCGGATTTAGAGAGATAGCACATCTCAATGGCTCGATCCAACAGATACGGGTGCTCACGGTTATGTAGAATGAGATTCGTTAGAGCTCGGCGGCCGATTGCGTGCGTGCGGTCGCTGGGTGTCTCAAAGATGCTGTCCATCCAGGAGAGCATGCGCCGAACATCAAATTGGAGCAAGACCTTGCTATCTGTCGTGATACTGACGGGTCCACCACATAGTGCCGCCATGGCACTCAGGGCTGCAGTCCGAAGGTCTCGTTTCTCGATCTCGTGGGCCGCCGTTGCAATGCCCTTGTTGCCCATGTCGAGTTCCCGATCCAACATGGAGCGACGCATGTGCTCCTCGCGTTGACGGATTTGAGGTTGATTTGATGAATAGCCACACCACTCCTCCATTAGGGTAAAAGCTGCCTTGCGCGCTTGAAACGGCATCCACTGAAGTGGGTCACTCGTTTTATTTATACCCTCGAACAAGACTTCAACTAAGCCACAATAATGTGTACGAAGCTTTAAGAATTTCCCCTCCATCTGCACTTCAGTGTCACTGAGGAAGATCCTGAGATCCTTGGTGTAGTTCATGAGATTATTCACAATCCACTCATCGTTGTAAGCCTCGGGCAGCTTCAAAAACTGGGACGTCAACTTGTAGACGTGAGTGATTTCGGTCCGAAGATGGTCTGTACGATAGTTGCTGATGCGCGGGCTGCTGATATTCCGATTGTGAGTCCCCAATCGTGTTTTGGCCTCTTCAGCGCATGCTGCCACAATGCCCTGAAGCGATTCAAGTAGCGTACGATACAAATTGAGGTTTACGGATCCGAGACCAACAACAGCGGCGTCTCGTATGGCAGTGTTGTCCACAGACAATAACGGAAGAACCTTGGCAAATAGCTCCGTGGCTGTGTGCAACTTGTTTGCACTTTTTTGCGACGACTTGGAGCTCTTTCTGGAATGTGCCAGTTGACTCTGCGCGGCAGCCAAGGCGCTCGGACCGAGGTTTGTCAATGTCGTAAAGGCAAATATAAGATAGAGCTTCCATTGTTCAACTACGATCTCTGGTGAGGTGGAAGCCAGACGACCGCTAAACTTGCTACTGGTAGGCTCGAATGGCGAATATGGAGTCGCGCGATGGCCTTCGGCAAGCGAGAGTAAGGTCCGATGCATCTGCGAGAGTCTGGCGCATACAATGTCTCGAGTGAGCGTAACAGCGACAACACAAACTTCAAAGCTTATGCGGACTAGATTAGGGAAGATTTTGAACCAAAGTGTCGAGTCATACGGTACATCGCTACTGCAGAGCTCAACGAGCGTGCTTTGCACGTTACTTTTCCGCATTCCACGCTGAAGACGACTTCGTTCAGCAAGAGACAGCTTCTCGTCGCTGATGTCCAAGACTTTTTGGGGGCTCCCTTCCATGACACGAATGACGCGTGTGTTGGAACCGCCCAGTGCTGTATCGAACTCGGTGATTAGGCGCAGGACAGTGACCGCATAAGACCGCACCCGGCGTGAGGGCGAACACAGAAAGAATAGACCATGGGACTCGACCTCATCAACGTGAGCCCAGACTGATGACAGGTCGAGCTGGACGGCTCGATTACCAGATCCATCATCGGGTGTATCTAATGCGGCTTTGCGCGTCTTTTGTTTAATCTCTTCAATCCATATGTGCAGCAACTCCACATAGAGCTTCAACGTACTTTCGATATGACCAGCACCAAGCATGCCCCCATCCGACATGGTTGCGTAGCGGTCGTCGAAATTAAAAATAAATCGAGCGAAGCCGATGGTGACTTGCTGGGCATGTGATTGTCGTGCTATTGACTTGAGCGACTGCGCTGAGGATACAGCGATGTTTCCCTGAACGTGAGCGGTTCCAGTGCACAGTAGGTTGATGAGCGAATTGAAGGGAATGTGCGGAGACAAACAGCGAGGTAGCGCTTGCACAGCGACATGCAGTAGGTGATAGAACCCTTGTCGAGGATCCGTGGAAGGCTGATGATCCTCGCGACGACTGAAACTAAAGGCTTCTGCCATGGGAGTCTTTGGTGTCTGTAGAGAGAATTTCTCATCGAGAACAGCCTGACCCCCGAATGCGTTGTCGCAGATGATGGTAATCTCACCCAGTATCTTGCAGAAGCGGACATAATACTCCTTTGCGACCTCGGCAAATCCACTAAAGTTTACAGGTCGCGAGAGGCGTTCTTCCTTGAGTAAAGAGGACTTTAACGACAAGTGTTGCGCAGGCCGTGGGCTCGTAGGGAGAGCCGGTATATTGGACGAGAGGGCATTTGAATCGTAATCGAACGTGATGGGAAACGGTGGCTGTTGTGCATTCTCCAAGTCCGCCATGATGGCAAGAAATGAACGAATGCCGATCACCATGCGATCCGGCTCCAAGTTTTCAACGCGAAGCTCTCGGCCTGAAGTAAACATATCGGAGTTGAGCAAGGGGAAGATGATGGTTCGGAAGCAAAGGTCCTGGTATTTGAAACCGATGATTCGAGTGAGCTGTATCAATGGTTCGGCAATGGCGGACTCGGTCGAAAGATACGATCGTCTTCCTGGTTGGAATACCATCCGAATGATCTCCTCCAGGCGGCGCACGGCAATGTTGGGCGGTTCGGTCCCTCTTCTGTACAGGTAAGTCCATACCAGCCGGCAGATACCTCGGAGGGCAATAGCTCTAGTTGCGCGTTCTTTGAGTCTTGGCTGTGTCGACAAAGCAAGCGCGAGCCACTGGGATAGGAATATGTCTGTTGGAGAGGCGCACAGTATCGCCGTCATTAGTGGGAATGCTTCATGCCAGTGTTTCGGCTTGCCGAGTAGTATGGCGGCGCGTTGCTTCATCATGTCGATGACGAGTTTCCATCTCGGTGAGCTCAGTTCGGTTGTAGCGTTGGAGGCAATGAGTAGCAGCAGTTCCTTCAACACCTGACAGTAGGCGTACTTGATGGGCTGGCCGTGGGCGGTAGTAAACAACTTTGCTGCAGAAAGCATGAAGTCGCATGTGCGCTCCCATGCATCCTCGGGGTAGGATTTTACCTTTAGATAGCGCAAAGCACGGATAAGCAGGGCCCCTTTGGCTTCATGATCTCGGTTATACTGGCCTTTGATGGACAGGTGACTGTCGGTGACTTTGAGATCTGCGATGAACTTTTCTTGCACTTGCTCAAAGATGAGTCCGCTCAGCACTCCAAGCAATTGGCTGTAGATGGTCCAATTGGCAAGATTGAGCGGCGATATTTCTACCAAGTCGGGGTCTACCGTGCTGAGCTGTCCGTAGAACAAACCCAGGAGACGATCGGCCATCTCGAAGGTGAGATTTTGAAGATCGGTTTGGGTCATGATTTCGATGAGCACGCGGCAGAGAATGTACGTGGAGACGGTGGAGCGCTGTTCCGCCTGGGTGACGGTTTGCTGCAGGACGAGCATGTGCTCAGGGCCAGAGGCTACCGAGGTAGAGGAATTGTCCATGTGGTGGTGTAGCGGCTCTGTGTTTCGACGAGGCAGCATGGGGTGGGGCGTCGAGGTACCTTGACGGGCCTGGAAAGAATCAGCACACACACACACACACACACACACACACACACATGTTGGGCCATGCTGTGGGAGAGGACGTACATTGAGTAGCTGGGTTCGCTGTTTGGACGCCTCCTCGCTTTTGGCTTTCCGCCACAGCATGATGGTGTCTATGAGAGGCTTGGGCCTATGGCGAGCGATATGGCCAAGGGCTGCTATGAGCTGATCAAAGTTGGGGTCGACTCCAGGTCCGCAGACCAGCTCGACCCTAGCCTCGGGCTGGCCTCTGTCTGTCATGCATTGGTTGATCTTCTGTTCGGCCTGGCTGATGAAGGCATTGAACAGGTGGTGTAGGGCATACTCGCCGACCGTCTTGAGCTCGTGGCCCTGCTGGTGGTGCCGTGACTGGGAGCGGTGGTGGACGTGACCCTTTCGAGAAGATCTGGCGCTGGGGGCCCGTTCAGGCTTGCGCTGAGGTAGTGCGGCATCATTGGCCGTGGTGGTGGTGGCAGGCGGTGTTCCGTTGGCCATGAAGGCGTCGGCTATGGACTCCTGCGACATGACGGCTCCATCGAGAGTCGCCCCGGCGGCGGCGATGATTTGGGGGCTCAGCGGGCTGGTGGCGGGCGAGTTGACGAAGCTGGTGTTCCTCGAGTGCTGTATGCCATGGACAATGGACGTATTGCGGTTGTGGGCGTAGGAGCCCGAGGGCTTGCGCTCGAGGGTGCCCAAGGTGCGATCGGGGCTGGAATTGCTGCTGGTGTTGGTGGTGGCGGCGACGACCAGGGCAGGCGTCTGTGAGCGCGGGGATTTTGTGCGTGAGGAAGCCGTCAGGGCGCGACCGCGTGTCTGGCTGGGCTCACGGGAGGCCGACGAGGGGTGGTTGTCTATATGGTGCGACACATTCCCGGCAGCCGGTCGAGCTTGCAGAAGGGGGAAAGCAGCTGCAGGCACAGCGAGCATGGGTCAGCCGGAGAAGAAGACTTGGGAAAGAAGAGAATAGACGGCTACTCACACATGTCATCTTTCTGCGGGCTGTCTGGAGCGGCTCACGATGCGACGTCTGGCATGGATGGCGTTGGTCACTCAATGGATGGTGGTGGATCCTAGCAGCAAGTCGCCAGAGGCCAGGGCGGTTCCTGGATGCTAGCCCCATGTGGTGGCTTATGATGATCAACACCAGCAGCCTGGACTGCATTGCATCTTGTAGGAGTGTACTACGAATTGTATCTTGTAGGAGTGTACTATTGATTGCATATGGTAGGGGAGTGTAGTACGAATGATATCTATAGGAGTATACTATAAATTGCATATGGTAGGAGAGTGTGGTACGAATGATATCTTATAGGAGTGTACTATTTCATAGAGTTTTATATGGACAACGAGATGGGGTATCACAAAATAGACACTAGATAATACAAACCGGTAGATCCCCTCTACCAGTTATAAAAAAACGAAAAGCGTGACAAAATATAGGTATAAGGAGTGTACTATAAATTGCATCTTGTTGTCCATATAACACTTCTAAAAAATATCTTATAGGAGTGTACTATAACTTGGACGTACGCTCACATGCTCACATGCTCACATGGCGTCCAGAGAACGGGCTTCAAACTGGCTTCGAGCTGAGCGCATCTTTGCATCCAATCTCACGTCTACATCCCCGGGCTCCGCCAACGACTCTCTTCGGGTCCGAACGCAGCAGATTTGCCGTTGTGTACATCTATAGAAATAATAAATATATATACATAAGCCTCTTCCTCCGAAAGGCAGTAGCACAATCGACTGTATTTCCACTCTTGCTTTATAACCTACTTATATACACCCACACGTAGTGACTACCTACCTAGTACTCCTTCATCTGCCGTCCCCAAGCAGCGAGCGGAAGGCGGAATTGTAGCCGAGGCTCCGGCTTTGACCGTGAAAAAAAAAGGCACTTGGTTGACAGCATCATCATATATCCCTTTTGGCCACATTGCAGAGCCGGTGCACACGCGGGAGAGGCGACTCCTACCAATACCAAGTAGTAGAAGCGCACTCTTCCTATTACTGGCTGCTGTTCCGCTATCTCTCTCTCTCCGACTGCCCTAGACGGCGGCGATAACAGTGATAATCACACAGCCGACAACGGCCGCCCACCGCCTACCCTACACGCGCCGCCTACCACAGAGTACCGCCGCTTGTCCTCTCCGGGACGACTAAATACCGTGTCCATGTCAGCGCAGCCCCTCCGCCTTAGTATTCCTCTGCCTCTCTCCCCAACGGCCCTCAGCAAAATGGCGCAACTGGACACGCTGGACATTATCGTCCTCGCTGCACTCCTCGTCGGGACCGTCGCCTACTTCACAAAAGGCACCTACTGGGCCGTCTATGGAGACCCCTACGGCAACTCGCTGGCCAACGCCAATGGCGCCGCCAAGGCAGGCAAGTCGCGCAACATACTCGAGAAGATGGACGAGACGGACAAGAACTGCGTCGTCTTCTACGGCAGCCAGACGGGCACGGCCGAGGACTATGCCTCCCGCCTGTCCAAAGAGGGCCACTCGCGCTTCGGCCTAAAAACAATGGTAGCCGACTTGGAGGAGTACGACTTTGACAATCTGGACAGCTTCCCCGACGACAAGCTCGCCGTATTCGTCCTCGCTACCTACGGCGAGGGCGAGCCCACCGACAACGCCGTCGAGTTCTACGAGTTCCTCGGTTCCGACGACGTCAGCTTCGCCCAAGGTGGTAGCGTCGACGACAAGCCCCTCGGCAACCTCCACTACGTCGCCTTTGGTCTCGGAAACAACACCTATGAACACTACAACTCCATGGTTCGCAATGTGGACAAATACCTGACCAAGCTTGGCGCCACCCGCCTGGGCGCTGCCGGCGAGGGGGACGATGGCGCCGGCACCATGGAGGAAGACTTTCTCGCTTGGAAGGAGCCCATGTGGGCTGCTGTTTCGGACAAGATGGGCTTGGAGGAGCGCGAGGCTGCCTACGAGCCCGTCTTCGACGTCATCGAGAAGCCAGAGCTGTCTGCCGAGGAAGATACGGTTTACCTAGGCGAGCCCAACAAGAACCACCTCGAGGGCACTCAGAAGGGCCCCTACAATGCCAACAACCCCTTCATTGCCCCCATCGTCGAGTCGTCTGAGATATTCACTGCCAAAGACCGCAACTGCCTGCACATGGAAATCAGCATTGCCGGCTCCAACCTGTCGTACACCACCGGAGACCACATCGCCATCTGGCCCAACAACGCTGGCAAGGAGGTCAACCGCTTCTTCAAGGTCCTCGGCAAAGAAGATGAGCGTCATACTGTCATTGTCGTCAAGGGGCTTGATCCCACTGCCAAGGTTCCCTTTCCGTCTCCCACTACATACGATGCCGCTGTCCGCTTCCACGTCGAAATCAATGCCGCTGTGTCTCGACAGCTGGTGTCTGGTATCGCCCAGTTCGCACCAAACGAGGATATCAAGGCGGAAATGGTCAAACTTGGTGGCGACAAGGACTACTTCAAGCAAAACGTGACGGACCGCAACCTCAACCTGGCCCAACTACTTGAGATTGCTGGAAAGGGCGAGACGTGGTCCAAGATCCCCTTTTCCTTCATGTTTGAAAACTTGCTCAAGATTCAGCCCCGCTACTACTCCATCTCCTCCTCTTCTCTCGTCCAAAAGGACAAGATCTCCATCACCGCCGTGGTCGAGTCACTTGAGAAGCCTGGCGCGCCACATATCCTAAAGGGGGTCACGACCAACTATCTCCTTGCCTTGAAGCAGAAGCAGCACGGAGACCCGAACCCAGACCCTCACGGCTTGAACTACGCCATCACCGGACCGCGCAACAAGTACGACGGTATACATGTCCCGGTTCACGTCCGCCACTCAAACTTCAAGCTCCCCTCGGACCCGGCAAAGCCCATCATCATGGTTGGTCCCGGTACGGGTGTTGCTCCTTTCCGCGGTTTCGTCCAAGAACGAGCTGCACAGGCAAAGGCAGGCCAGAACGTCGGAAAGACCGTTCTCTTCTTCGGCTGCAGAAAGCAGTCGGAGGATTTCTTGTACCAGCACGAGTGGAATGTAAGCCACCACTTCCACTCTTTCATCGTAGAACAAGCAGCTAATGTGTAACGCAGGAATACAAGGAGGCTCTTGGCGACAACTTCATAATGCACACCGCCTTCTCACGAGACGGTCCCAAGAAGGTCTATGTCCAGGACAAGATCGGAGAGTGGGGCGAAGAGGTCAATAAGCTTCTCGAGCAAAAGGCGTACTTTTATGTCTGCGGTGACGCCGCGCACATGGCTCGCGAAGTCAACACTCTGCTCGGCAAAATCATCAGCAAGTATAGGAATGTGTCAGAAACCAAGGGCGAGGAGATTGTCAAGGCAATGAGGGCGTCGAATCAGTACCAGGAGGACGTCTGGTCATAATCGAGCCGCCATCTTCACGTACGAGTTTTACACTTTCAGCTCTAGCATTTTCAGGGTAAATCGGAGCGTGCATGGCGTTTTGCCCCGCATGGCGACACTCGCGAAGGGGCTCTTGTTCATTTGATTTCTCAGCGACTTCTGGCTACCGGTTCATAATTTACCCCCTTTTACATATCTCGCAATGTAGATAGCATGTCCGACTGCTCTCTTTTAGGGCGACGAAGACAAAATATAGGGAAACACTAGATGAATATAGCAAGACGTTTACGAGAAGCTTCGCGTATACACTAATGCTGTGGTGGTGTTTGAAACGTCCGCTACGGGTGAGGCCCGAACGCCGATTGGCGGACGTGAGGAGCCGGCGATTCCCGTTGGGATAGCTCTTTTCAAACCTCATCTCTCTTCCTCTGACCTTCTGCTTCTCGCTTCCATCAATATGCCTCCAACACAAACTATGCTCACAAGTTGTGCTATTGATCCACCGACGGTCATCAGAAAACACAAGACCAAATAGGACGTGATGAGCGCTAGTTTCTAGGAACCCTCAATGCTGCCATTCAAACTCTGGATCCGACACGACCAACCTGACCGCTCAAGCCACAACGTAGGCACCACTGTTCTGGTGGACCCTGTTCAATTATTACTGCTAGATTTGCTAGGCGGGAGGAGGTGCGCGTATTGCCTTGAATCATGGGTGCTGAAGCAGAGCACATCTAACCTAACATGCAACACGACTACAACTGTTGACCAACTCAATCGGAACATCTAGGGATCAGGATCAAAAAAACAGAATTTCAAAGCGCCATGGACCCTTGCGAGGCTGGATAAGTGGCTGGGCTGACTCTATCCATGTCTTGTACCACCTCGCAGATGCAAGTGGGCAAGCATCGAACGGTCTGGTCACCTTCCTTTGCCTTCATGGATGGTAGCGACAGGATCCGCAATCCAGGTTTTAGGTTGAGCTGAGTAACCTCACCAAAGTCAAAATGAAGCATGTTGGCGGAGCGTCGACGCAATGAGAAGATGGATGAATCACATGTAGGCGAATGCGACATACAACGCCTGTGCCTACCGACGTACAACCTACATGACCCCTACGGCCATGATAAGCGTGTCATGCGATGGATGGATCGCCAGATAAATTTGAACGCGTATGCCACTTCTACCTCACTGGTAGCTACACTCGCAACATACATGTCTTCTCGCACTCGGCACACGACCTTTGTCCAAGTCGCCACGTCTGTTTCTGCAGGCGAATCACTCTGCGGACAAGTACGGATAGCTGCGTAGCAGAATATGCGACACGGTAACCAATGCGCTTACGCCCACGCAGCACGCGAGGAAGCGGGCAGAGCTCCATTCAGCGAGCTTTGTAGCACTACGATACAACTTTGGAAGCAGCTCTCTCCAAGTAGCTGTTTGCAGGACTTGTAATGGAGACGACATACTAGATTGGTTAGTGTCCACTCTCTTACTTTGGCTTGTGTACCAGTCCGACTCTCTTCTAGAAAAACGATTCGCACCGGACTGTTCTACCTATATACTCGCAGAGGCTCTTGGTCGTACAGCGCGCACTTGCTGCTCCTGTCTCGAATGAGGGTGACGTTTCTCGATTTGCTTTAGGCGGCTGGTTAGCCTGACCAGGTCCGGGGACACGCCCTTGCTTCTGCATTACCGTTGCAGACGCGACGGGGATTATTTTCGCCCATGGCGGGCGTATTCTGGGAGTCGGACTGCTCCTGCAGTCTGTGGCTTGTTTGGAAGCTCCTCGTCGTCGCCTGAGAAGCGTCGTCAACGTCGGCGGGTGGGACATGGCACATGGACCTCGAGAGTCGACTGGATTGCCAAACTAGCGACGGCTGCCACTCGCTGCACTGCGCCGGCTCGTAGCGGGAGTTACAAGTGTGCTGCAGACGCATACAACCGTCAGGCTATTTCAAGCCCTCCACAGGTGGACAGTTGCTGGGGTTATAGGGTCATGGTAGGTGAAGAAGCTGGTTTGTGTACCCTCACTAACTTGCGGCAAGCTAATCCGATGTCAAACAGAGCTATGCGCCTCGGCAAGCCTCGAGAGGGCCGTTGCAAGCAGCCGGGGGGGTTCGACGAAAGGGTGTGGAAGTGAGAAAGTGACAGGTCGACTTCTTGAGCTGCGTGGACGCGTCCCGCCAAGAAACATGACATGGCGTCGCATCGCATTCACATTCACATTCACATTCACATTTGCATCTGCCAGAGAGAGGCGATACATACTGCTCGCGACCTTGTTCAACTTGAAGGGTCTCTTCTCCGGCCGTTGCTCTTCAGCCCTACTGCAAGGGGCGCTGCGGGCTGGGCTGGCCTTCACCTTTGCGGGGAGCCAGCCACTGTAAGTAGAAGCCAAACCGGCCGATGATGGCGCTTCGTCGTCTGGAGTATGCTACACGCCCGTCTTAGAGCGGCATGGCCGCCAACTCTGCGGATGCGGGCAGAGTACACGACGTATGCACCCTCGCAACCTCGACCTTTGCATGCAGCACTGCTCCTACTCCCTCCCCCTCGAGTGGGACAGCGCGCACACTGCAGCTTTCGTCCCCAAGCAAAAATCCGACATTGCTATCTAGAAGAGTCCTTTTCGCAGCATTACTTAGGGTCCCCTGGGTGCGCCCTCGAGCCATCCCGCCCCTCCCTTCATCGCCCGTGTATGTACGTACACTGGACTTCCCCTTCTGGCTGTTGATGCTTGCGTATTCCATGTTAAACACAGTAAGTCTCTTCAGCTCTCTCTCTCTCTCACACACACATACGTGCCCTTTGCCCCATAGCGACTTCCCCCTCGAGGGCGAGGCTGCCATTCCGTCTATACGCGGCTGGAGCTCCTCTCTGCGACCGAGACAACACCACCACGGCTCTTTCCTCATCTGCGACGCCCAGCCGCCGCCTTTCGAGTACAAGCTTTCCCTTTCCCTTTCCCCCCACCCCTCCATCTCTTCCAGTCTCTTCTCTTCACTCTTTCTTCCACCACTTCTTTCTCACCAGTACGCATCAGTGGCACATTCTTTGTAGCTTTTCGCAGGTCAGTCTTGCATCTCTAGGCCACGCATGGATGGATTCTTCGTGTGTCCAGTGAAGACTAACCTACCCGGCAGCTTTGGAGTCACTACCAGTCCCGCACATTGCAAAAGTTTGACATTTACGACCTGGTAAGCCTGCTTTCACCGCCGACATGTGCCGTCTTCCTCTTCACCTCGAACGCCTCATGAGCTCCTCCCCCGAAGCGTTTCCCTTCTCACCATCACCATCACCCATCACCGTTCTACTCCTCCTCACGGCTGTACCCCCGGCCGCTTGAAGATGATGAATCGCTGACTTTGTCCGTCAGAGCAACGTTCTTCTCTGCATCTCAATCGACTCGTCCACTCTACCTTCTCTTGACATCCCCCACTACGACGGTGTATTGCAGGCCCCTAAAGTCCCCGGTCTACCCGCGGTTGTCCTCAGCCTCCCTGTTCCGCCACCAGCTTTGCAGTACTGTCCTAAACCAGTTCTTCGGTCATCGTCACTCTCGAGCTCCCCACAATGGCCACCAACGCCCGCCAGGCTGCCTACGCACCGCCCAATGCAGGATACAAGGGACACAACATGGTCTACAACCAGACCAGTCAGGGCCATGGCTCGGCTCAGTACCTCCCCCGAGGTCTGCCCATGTCCCCCCATGGTGATAGCAACATGCAGGGTCTGACAAACAATATGGCAGCTCTCAACATGCACGCCTCATATGGCTCGTCCGCCACCTCCAAGTCAGCTGGCTCTGCTTTGTCGGGCAACTCCTCCGACTACAGCAACATGCCCATGTCCCAGGGCCAGGGCCTCTGGGTCCCGAACCAGCATGTTCTCGGATCAATGTATCAGGTAATGCCCGGCGGCCAACAACAGACTGGCATGACACCGTCCCCCAACATGTACAGCCATGGTGGTGCATACGTTCCCCAGGCTGCGTACCAGTACGGTCAAGCCGTTGTCGACAACAGCCCTATGCCACCGGCATGGGCTGCTCGCATGTCCTCGGCTGAGATGCCGTCGCTCATGACGCCCCGCCGCGACTCCATCTCCTCCAACGAGAACGATATTCCAGGCACACCATACGGCAGTGGTGGTATGTATCGCTATGGAGCCGGCGCCACCATCATGGATCGTTCCCCGAGCGGCATGTACACGAGCAGTGCTACCCCATCACCATCACAACTGGCACACCCCTATCAGGTCATGGCGCCCATCCCGAAGCAACAGACCATGCCCACATTGCCTCCCCATCTACTGGCTTTAGTGCACCAGGAGCCTCCGATCCCGAGGGCAATCCCAGCTCCTAGCTCTCCGCACAAGCCGCTCGACCGTAGCCTGGAGAACAAGACTGGCGAGACCAACGTGTACATTCGAGGCCTGCTTCCGGAGACTGCAGACGAGATGCTACATTCTTGGGGCAAGCGTTTTGGTGACATCCAGAGCTCCAAGTCTATCATCGACCTGAAGACCAACCTCTGCAAAGGGTACGTCTCGTCTCCTCAATCTTTTTGTTCACCTCACTGACTGTTTGTTTCAGGTTCGGCTTTATCAAATATCACAATTTCGAGGACGCCGAGGATTGCATTCGCGGCTTCCACTATCTTGGATATGAGGTCAGCTTTGCTCGGGTAAGTCAGGTCACTCACTCTGCTCAAAATCTCAGCCGCTAACCCTTCCAGGAATCCTTCTACTCCAAGCTCAAGAAGTTCGCCGACGAGTGCAACACGAATCTTTATGTCTCCAACATCCCCAAGAACATGAACGAACATGTATGCACTGTCTTGTTTATCGGCCTGTAGCATCTCTAACAGTCATTTAGGAACTCGCCTCTATCTTCGCACCTCACAAGGTCTGCTCGAGCAGGATCCTCCGCGACTCTTCTGGTACTGGTCGCGGCGTCGGATTTGCTCGGTAAGTCGGTAGACTTGTACATGTCTGCACCGATGGCTAATATGTTACAGCTTCGAATCTCGCGACATCTGCGACGATGTCATCAAGACATTCAACAACACGCCCGTCTCGAAGCCCGGTGGTGAAGAGCATCTCATCCAGATCCGCTTCTCCGACACACATGAGCAAAAGATGTTAAAGCAGCAGACCGCAGCTGGTCGTGTCTTCCGTGCCGCGGAGTACGAGGTCGGCGTTGCTCAGGCTAGGGCACTGGGCACCCCTGATCGTTACCTCACCATATCCCCGGTGTCGCAGGGAGCCACGAACGAGTTCGAGATGTTCATGCAGCGTGGCTATCGGCAGCCGTGGGCACCCACTGTTCCTTCGACCCTTGGACCCTCACGCCCAAACACGTACCACATGACGCATGGCGGTGCTATCAAGAGCGATGATGGCACGTCTGACAATGGCGTCGATAACAAGACCACCCCCGCTACTCCCGTCAAGGCCGATGACAAGACCATCTCCCCGAACCGACCCTCTAACCGCGACGAGTAAACACACGCCGGCTGCTCGGTCGTTACTGTCGCTATACCTTCGTGTACGCACTATTCTTCATGATCGCTCCTTCAGCATCCACCAGTCGCATCTTCTTGAAGACTTCTTTTGGCATCGATCATATACACCAACAAAATATCTCAGACGAACGGAGCAACGACTGCTGCATTACGAAGTCTTACTATCTCAACGTACAAGTGCACGACCCTCTACAAACCGCTCGTTGCTTCGTCATTCCTTTCTGTCTCTCCTTCTAGTCACCCATTCCATGCCGTCAGCACCCTAATACATGTTCTTGGTACTCGGCACATTGAACATATCCTTCTCGACGATTGCGTCCTCCGCGCCTTTCGATCGTGTTGCTTGGGCGACTTCTCACACTATCTTAGGAGCATCTCTTAGCATCTGGACGGCAGAGTGGATGGAAAATCTTAGTGGATTATGCACAACATCTCTTTCTCATCGATGGCGGGGCAGGTTTCAAAAGCAGGGGCTACGGCCACAGGACTATGGTCGGATTTGTCGTAGTTTCGATAGTTCGTCGTATAATAGATCTTCTTCCGGCTTTAGTTTTTGTTCTCCATGCCTTTCGGCAGTACTCACGTTATGCCTGGTACTCCTATCAGCAATGTCTTATTTTATTTGGAGGGTATGAACTGATGAGTGAGATGCGTCCAAATAGTTCGAGTTATTTTGCATATCCTACTCTTACGTAGAGTTTATCAGGCCATGGGAACAGGGATATGTTAGAGGAGATTGATGTGAACTTGAAGTTGATTTTATTCATAGAGTTTGCCGATTGTTTTTGCCTATATTGATTTTCCATCTACATGCTTACTTCTAATCTACAATCGTTGAAACTTTATGGCGGGCGGTATGGAAACACTCGAGAAGATGTGGGTATCGCTGAAGAAGGGGTAAGAAACTTGAACTTGGAAGCCGGAAAGTGACTAGATGGCCCAGCCAGCTTTCTTTTTCGCGGCTTTGGTGGAGATTGTCGGCCGAGGCGGTGGCTTTATCTCGCTGAGATCGGGCAGTGGATCGTTGTCCCGGATATCGAGGATGGTCATGTAAGAGGCGAGTGTTGATGGCGTTGTCTCTTGATCCACTGGTGCTTCAATGGAGGGAGGGGCGTCTTCTGTGACAGGGCCGCCCTCAAGGGAGACACCGCCTTGATCAATATCATCAACAAGATCCTCATCCACGTCGATACCCTCCTCCCCCTCCTCGTCTGCCTCATCTGCCTCCTCTTCAGCTCCGACTTCTCCAGCATCACCATCAACACCATGTTCCTTCATATATACTTCCAGCTCCTTTGCCATTTTCTTACTGAATCCTGAAGCTTGCACATCCACATCCAGCCTCTTGACAATGATCTTGATGGCGTCCTTGAAGAAAGGCCCAGGCTCATCGCTGGTGAAGCCGAAACGGCGGTCGAAGTAGCGCTTTATGCAGGCAACGTCGCGATCAAAGTAGTACTCGGCGTTGGCATGGTCAATGGACACCATTTGTGGGAAGTCTATGATAGTGGGGATAAGGGACACTGTGTTGTCGCTCTCTTCTCTTTCCTCGACCAAGATGTTGAATTCGTTGAAATCACCGTGGATGAGCCCGTGTTGTGCGAGACGGACTATGAGTGAGAGTAATTCGGCGTAGAGTGTGGATGGGTCGCCCACTTTGGAGATCTGGCGCAGGGGGAAAGCGTCGATGAGCTCCATAACTACAGTGTGCCTGTTCTGGCCAATGGGTTCCGGGACAGGAAAGCCTTCTTGACGCAATGCCTTCATAAATTCATACTCTTTCAGTGCGGCGAGACGTGACATGTACATCCATGACCCACCCTGACGGTTGCGGAGGTAATCGCGGTTCGCTTTGACGGTACGGAAGGAGATGCGACCAAGACGGTGAATCTTCAGGACCAACTGCTTGCCGGTCTCTGATGCGCAGACGAAGATGTCCGACTCCTTGCCTACGCCAATCTGATTGCCTACCGAATAGACCGTCGAAGCTTTGGTATGTGTGTGTAGGGCCAGGTAATCGAGCCCGCCGTAGGTGAGCCTATAGCCGTCGTATTTTGCGTTTTTGACTTTGGCGATGAGGCCAATCTTTGCGAGGTTTGATATGCATTTATGCACACCGGTGCCGGAGCGGATAGCAGCGATTTGCGCAATTAAAGGCGTGGGCACGACTTCATGGTTCCGACTACCCATTTCTGTCTGTCATGGTCTTTTCATCAGCGGGTTAGTCCCCCACTATGAGAAGAAAGAGGCAACACGGGGCGCATACCGCAGTGAGGACGCGCCAGTCGTCCGACATGAGGTAGCGTATGTTCTTGACGTTCAGCTTCATATTGGCGGTATTTTTTGGTCCGAACTGAGCCCAGGGAGAGTGAGGTCGTGTGTTGCAAGCGGGCCGGGCGACTCTTGACACAAATTTGGAAGAGTCGAGAAAGTCAGCGCTCGCGCCCGCTGATCATCGGCGGAACTTTAGGCTTGGCGCCGGGGGACATGTGGTACGCGAACGCAGAGCTGCCTCATCGACAACAATCTGCCCGCTATCACTCTACACCACGCTTTCTCTCCTCCACACCCTCCTATTCTGTCGCACTCGTTCTCTCTTGGTATAGGACGCGGCTCTGACAGCTCCCTCGACTCGGCTTCCCTCCCGCCTCCAGCATACACACTTCGCCGCCTGCCCTAGCTACCTTTTGTAATCAACATGGCGAAGGAAGACGAGAAGAAGCCCACAGCTGCCGACAAGGGCAAGGGCAAGGCTGTCAACGGCGATGCGGCCAAGGCCAAGGACACAAAGGCCGATGGCGAGGATAAGAAGGGCGCCGTTGCGACCACTGGTGGTATGTTTGGCCTGTTGCTGGACAACAGCCGTCGTAGCAGAAGATGGGACTAATCACAAGCTATAGAGGAGCTCAGCGAGGAGGACCAACAATTGAAGAGCGAACTCGATATGCTGGCAGAGCGGATACTGGTAAGTGGCCTATCCGCAGACGCATCCCCGCGACCTGTCCTGACCTCGTTCCTCGCAGGAATCCGACACCAGCCTGTACAAGCCAGCGCTCGAACAAATCAAAGACTTCATCAAGACATCAACGAGCTCTATGACTGCCGTACCGAAGCCGCTCAAGTTCCTCCGGCCACACTACGAGAACTTTGAGAAGGCGTACGCATCATGGCCGGAAGGCGAAACCAAGGTATGCACGACAGCCGCTCTCGAGGAACCATTTATGGATGCTAATGGGCGCAGCAATCTTTTGCTGACATGCTGTCCGTTCTCGGAATGACGTACTCGGACGAAGAGCGCCTCGACTGCCTCAAGTACCGCCTGCACGCGCCATCGACAGATCTCGGCTCGTGGGGACACGAGTACATGCGCCACCTTGCTCTGGAGATTGGGAGAGAATTCCAGAACCGCATGAACGACGATAAATCGACAGACGACGTGACCGACCTGGCCTCGAATCTCGTTCCTTTCTTCCTGAAGCACAATGCCGAGGCTGATGCGGTGGATATCCTGTCCGAGCTGGAGATGATCGATCAGATCGAACAGTACATTGACGAGAACACGTACCCAAGGGTGTGCTTGTACATGGTTGGGTAAGCAGCTAGAAGCCGACACAGATGTGGCTTGTTACTGACATTGCTAGTATCGTCCCGCTTCTCACATACCCGGACAACGACAAATTCCTTCGCACCACCTACCATATCTACCGTAAATACAAGCAGTATACACAGGCAGTGGCACTAGCGATACGGCTGAACGATCGGGAGCTAATCGAGGAGGTCTTCAATTCCACCGAGGACAAGGCCATCAGGAGACAAATGGCCTTCCTCATCGCCCGACAGCGAATATGGTTCGATGTCTCGGACGATGACGATTCAGAGCTCCAGGAGTGTCTCAACAACACGCGGTTACCGGATCACTTCAAAGCCCTCGGAAAGGAGCTCAACATTCTAGATCCGAAGACCCCAGACGATATCTACAAGACACATCTCGAAAGCAGCAGGACAGCCGGTCTCACCAACACGGATTCCGCCAGGCACAATCTTGCTTCAGCTTTTGTCAATGCGTTCGTCAACACTGGCTTCGGCAACGATAAGCTCATGTTGAACTCGGATAGCAAAAGTAGCTGGGTATGGAAGACGAAGGAGGAGGGTATGCTTTCAACTACCGCTTCGCTAGGTATGCTCCTGCTCTGGGACGTCGAGACTGGTCTAGACAAGATCGACCCCTACACCAATGTGGATGACGACATGGTCAAGGCTGGTGCCATGCTTGCTACGGGTATTCTCAACTCGGGAGTGCGTATGGACTCAGATCCTGCCCTAGCCTTACTAGGTGACGAGGACAACCTTGCACACAAGAACCGCAACATCCGCCTCGCTTCGATCATGGGTCTTGGTTTAGCATACGCAGGCTCGAATAAGGAGGAGCTCCTTGAGCACCTTTTGCCTATCGTCAGCGACACAAGCCTCGATATGCAGCTCTCCGCTATGGCAGCGCTATCACTTGGCATGATCTTCGTTGGATCAGCTAATGGTGAGGTTACCGATGCCCTGATGAACACCCTCCTAGACGAGGACCGGACCAAGCAGCTCAAGGACAAATGGACTCGTTTCATGGCCCTTGGCCTCGCACTACTCTTCTTCGGTCAGCAAGAGGAAGTCGATGTCATTCTCGAGACGCTAAAGGCGCTCGACCACCCCATGGCCAAGTCTGCGTCCGTGCTCACAGAAGTCTGCGCGTGGGCAGGTACCGGCGCAGTGCTGAAGATTCAGCAACTACTCCACATTTGCAACGAGCATATTGAAGATGACAGCGAGGAGAAGAAGGGCGATGAGCTTCTTCAGTCATATGCAGTCATTGGCCTGTCATTGGTCGCCATGGGTGAAGATGTAGGCCAGGACATGATCCTCCGTACACTCGGCCACTTGATGCACTACGGCGAGGCCAACATTCGAAAGGCTGTTCCCCTCGCCTTGGGTCTCATCAGCCCTAGCAACCCCCAGATGAAGATTTACGACACCCTCTCAAGATACTCCCACGACAACGATAATGACGTGGCCATCAACGCCATCTTCGCCATGGGTCTCTGCGGCGCCGGAACCAACAATGCCCGCCTTGCACAGCTCCTCCGCCAACTCGCAAGCTACTACCATCGCGATCCCAACGCCCTCTTCATGGTCCGCATCGCCCAAGGTCTTCTGCACGCAGGCAAGGGTACGCTTTCTTTTAATCCCTTCCACACCGATCGTCAAGTCCTTTCCCGCGTCGCAGCCGCAGGGCTTCTCACCGTCCTCGTATCCCTCATCGACGCCAAGTCATTCATTGTTGGCGACTCACATTACCTCCTGTACTTCCTGGCGACCGCCATGTCACCTCGCTTCCTTATCACGTTGGATGAAGAACTCAAGCCTCTCACCGTCAACGTTCGTGTTGGCCAGGCAGTGGACATTGTGGGTCAGGCTGGGCGGCCGAAGACCATTACCGGATGGCAGACGCAGAGTACGCCGGTTTTGCTGGCACATGGCGAGCGGGCGGAACTGGAAGATGAGAAGTATCTTAGCTTGACCAATGTGTTGGAGGGTGTGGTCATTCTTAGAAAGGTAAGCCTGCTACATGTACTTCCCAGCTCCCTGATGACATGCTAACGATATATGACAGAACCCAGAGTGGGAGGACTGAGCGAGTGAAGATTAGCAAGGAAGAAAAGGAATAGTCTACCCTAGCAGAGACGGCATCTGCGTCAGAAGTTTTGGCACTCTAATAGAATTACGGGTATTGTCCGCCCCCCTCGCATCACCGCAGGCTGCGACGGCAGGTACGCCGTTGTATATATAGATGTGCAAGAAGACGACATGAATGAAAGCATTGACACAATAGTCCCCGCGTTCCAGATTCTTGATAGTTATCGGTTGGCTACTCTTCAATCACGACTTTTTAGCCTGGACGCGAGCATTTTGCTGCGACGATGCATGTATTTTTCGTCAGGTCGGACGGGAGAAAAATGGCTACGAGGATATAGAGTGTATGCATAGTGCCCCTCTGATAGATAATGTGTAGGCGGCTGAAGCGCTGGTCGCTAGTCTTGACTTGTTGTAGAATCAGTCTTTCATGGACACAAGATTACACAGCATTCGTTGGTGAGTCGGATGAGAGACAGGAGGAAAGTAAACGCGTGGTGCTGAGCCCCATCATCGGCCCCGTCAGCCAATCAGGCCCTGTATGACGTTTTAGCGCGAAGCTGGGCCGCTGCTTGCAAGTCAACGTTGCGCAACCCCAAAACTTCAACCTCTACGACAGTAAACGACAAGTCTCATCTCCATCTCCCATCCCACCCGCCTCTCTCCAACCTCTCTGGGCGCAAATTCGTCAAACTGCGGTTCCCACACCTCGCCAGTCAATCCGCCATGGATTTCTCCGACATTTTGTGAGTACCGATGTCTGAAGCTCCAAAGGAGCTAGGCAGTCACGATTGTGGGAGGAATTGGGGATCTGAAAGCTAACGGAACATCAGTCGCATGGTGAACTTCGCCGTTGCCGTCTTCGTAGTCCTCGGTGGTATCGCCAAATTGTTCCCGTTCAACGATTTGTGAGTCTACCTTGCGCAAATAGTTCCCTCTATCCACTGCGTCGCATGCAGCCGAGCTTCCCGAGCGCATCGCAGAAGATGTTTCCAAGTCGTGTGACAGGGCAGAATTAGGGGTCTTTCAGCAGGCTGGCTCACAAGAGGTGGTTCGTACGTCAGGGGCAGCTTCCACGGCAGTCACTCCTGCGTCGAAATTTAGCATTATCTTGGGGCTCAGGTTGGCGCTTTCGCAACGCAATTTGCGGGCGTACTGTGATCGACGAGAAAAATATATATGCGGGATTGCGAAAGAGGATGAAGGAGACCTCAGATGGGGCTATTCTTCCGGAAATGTCGCCTCAATGTGTGCGAACAGCGCTGACAATAATCCTAGCTCGCATATCATTCTAGGTGTATACCTGATCATTTTCGGTCTTGGTAAGTATCAACCGTGCAAATGCGCGTTGGCAAGTCACTAACTTGGGCAACAGGCACTGCTCTATTAGGTTCGTAGACCATTCGCTATCTTTGGTGTGCTTGAGACAACTAACACACTGTAATAGAGTTCCAAATTCCGCAGCAGGTGTCTCGATATGCCTCGTTCATGTTCTCCTTCCTCGGTCGTGGTATCTGTAAGTTGGCACAATATTTGGTCCCTAATATATACTAACTAGCATAGTCTACGTGTTTATTGGATCCGTGATCGTGGGCGAGCGCTGGTTCCGCATTGTGCCAGGTACTATCGTTGGCATCGTTGGTCTTGGCTACGCCGTTCTGGAGTACATTCCTTCGATCGAGCCTCCAGCAAACATGCGGTAAGTTTTACTCGTCTCAGCTCGCTCTGTTGATGACGATGATGAAACTGACAGTAGATTACAGTGACGCTGACGCTGGCTGGGGTGCGGAGCAAGTGTAAAGCCACATGGGACGAATCCGAGGATGGCGGTTGAAAGAATCCTCGCGCGCCATCTATTACTTGACATTTCAGCTTTGGCAAAAAATCCGTCGTGCGCGTTTCATGTACTAAACTAGGTGTTGCAAGGTATAGGCCGGTCTGGCCCTCTGAGTCGTATCGATATCGACACAGTTATGACGTGTGTTTTGTGTTGGGATAGAATCGACGGGGATGTATTGGAAATAGCTCCAGGGAAATTGGTTATGAGCGTAGACAGCGGAGCCATTGGCTTTCGGGGCTGCAGATTAATGTATGATATTCAATTGTCCGTTGGCGTAGATGAACAAGGCTGGAATTGTCTGCACGTGTTCGCTTGACTCCTAGTGTCCGCAGTGCATGAAGCGGATACAGACTACCGCAGTCCACGCGTCGTAGGAGCGGCCATGCAATACGAATCGGTACATGAGGCGAGCCGGACCAAGTTCCGCTGACAGGATCTCCAGAGCATGATGCGTGTGGTGTGTGTGGGCTGGCCGGTTGATAGGCCTGGGACGTTGTTTTCTTTTGCCGTCGCCGCTGGAGTTCCAGGGGGGTTCCAGGTTCTGTTTGGCCTGACAGAGAGCCTGTCTAACTGCTTCCGTGTGCGTCGACGTTGCATGCACAACTGAAGGCCGGAAATTGTTGGCCGTCTTGAAATTTCGTGGTTGTTCATGGTCGGGCCTTGACCGACTTCATCAGGGCCTGGGGGCACGCTAAGTGACCAGCTTAGAATATCAGGGTTCCCATTGGCCACGCACGGGCATTCACCGCCTGACGCTTTCCAACCCTACCGACAAAGGCCACTCTAGCAAACGATTTGCGCCGCGTTATGACGAAGAGGATCCCCATGCCGTCTGGCGACCTCCCTTGCTGACCCGAGCTGCCATCAAAAACATTTTGTCCATCCATCAGTGTGCCACACACCACACGAACAATCCGTGTACCGATCCCTAGGGCCCGCACATTACACCGACTTGCGTTGGCGTCTCCCCCCTTGGCGTGTACCTTGGACTGCTGCTCGGTTATCAGATCAAGCGGATCTCAGATTGGTGCCCCCCCCCCCGTGTTTGGAACCATCCTCCCTATCGAGTCCAAGACGACGGATCTGCGCCTTTTCCTGTCAGCAGCACTGCCCTGTCACATCCGCCGCTGCCGTCTCCCTACTTCATCTCTCCTTCAGTCGCGCCCTCGACAACTCCATGGCGCATGCTTCAGCCAGCGGAGGCACCTCGCTGGCTCCAACGCCCACTTACCCCCATCACCTTTCCCGAGAATCAAGTAATAACGACCTGGAAATGGCCGAAAGCCTCCGGCGCCTGAACCCGGCACACGAGGCTCATGTATCGAAAACCCCAACCCCTTCACGTGAACAGCCGCCTGCCACGCCTCAGGACGACGCCCGGTCCGAGATCTACCACTCCCTGGAGGATGCGGTGCCCATCTCAACAGGACCACCAACCGCGGCATCGTTGTCTTTTCCGCCTAGGAGCGAAGGAGGGGCAAATGCGCCCGTTGCTGGCCAAGTCTGTAGGTATGTTAAACCCAAACTTCTACCTAGGCTCACCACTGGATGTTCAGGTTGCAGTTGGCCCCACGTACGCAGAGATTGTGCTAACCATGACAAAGCAACTGCAAAACGACTCAGACGCCGCTATGGCGCCGATCTCCAAATGGGGAGACAGTATGCAATGCTTGTGGTCTCTATATGAAGGCCCGAAACCAATCTCGGCCAGTGAACCTAAAACGCAACACTCAGCCGCTACCGATTGTATCTGTACAGCAAACCCCACCGCCTTGTCAGAGTGATAATAGCGGCACATCTCCCGGCAACCTTGCTGCATCGCCACGAGTCGCAAACTATGTCGCTGCAGACCAGATGACGGTCGGGACGTGTCCTGGTGGGGGTAGGTGTAATGGTACTGGTGGTCAGCAAGGCTGCAGTGGGTGTCCTGCGTTTAACAACCGCGTCTCGAAAACAGCCAAGTTTGCTTTGGCTCAAGCACATGCTACGACCAGGGATTCTGGGGGTGGAAACAGCACAGCTGCTAGCCCATCATCAGCATCGGCTTCGGCGAGCGCGATCCCAGCTTGCCAAAACTGCGGCACCACTATCACGCCGCTGTGGAGAAGAGGTGATGCTGGTCACATCATTTGCAATGCGTGTGGTACGTTGACAATGTTTCTCACCTACATGTGACACTTACCATCCACCGTTTCGGACGCTGACTGACTCACTCCTTCAGGGTTATACTTCAAACTCCATGGCACACATCGCCCGGTTGCCATGAAGAAGAAAGAGATCAAGCGCCGGAAGCGAGTCGTACCTGCGGGTGACGCCTCTCAAGCTCCACTGTCTGTTGCAGATTACTCGCCACCACAACGTGTTACACAGACTCCCTCATTTGAGCACTCTGTCTCCCCAGATCCCTCGACTGTCATTGAATCTCGGGAGGCCTATACCCCAGAGCCACGGGGGCCACTTGCTGTCGACTTTACACACTACTACGGCAGCGCCACATCTACATCAAACCTCACAGAACCGCGGACCTCATCTACCATACAAGCCCGCGCCCCATCACCCAGGAAACGCAGTCGAAGTGCAACAATGGACACTGAGGAAGTGCCTTCGGCTCCTACTAACCCGGCCCCGCATCGTCCGAACGCGATATCATCGATCTTGAATCCTACCCAGGCTGAGGATGCCAACATCGACCCAACGCTTTCGGTGCCGTTACGGCCAAGCGGAAGACCGTCACCAAATCCAGGAATGTCGCAGGAAGATAAGGTGGCTAGAAGAGAACGGCTGAGACGTGAAGCTGAGGTTATGAGGCAAGAATTAGAGAAAAGGCAAAAAGAGTTGGACGAATTGGAAAATGATTGAGGAGTTTAGGCGCATGCTAGGTTGACGACAAAAGCTTGACGGACAAAATGTGCTTTTTCGGGGTGTCTCAAAAGCAATTCATAACGATAAAGTGTCGAGCGAATCTCCGTTTATGTTTTCCGGGAATTACAACGCGGTACGAGTACGAATATAGCGGGTGGCACCTCTGCCTGAAATCAGGTCTCATTGGCGTCAAAGAATAGGTCCTGGCCGAGTGCTTTTCAAAGCATTCTCATAACGAGCATCCGGTCTTGGTATGATCTCTATACTAAATTCCTTGGCCCGACCCAAAACGACGAAGAAAGTAACGATTATGACGGCAGCATTCCAATCACACTATACGTAGGAAAACACGTTTTCGGGAACAGTTCGAAAACGTCTTGTGTCCTCCGAATCCAACAGTTACCAAACAAACAAACCTTGCTGACGTTACGCTGCCTTTCCTCTTTATTTCTGCAACGTTTTCTCTCATAAATTTCCGAGCGTCTCTTCTGTGCGTTCAGTTGCCGTGTACCGTGATGTTACGTGTGCGCAGTATGAGAGCCTCTTGGACAAAAGTGTCACGTTGAACCAGGTTGTCAATCGGAGCACAAAAGGGCGCAAAGAAGGTTAGTCATCACACATTTTCCCGCGTTGACAGGTGCTTTATTCAAGTGAAAGGTCTAATAATCGAGTCAACCTTGGTTAGATACGCGACTTCATAAGAATTTCACGAATCCAAACCCAAGGCGTGATTCCTACACGGGTGAATCAGCGTCATAGTACTCTAGATTACTTACTTTCACACTTTTGTGCATTTCTGAAATCATTTATTGTACCTCCCCTCGCCTCTCTGCTTCTCATAAATATCATTTTATACAATATAGAACCTCTGTTCAACTAAAAGGCCTCTCAACCATGGCTTACATCATCCGGATACCACTCTTTTATCAATCCTCATCCTATCCCTTCCCCACATCCTCCGACTTCCCTACTACAACAGCAACCTACATCGCCCTGGCCAGCGGCCCACCCGACGCCCAAGCTATCTTCAACGACTGCAAAGCATGGGGCTGGAAAGTTGAACACCGCCACTTGAACTCGCCCAAGGCGAATGAGTGGTGGGAAGCGTACAACAAGAGCGCCATAAAGAAGCAGTGGAACGAAGATCTCTGGCGGATATGGCAACGCGAACACGGTGTTAGAATTCTGCAGGAAGACGCGAAGATGAAGGGGGACCAGGCGAAGAGTATGAGTAGCATGCAACTAGCATTCCACGGGCTCAAGGAGGCGGGCAGGTGGGTGAAGAGGAACACGCTAGCGCGAGAGAGTACGGAGTGGGAGTTGAGGAGACTCGAGATGGCGATAAGGCGGGCGAGTGAAGCGTCTCGTAGGCTAACGGTTTCGGGGTCGAATCCACAAGCTCAAGCGTCTACGACATCGCTCTCTGGATCCGTGGTCGAGAGACTTGAGGGCATGAGAGTACAGAGGGGAGTGGGTGAGTCTAGCTCTGGCGAAGCTGGTAGGTTGGAGGTTTAGAACACCCTGTATAGAACTTCAGTTTTCTGATCCGAACTGAAACGCACGGGAAGAGCGGTACACTTTGGTATACACAAATTTCAATACTTACGTTGATGCTTTTCTTCTTTATTCAGTCCTGCGTTACGTCCCTGCTCTCCTATCTACCGAAGCTCATTGTCTGTCATCTTCCTTTCCTTTGCTTCACGCACGGCAATCTTCGCTTTGCTTCTCTTTTCCTCCCTAACCTCATCCGTCAAGTCCCTGTGGTTCACTCTAACATCCCATCGCTCCGGCCACTCAATCTTCCCCAATTGTTCTGCAAAAGCCACGCTCCGATGATGGCCGCTTCCACATAGACACCCCACTCTCAAAACTGCCGCGTCATCTTCCCCTTTTGCTCGTGCTTTCCGGGAATCCATAAGCTTTCTGATCTCTTCCTCTGCACGTTTGAGTAGATCGTGAAATTCATCCCGGCTCATGAGTTCGTCTTGCAGTTTGTCATCCAGTCCGGTGTGCACCAGGCGTACTTGTCGCGGCGGAATCTTGGTCAGGCGGCAGTCGTATTCCAAGTCGGGTTTTGGATCTGGGGGTGTAAATCGGTCATAAGATGTTATTTGGAGTGTTGGCTGGTGTTGCTGAGGGTTGGAGGACTCTGAGTTTTCGTTGTCGTCATCGTTTGATGGAACTTCCTTCGCCGGAGCGACGAGAAAGGTTTCAGCTTTCGATTTGATAGTAGATAATACAGACATGGCACGATATCCTAGCGATTCGAGAGGAATATCTTGTATAGTGCGTCAATCTCTTGCATGTGGTGTGAAGAGGGTGAAGTGATCTGTTGCTGATTGGTTCTTGATGGAGCAAAGCCGAAAAATGGGATGATTGACAAGGAATATTCCATAAATCTCCTTTACGAATGTGTAATTTACACAAATCTATTCTCTTCTCTCTGGAACTTCTGGGTCGTGGGCGCGATGGGAGAGTTTTGGTTCTAAGATCTCATTGGTGGATCTAGCAGTATGACGATGGTGGTACGTCTCAAAACGTGGAACTTCACTAGATTACGTCAATCCCAGCATCGCTGGTGCACCTCGATTGCTTTCGTTATTGTAGATAAAATGTCTGGGTTTGTTCGTGTTGTTCTACCAATTGCATGACTGTCTCTAAAAATACTTACACTGATATTTACATATAATAGGACTTGGATATGAATGCCCAACTAACCCTAACACTCCACGCTAGACCCTCCTAAGACGTAGTCTTCTTTTCTGTCCTCCTACAAAATTTCGCGTGCTGCCAACTGTAGTTGCGAAAGAATAGCATTACCAGAGTCGGTCATCACGATGGTGTCGCTGCCTCACGTGCTAGAAAGTCCAACATCATTTGTAGGACTCAGTTCCATTTCGTCCCGTAACCTCATTACCTCTTCAAATCGGCTCTCTCAAGGGGATATATGCTGTGCTTCGAGATCTCTCCTGTTTCCTCTCCAACCCCACGCTACTCTTTCCATTGTCTTGTCTTCATCCTTGCCTGGCCACATTACTTCCCCAAGGTAGACAGCACGAACGCAGAAGGCCGCCGTAATAAACCACATGATGACCAATAACATCGTCAAAGCACTAGCTATGCCGTTTAAGGCCTCGCTATGTAACACTTCTGCAGCTTGTATGGTCGCGAGAGTAAGGCCAGCATTGGGAAAGATAAAAGCCCACCAATTCAGCGAGAATGACATCTGGCGTACTCCGGCTAAGACGGCGATAGTGGTGATAAAGAAGAACCAATACGCAAAGAGTACTAGGAAGAGACCCGACATGATGCCCAAAATGCGCACTATCTCTCCATCTGGGACTGCAGTGTCTGTCCAGTAATTTGGCGAGATGAGCGTCGATGCTTGCTTTGCGAGGGAGATGAGTCCTGCAGCGGTATATCCTGATATTGTCAGGATATCGTAGAAGCAGATAAGATCAAAAAAAGTACCTGCTGGCCCCACTGAAACATACATGCCAGGTCGGAAATTCGCCGATGGTAAGGCGCTGGTCATCAGGCGCTGCATATAGATGCCGTACATGAGGAACGATACCACCCAGGCAAGCCCTTGCAAGACGACCGCTCCAACGAAGATTTTCCAGCTTGCGTCATCCGGTTGGCCGGGGAGTATTGTGCACGCCAATGTTCCTACCACCAGCAATGGGTAGATTGGGAAAATCCACGCTGGCTGTGCATGGGTAACGTTAAGCCGTTCAAGTCGAAAGAACATCGAGTATTGAGCAATACCAACAATGAGCGCAACTGCGCAGTAGATCCAGAAACAGACTTCGAGCGCTTTTGTAAGCCATGGTCCCGTCTTAGCATTGCCGTAAATATACGCGCAGTTCAAGATCAAGGCAACTGAGACCCAGTATGTACCATGGAAGAGGCCTTCTACTGGATGATGAAGTGATGCCAGTATTTTGTGTGGAACCAAAATAAATCGCGTCATCATTATGCCATTGAAAAGAAGGAACAAAACGAGGTCGAAGATGAAAACAATCTTGCCAATAGTGTGTAGCCCATTGAAGCGGTTCGGAGTGTTCCCTAGAACAACGGCAAGCGCCCCTGTAGACATTGTTGCCGCAAACCAAGGCCTATTTCAAAAGTTAGATCACTGCCCGCGTTGATCATGAGGAAGGATTCGCTTACCAGGTGAAGTGCGCGATACGATCTCGGAGCCCGACTATTAGCGGTGGCGTTTCACTACTACTGTCTTCATGCTTGTGAGGCTTCTTCTCGCGGAATCGCATGATCACGTCTCTTATCGACAGTACGAAGTGGCTGTGTCCATGGTCCTGAGCGCTTTGGGGACCTACATATACGTCGTCAAACCTCCTAGAAGGTGTGCCGGCCCCTTCTCATAATTGGCGGCATTAGCGGGCTTGTCTTACGCTTGTCATGGTCATGCCAGCACTTGAGTGCATCATGCCGAAGCTGCGACGGGTTGCTCCGGATTTACTCTCAGAAAAGCGGCATCGTAAAATGCTACAGAGGAAGGGCTAAGATGAACGAATGGAGCGTTTTTTTTTGAAGCCATGCTTTGCAGCGAGTGACATGTATTTTGTGGTTTTTGATCTGTGATAAATCAAATATAGGATAAAGTATGGTAGTTCTTTTGCTAATACAGATCCTCGAGCTGTACGCTGCATATGCGCCATTGACGTCACTGCTTATAGCACTTGCGTACCTCGTTTACGAGGCAGCGATAAGTTTGTCCTTTATTTACTGGTTCTACTCTGAGTAGTAGTATTCGATAAGCTAGAGCAATTAATGTATCCAAGTACGTGTATATGTGGTAAACTGGATAGTTGAGACACATACGATACCCTAGACGCTTGTTTTGGTTTACTAACTTTCGTCATATGTCCTTTTTATCCGCACATACATCGCGTTAACTGGCTTCATCCTTTCCTCTTTGATCACTTTCTGGTTGTTCAGTCCCCGAGATCTCACAATCCCTTTGACTCTGTATTCTCGCTTCCCTCTCCCACACCTCCTCCAGCGGCAGCCTCGGTCCTTCTCCCACCATGTCCCCAAAGATCATCTGTGTCCGGCGCCGTCGTTGCTTTACAGCTCTGTCGATCTCCCTTAGCGTGTCCAAGTACTCAATATCATCATTGTTGTGCCTGGTGACTACCCAGCCCCAGGTTCCAAGATCTCGTATCATCGTCTTCTCGTGGTCGTCGGGGTTGGATAGAGTGTATATATAGAGGGAGTTGTTGCCAGCACCTCCTGAGGATGGGGAAGGTTGAATAAGGTAGGACATCGTGAGTATAAGAAACAAGAAAATGCTGACGAAAGTCTGATGAAGTTGATAGCTATTGCTGAAAACGTGTGTTAGTGGTTGCTACTGCAGTCAATACCTTTGACATCTTTGACATGCTTCACATTCAGCTATATGTTACAGGAAAGTACTCCTTCCTTGAATACCGAACATTTGACCATTGAATAGATCTACTAGGTTTCATATGTTGCGGCTCTGTGATTCTCCGCCAGCCATCACGCATTCGCTTTCGTGTTGCGGTCTTACGTATACCGCTCCATTCTCGACAACCGCCTTTACTCGACCTCATTCTCGTTTAGGTCGACGTATACTTGCCCCAGTGCATTCCCATGTCACTCGTGGCTTTTCTCCTCAGATGTGCTACGCTTGTTGCGGCGGGAGCGTAACGCGTGCAGAAAGGGGAGTCCTCCTTCGAGGGGCCTAGCACTCATGTGAGCACGAATCGCAGGCGATTAATGGCTTCCGTGTGGGTATATAAGCATGTTTGGAGCGGTCAAGGTAGGTGTGCTGAGGGAGGGCTCAGAACCAGATCTTAATCAGCTCTTCTGACACGGCAGAAGGTGTGAGGACGCCTGACTCGGTGATGATGCCCGAGATTAGATCGGGGGGCTATCGCGTGTGTCAGCTCATAGTGTCGCGCGTTGTGCAATTTTGACATACCGTGAAGTCCACTGCATCGTGAGCATTGAGCCCGGTACCAGAGCCCTGCTTCGAGGTCATATCGGCAATGGCCTCGTCGAAAACATTTCTCTGTTCTCCATCCTTGCTCTTATCCTCCTTGAGCGTAGGTTCTTCTGTGACTTTGAAGTCGAGAACCTTCTGCTCGATGGGTAGGTCGAACTGGCTCAGCGGATACAGTCTGACGAACTTATGACTCTCTGCGACGACGTACAATGGCTTCCCCTTGCTCTTGGCTAGCACACCCATTTGGTAGGTTCCCATGCGGGAGATGATACCGCCATTCTCTACAACGCCTTCTGCCCCGACGATCACCATATCGACCTTGCCCAAGGAGTATGCGACTGCCGAATCTGGAATGGTAGCTACCGGTACGTTGTGCTCGCGAAGATCGGCGACGGTCTGTTCACCTTCCGTTGAATCGGATGAAATCGACGATGGGAGCACGTAAATGACCCTGAAACGGATCGTGCTCGACTCTGCTGCCCTTCTCAGTAGCGCACCCACTACTCTTGAACCGCCGTTTGTGAGCACGGTAGCCCCGTCGCGGATGAAGTGCTTGCCGAAGCTGGCAATCTTCTCCCTACTTTGCTTTGCCCGCTCAACAAAGAGCTTGCCATTGGAAAGCAAATGGTTACGTATCGCTCGGAAATCGTCGTCGGGTCCTAGGTTCAAGCTCGCGGGACGGTTGAGCGTGGTGATGAGGTAGCGCTGGAATAGATCTGTCCCGGCAGAGAGGGAAATAGGATTGGCTATCGAGGCCTTCAGGGCTGCCGTGTGACGTTCGAGGAGGTCTAGGGTCTCTGCGACGGTAGAGACAGAGCTCTGCGCGATAGCTTCGACAAGTGCCTCGATGGCAGCAACGGGCATGGTAAGCTCGGGATCATCTTCGAGGATTCGGCGGTACGTCGCTACAATATCAAACTCTGGCAGCGGTTTCGGTTCCGACTCGGCGCTCATTTTGGCGTTCAATCCTGTAGTGTTGGGGTTGCGCTGGATTTGTGAATCTTTGGAGGGGTTCGTGAAATGTGCAATTGAGTCATGGCGCCAAGATCGGACAATCAATGGCTTCGCTGTCCCGCTTCCCCAAATATTGCCCTTCTCTCCCACGCAGCACCCCCAGGCCCCTGTCACAGGGACTGTTTAGTAGACGATTTTACTACTTGTGTCATTAGAAATGAAGCTTTGGTATTGATGTCTCGAATACATTGGCAATAAGAAAGCCTCATCGACGACGTCATAATGCACCACGTGTCGTAGCGAACAGAGAAAGTCCCGACTGTCCCATGTACTGACGGGCAAACAGGAAAACCACATCAACCCGAAAAAGAGTCTGTAGCTGCGAGTAACCTGGGTTCTTCGCTTCGGATCCGGACTGCGGGGAGCCAGCCCTTCACGATATCTGACATGCCAACTCGCCTCTACCGACCTCGTTGCACCATGGTTACCCGAGCATTCCAGAAAGTCGAATCTCGGCTATGTGATTGTCACCCATATGACAGTGACATGTAGCCTTGATGTCGCTGTACTGACATTCATTATTCACTGTATATTGAGATTGCACAGGCTCTGCTAAGCGAACCATAGTCCACTGTGACTCCACAACACTACCGTCAAACGCTGGAGACTCTGAAAATCATGTAGACCCTGGCGACCAAGTTCCTAATCATCTGTTGCTCTATACACGATTTCTTCCAACACGGGACCTCCAATTAGCAACCAAACAAGGTACTGCCACATAGTAGAGACCGCATACTAGAGTGGCAACAAATACCAACCACCGACCAGTCATCACCATGCCGTACATAATCTATGTACCGGCAATCCCACGACCGTACATCACCAACGACCCCAGGATCTACATGGACTGTAGCAAGACCTTTGGCTGGACTTGCGAGTCACGACCATACTCCGATTCGTACTGCGAAGAATCACGGGTAGACGAAGACATGCGCGATGAGGGCGATCGACGACGCGAGCAGCTAGAACGATATTGGCTTGAAGAACTGGACCTGCGGGAGAGCTTCATGAAGAAGGTTGAAATTGCGCATGGGGAGATGCCGGTGGACGTGGAAGAGCCTACGCCCATGGAGCAGCCTATATCTGTTCCTCTTATTCAGGTATTTGGAGAGCACGACAAACATGATTCGGTACATAGCGTGGTTGTCGAGGTCAAGGAGATTCTAATCGATGCTGGAGATGGTTGAGTGCTTGGTTTTCAGTATGGAGGGAGGTGATTCGGTATGGTTGGTAGTCACTCGGGTAAACTCTCGCACGCTGCTGTCTCTCGTGTCTTGATCGGAGAGCCGCGGGGCATCTTGAGCGAAGACTAGTGATTGATATGAGAACAAGGCATGATAGCCTGTACTACCAGTATCTCAAGCTCATACAAATGGTGGCATGTTGTGGTCTGCCAATCGTTCAACTCATATATTCGTGTTTCAGTTGGTCAACGACCAAAGCTAAGATCACAGGAAGATGTTGTCGTGACAAGGATGTTCGTAACACTTGCTAATGGTAATACCGTAGCTGGGGTTCATTGGAACAGCCTGCTTGGCTCTGGGGTACATTGGCGAGTCTTGGATGCATGCTTCAGGCTTGGTGTATCGACCACATGACCTCGCTTCAGTTGTTGGGGTCGAGCGGAGGGCTTGGTCCCAAGCTATCCCGCCATCATACACCAGGCTATTGTCGGCCCAACATGTCATTTAGGTTGAGATGGTGCAATGATCATATTCGGTGGCAGGCAGCGATCAACGGACAGTAGTTTCAAATCTGAGAAGCTGGCTTTGACGGGGGACGAAATTGTCACCTGCATGTTGGTTATCGTGAACTTTCTTTTTGTTGTCTTTGGCTTCATGCAAGCATCCCACGTGTCTCAACAGCGAAGCAGGATTACACCCCCCATATAGTAGAATTGTCACGATCGAACAGTAGAACCATAGAGAAGCTTCGGTTGTCAATTCGGTGTGGCCTCCCAAGATTTCGCCCAGCATGCCCAGCTGCAGGCCGTGGCACCAACCCCACAGTCGTCATCGGAAATCGCACGAACCCCTCACCACCAAACTTTCCATTACGATCACCCGTCCGTACTTGTCCTACCACCTCGATATCCGTCCGCTCATGTTTCCAGGGCATCAATGACTCCATCGGCGCGGTGCAAGCTCCGAGGTAGGGAGCAGCCAACGGCCACAGCTCTCGTCAACATAGCCAGCCCTTGCTTACAGGCCGAACCACCGACGGACACAAAATCGTCCCGTTCGCACCTCAACTTTTTTTCTTAATGCAGCTGTTCTCAACACTATGCGTCATCCCTGCCTGGTATCACACCAGCGATAACATGTTGCAGAATCTAGACTCCGCCAACAGCACACCCCCTGCATCTTGGCCGGTCTAAACCCCGTCCTGCCTGGGTTTCAATCTTCTTGGCCGCTAGCGGAGAGGAAAGTGTGCGGGGCAACTCGACACATCAGGCACAACAGGCCAGTTATCACCGCACCGGTGGTCGGAAAATACGGCACCAACGGAGTTTTGCCACGCGTTGTGCAGGCCGTGGGGCGAATCAGCGCGGCGGACGTGACGGCGGAGATAGCGTTTGTGCTCCCCCGTTGGTCGATGCTGATGTTGGCGGGTTTTCATTCGCTCCGAGAGTGCTTGTGTTGTCGGGGATAGGGTTTTGGCGTTGCGCTTGGGTGGCCTTATGGTGGAGCTGGGGTTTGGGGGGTGCATGGGGATGGCATTCTGAAGGCTTGGGTGGGAGTTGGGCGCGAGTATATAGATAGGTGTTGTCCCCACTTGAGGCAGAGGACAGAATCATCGATATCCTATTTCAGACTTTACATCAAGAGTCTCGAACAGCTTACCTCATACTTTGACCATACATCCACATTCACTCGAGGCCAACACTATCACCATGTCTTCACCAGCTACTCAATACGTCTACATTCCCAACCTCGTCGGCCGCCAAATGCTACGTATCGCCATTGACGAAGTCGAAGCTGAGGGTCAAATCATCTCATCGACAATGACTCAGACTACCCCACAAACGTCAAGCTACATCCGCGACTCCTCGCCATCACCTAGCGTCGAGAGCGTTGAGGAAACCGAGTGATGAGAACATACCTTATCTGGGATGAAAAAACCGAGCGAGGACGAAGGAAAGGGAACTCTCCACGGACACTAAATTGTTGCCCATTTGGATTGGCAGACCTCATGCCAAGCACATCGAGCCGAGTCGACCATTGAGGTTGACATTATGAAATTCACCTCTGGACACGATTGTGACACACCGCCTATAGGCCAAGCCGCGAGAGCCGCACGACAGGATTTAGATCTTCAAGAAGTCAAGAAGGAGATGATGGAAGATGTGGGGCAATAATCGTGAAGGGGATCTTTGCTTGGAAAGGGCCGAAGGAAGCTTGGGAGGATCACGATCATGCCATTCGATCGGATGAGAGAAAAGAGATGATATGGCTTGGCATATAGGGTTGGGACTACTAGGACAAAATAATATTTTAGCATAGTAATAGTAATGCTTTGCCCTCTACACTGTACTTTTGTCACAACCTGCTTGTGGAGGCGTATCAACATTTCGACCACCATGACTTGTTTGCAATGTTGCCAATGCGTTTCTACAAGATTTTGGAGCGCATGCAGCTGTCGGTTTGCCTGCTATGTTATCGGAGATGAAATAAATCGAACCCTTCCTCAAGGAGTCACCTTCAACATTCTTTGTCGTACTACATCATACTCTCTGATGTTGAAATCGATCTGAAAACGCAAAAGCCGGGTCATCACCCCTTGGCGGCATGACTCTCTGGCCTCTCCTTTCTCCACTCTTGTCGCTCCAACGACTCGATATCTCTGAGATGCGTGCAGCACTTCTTATACCATGAGCTGTTGATGCATTTCTATGAATACACCCTCGCACAATCAGCAAGAAACGAGTTCCACCTTGCAATCCGCTGATGCGAATGACATATCTCACGTCAGCATTGAAGCTACAGCACAGAGAAGAAGTTGATGGGATGGATAGAATTTTTTGAGTTGTAGTTGAGCAATGTTGATCGTGACGCGCAACGTGGGTCTAGTCAGTGTTTCTAGACAAAAAAGGAAAGAGGTAACGTCCTACAAGAAAATAACTTGGAAAACGCAATCAGACTTGAGAACTCGCGACAGGCCTCATCAACAGAGTCACCGGCGTCACAATGTAAAGAATCGGAGACAACGTTTCGCGACGCTGACGTGGTCGGTATCTCGCAAGATGTTCAGCTCCGATATACAAAGGCACGACGTCCACGGCCTTAAGTCACCCCGCGCCGTACCATTACCTACGGTAGCGGACTAAAATGGCCCAATTTTCTAAATAGTCATCCGCTGAGTCAAGCCAAAGTGTGTACTTTGTCGTCCAGGGGCTGATATCTTCAAGGCACTGATTTTGCTGCAGCAGGATTCGCTGACAGTGGCTATTGATGCACATCCATCTGCTCATTCTGGACAGCATTTCGACGCTCGCACTTTACCCGTGATGCCTTTCGTTGTGCTGCTGTGGGTGATGCTTAACATTGCCAGCACGCTCAGCCCACTAGAGGCTCAAGCCGGGTTTTACCACTGGATGGTTGCGCTTCCGTCGCATGAAGCGTACTCGGTCTTGATGACTATTTGGTCTGCCGGGGCGCATAACCGCCTGTATCGCGCGCTGCCTGTTTTGTTTCCCTGGTGGCCGGTGGCTAATGTTACTACCTCGATTACGCATATTCGCGCCTGCCATCTGGCGTACAAGCTTGATCAGGAAGAAAGGGCTGGTCTGGATGTAGAAACCGGCTTGACTCCAGGGGAAGGAGCGAAGGAGGACCCTGCACCGCTGCAGAATACCCTCACAACGGCAACGACAAGGACGTGGTTGGAGAGGGAGAGGACTGTAGAAGATGTAGCGCTTGAGCGGAGACAAGTGTATGGGCCATCGATTCCGCCCTTTGCATGAGTATCTTTTGTTCATTCAGCAGGTTGGTGTTGTTTGCTTGTATACCCTGGTGGTTCTTGTTTCTCTTTTCACCCTCTCCACGATATAATGTAATATGATACGATATTATGTCATATGGAACATAATACCTAGACTAGATCATTGACCAAAGAAAATATCGCTGTTGTATCCATTCATATGAGAAACATACCAAGCAACATAAAATTATATAACAGATCTGTATTATTTTGAATCCTGGAATCTCTACCATGTAGAAATCTAGTAGTGTATGTACTTTGCCATGTACAAGTTTGAGAAAACACGCAGCGAATGCGTGTTCAAACCAAAGTAAAAAGGCCCTTTCGAGATTCCTAGGTGACCTTCCCAAAAATGCAACCAGGAAAACCAACTAGCCAACCAATTGTACAAGCTCTAATATATGTTGCTTGATGCCAGTATTAACCCCGAAACGCCGTCATGATGCATATGCGATGCGATTTGTTTCATGCAAGAAAAAAAAAGAGACAAAAAAACATGTCGAGTCGACTGCCATTACAGCAGCGTAGCATGCTGCTCTCCTCATCTGGCAACCACCATTGCCAGGGCTACTATTATGGCCATGATACTAGTGTAGACGGCGTTGCTCGCACCAGGCATCGAGGTCGTAGCGGCACTGCTCTTCTTGGACTGTGTGGGATCTGGCTTCAAGACCAGATTGACACCAAGCTGCCATCCGATGTTTGCGACAATGGCCTGGGAGTCCCGAATCGGGATGGAGACCTTGCCTTGGCCATCTGCAGTTACTACATTCACGGTGGCATCGGCGACGTTGGACTGGCCTGTGATGTCGTCGTAGCTCAATCCGTTCCACGTGACACCCTTCTGGCTGTCTCCGCCATCAGCTGTGAGATAGGAGAGGAAAACGTCCTTGTTTGCGTTGGCTGAACCAAGGTTGATGTTGAATGTGAAGCTACCCTTGTCCTGGGAAGCCTCTGCTAGTTTGGAGTTGATCAAGACGAGGGCTTGGAGGTTGTCCTTTGCATAGGCGGCGTAGGCGCGGATACGACCGCTATAGGTAGCGCCAACATTGCTGGTCTTGAGGACCGAGATTTGAGTGGTGCCGTTGCCGTTGCCGATGAGTTGTGCGACTGCGGCGTGGGCGTAGTACTGGGGTCGCACAAAGCTGGTGTCGCTGCCGTACATGGGAATGGGCTGCCAGGCACTGGCGTTTGAGTTTGCCGTCATGTGCATCTGGACGCTCTGGATACCGAGTGTAGCGGCATACATGAAGAAGTTCAGGGTCCATAGGGAGGCGCCGAAAGTGTCGCTGACGCCGGGCATGCCGATGGGGCCGACGGAGCTCATCTCTCGCAAGACGTAGGGCAGGCCGGTGTTTAGTGCTGCCTTGACCTGCTTCTCCCAGTAGGCAAACTGCGTGTTGGTGGCATCCAGGTCCATGAGATCATCTAGCGTGAGGGGTGTTGGTGTAACGCCGATGACTGCAAAGGAGTTAGCTATAGTTTTACTGGAGAGAGATGTAGAATGGAGGAATGCAACATACAGTAAAAGTAATCGTGCTGATTCCAGGCCGTCATGAAGTTGTTGCCGTCCCTCCCCGTCATGATGCCATCGTCGACGAGCTGTGCGATCTCAAACGTGGTTCCTATCGTCGAAGCGGTCGCGGGCGGCTCGAAGAAGGCTGATGGCAAATTGGCAGGCTTTAGAACACGCTCGTAGAGTTTTGCGCAGCGGTCCAGAAACTGTGTTGTGTAGGTCTGTCCGGTCCAGGGTGCGCTCCGGAACGAGTTCTTCAGCCACAAGTCGGGCTCGTTGCCCACTTCGAACGAGTATAGCTTGACGTTCTTCATGCCATCGACGGCACCCTGGGCCATTTTCACGATGCGGTCCTCCCAGTCATTGTCAATGTAGGCCATGTTCAATCCAAAGGTAACGGGGGTGCCCTTTGGGAATCTGTCCAATGCCTTGAAATAAGCCGGACCTATTATCATCGAGTCTGCGGCAATGACGCCCTGTGCGCGGGAGTTTGTGTTGGCGGTCCACTTGTACTGCGTCTGGCTTGCATCGTATATCATGTAGTCCTGGGTGTTGCCTCCTAGACGGATGTGTGCGGGTAGTCCTGCATAGTCGGCCAGGTTCTGGAGTAGCTGCACGGAAAAGGTGTTTGTGTCATCGCCGCCGGTAAAGGAGAAGAGATTCGAGGGCTCGATACCGAAGCCTGCAAACGACGGGTCGACGTAGTTGGAAGCGCCGCTGGGGACAGTGGTGGCGGGGGATAACGAGATGTATTGCGCGAGGGCGCGAGACGAAAGTATCGCTATACTAGTGGTACATATCGAGCGAGTGAACATGGCTACTGCAGGCTCCAACCGTGGGCGAGCGAGCGACCAGTAGTCAATATGCAAAGGCTAGGAAAAACAAGGGAAAAAAGTCGACGGGGATTCTAAAAAGCGATGGGTCTAAAAAGCGAGTGCAGGTGGGTTATCAGGAGGGACGGGGGGGGGAGGAGGAGGAGGAGGAGGATGAGAAGACGACGTGGAGACGGATGGTGTCTGCCCACGCGGGCTCGGCGGGCTACGGTGTACTACTTCTAGCTACCATCAACAACATTTGGCACATGCGTCACTTTATTTTGGGCCGGCCGCCCATGCAAGACAGGCCTGTTGGCAGCGGGCGTGTGTGTGGGTTGGGAGGCGGCGGGAGGAAGATGCGGAGCCTGCGGAGCGTGCAAAGCCTGTCCCAAGCCAACGAAACCTGCAACGCCCAGCCCTCTTCCCGATGGCATCGGCCAGGGTGACATCACCACTTGTCTCAATTGACGCGGACGACTGGCAGAAAGGGGGCTGCGAAACCTGTGCGAGACGATTGAAAAGGTCCCGATGTGGGCGTTCGCGCGTTCGCTTTGTCGCCGTGCGTGTGCATCCAATACGCGTCAGACATCGGTGACGGCTAGTGGGTGGCAGAGGCGCCGCTGATCACGGCGCTACACCCATCCAAGGCCCGACTTGGGCCAGGGGGGCAAGGAACGAGGGCATCAAAGCTTGTTGTTCAAGCAGCATATTCTCTTTCATCATGCCTGGTTTGATTCCTTTTGGCTCTTCCGTCGCGGTGTCGATGACACCCCTCACGCACATCCACACACCCATCCTGCTGTGTTGCGGCTGACGCCCTGCGAGAAGCTGACTGAGCATCGACTATTCAATTCAACACTATCGGGACATTAGGCGCTGGTGACGAGTCCGAAACATGATTTGCAAGGCCAAATATCAATCAGCTCCATATATTGTGGGTACCTGGTCGCTTTTCCCCTTTGGGCCGACTGAAAAAGCCCGAGTCCAAAGCTTACTTTACTGCCCAGCCTTGTGCCGGCTCCGGCCTCCTCCACCCCCACCCCCCAACAAACAGCCTCCATCAGCCCCATCAGCCTCCAGCAGCCTTCAAACAGCCTCACCCAGCGTAACCACCTGAACATCGTCTTGCCATTACTGTAGACGACATCCCAGCCATACCTTCCAGCCCCTTCTTCCTGCCCTCGTGAGGCAGCCAACACGGCCTTGACCTCATCGCAAAGTCGTGCTCGTACGCCCAGATGCCCTCACCACCCCTTCTTTTTCCCTCCAACCTGCTTCAATACGCTAAAGAAGCTCGGAAGCAGCCCTTGGTTTGCTTGTCGACGTCGCTGTCCAAGACACGGCCACGACCTTGATTGCAGGTTCATGTGCAGCGACGTCGGTGGCCGACCTGCCAAGGCTCGTTCCGGCACACCCGTCGTCGACTCTTAGAACCGACCGCGAATCCCAAAAACGTCGATCAAAGGCTTGGCCCTTGCTGATTGTATTGTATCGACATACTTTGCCGTGATAGCCTCGTTTGCATCCGTGAGTCGTAGGAAGATGCATCACAGCCTCAGCCCCACAATCCGAGTGAAGAAGGTTTGCGCTGTGCAGTGACCGCTTGGCTTGAAAAGCAGCCAAAACATGATGAGCTGCACTTTGCGCATGACAGCTTTCTCGCTAGAGAGAGCTAAATCACCCTTTGCATTTCTCAAGCAAGCAGAGAGACGTCATCTTTAATACCCGCACTAGTGAAGCGGTGTACATCTTTGAGCACCAGCTGTCCGTTAAAGTTCTGGTAGATCGATAAACCGCGGCGAAAGCAGTGCAACTGGAAGCAGACATTCTGGCTGAACAAATCCTCGTCAGCAAGCACGCCGGATTCCAGTAAAGGATCCAAGTCGACCTGCACAGCGCCACCATGTTGCTCCTCCAATCCCGTCCCAGAATTGCACTTTTCCCGAACCTAGTTCGCGACTCGGCTTTGGCAATCTAAATGTCAAGTCCCCTGCAATGCCTGAAGAAATCACCTTCGTCCGCAAAGACTGGTATCTTGTCCCATGACGCCAGGTCATGTACTGTCGTCTCATGGAGTGAGCCGAAGCACCATTTTGCCGCAATGGCATAGATCTTGCCACTCGAAATATCAGAAGAGGATCTAGGTGTGCTGTGAGCTTGCGTAGAACGATATACCGACTAAGATGTTGATTGCGCTTGGAGTTGTACCGCGAGAGCCTACGATGACAGACGCAAGCGGTACGTTCAGTACATCTTGCAGTTGGGCCAGATCTCCCAGGCGTTGCACATCATAATTGTAACTATACTCATCAGTCGGTGAGAATCATACATCCGACCTTTTGATGGTCTTCAAAGCAGACGAGTTGGTGAGAATCTTGGATGGATACGTCCCGTCATGCCTCAAACTCCAGCTGACTGACCAAACTTTTGTGTGGGTGTTGGAGGGATCGGGGATCATTTTCCAGTTTGCCATGATGGTGATAGACCTGAACGCGGTTAGATGTGCTTGGCACCAAAGAATGTAGTTCTCTTGCAACTAGCCAGTGATAGAGCAGGTGAGATGAGTTGATGTGCTCTTGTGCCTGGCTCTTCTGATACAGACAGGCAGAAACAGGAGCTTGCTGCATACTGGTTATCATGATATGGAAACTGGAACTGGCATGATCTCTTGTCACTCACAATGTAACAGTGACGGTCGCCAGACTTAATCACTTGTTCGTGCTGAATTGGAACGCCAGATTGGTAACAAGTGATATGAAAATGAGATGATGATGATTACCGCTACAGAAGCTGAACTCCGATGTATCTTCACTGATTGATAGACCATAAATTCGCCCTACTCCACGTCCATCAGTAGACCTGATCGAAAAGTGATCCCACTTCCATTGAGGTTCTGTACATCAACATATACATGATGTTTCTGCTTAGGTTATCATGCCATACAACTGGGTGTCAAGTGTGTCCCGGCCCATATCTCCCTGTGAACGCCTGAACTAACGCCGCCAGTAGGAACAAGCCTCACTCTGTTAAGGAATCGTGCCCTCTAGCTACCTTCAAGTATATACCGACATCTGCCAGTCACTTAGCAACACGCACCACCACCACCTGTCCAGCCCCTATATTAGCCATTCTTCCTCAACACACGGCTACTAAGTTCGCCTCTCCGCCCTCCCTTTTGCCCCTTCATACATGAGTGCTTCTAGATTCCTTGCTCTCACTTCATTCATGTATTCTTCTTGCTCGTTGGACATTGGCTTGATCCCGGTAGTATCTTCACCAAAGCCATAGACGGAGTGTATAGCGAAGCCGCAGCATACAAGGAGCGCAGAGCCAACCATGATGAGGAGGATGATGGCGAACGGTGGAATTGCATAGTCGTCGTCCCGCTTTACGAGGTGAGGCAGTGTTGCGATGGGAGCCATTGTTATAGGCTGTATATGACTTTGTTCAGAGGTGGCGTGAATACGTCGTCGACAACGTGGCTACTTGTGCACTTTGTCTGGGTTTATGTGCCGGTATGAGATGTCGAGGCGCTTATAGGCACGGTCTAGCGGCTGAGTAGGTGTGTGGAGCAAGATGTTTTGGTGGATGGGCGATCGAGAGGATGGCCGGCAAAGGGAGAATGAGGCGTAACGCTTGATATACGGCGTGTCTTGGTCTCGTGGTCTCTGTGTGTAGGTAGGCTTAGGCGGAATGGGCAATTTAACTGTAGCGACTGAGACGAAAGCCTTCGGACTGCGGTGTGTTTGTCTAAGTAGAGACTGGAGTGAAGGAGGATAGAAAGAAGAAACAAGACGATAGATCGGGCTTTTCAGAGACGTACCAGACCTTAAAATAACTATCTGCCTTGCAGCCTACTGTTCGCTGTCCCCTAACGCCCCTCTGAGGCTATACCTGGGCACGGGCCTCGAATTCGTACATTTCCTTTCCAAGTCTAGCGCCTCGCTGGACAGCGCCAGCGATTGGTCAAGCTCACATCTCAGGCGTCCCAAGCCCCCTTCGGTAGCCCGGACAGCACGTGATATTACGAGCAGACCAATCAGAACGACTTGGAGTATTACTTAGTCTTCCTAATGCATGTGGTATTCCTTAGGCATCCATTCCTTCCTGTGCTTCGTCCGCGGGGCGAAAATCGGTAACGGGCTCGCGACGGGGTTCCTAGGTCGCACTAATGCGCACTGAATAGACAGTCAGGACTGCTGTCAACTAAGTGGTTGAGACCCAACGTGACTTCGAGTTCGTACTATGTAGCAACTTTTCTAGTGCCCACTACCTGGACGCTCTTCTTAGAATTAAGCGACCGTCTCTAACATCTCGGACGCTCTCTTGCTATACCCATGGACATGGGCAAATCGCATCATGCCGACTATCGTCATCATAGCCCAGAGTTGTGTTGGGGCGGTTGAAAGCGTTTGATTTGAGGCGCATCTGTAGGTACCATGGACGTTTTCATGCAAGGTAACAGCAATGACTTAATAACAGCGGCGATGATTCTCTTCAAAAACCTGACAGATCAAGCATAGCACATATATTGCAACTCGATGACAGTTTGAGCCAGATAGGACAGGATGGCTTCTGGCTCCTGGACGGACTCGATGAATCGCAACCATGGTTCTACGCCCACACCAAGATCGTCAGTCAGCTGCCTTTGAGGAATACCAAACGTACCTCTGCGACCATGAAGCCTCCATAGGCCCTAAAACTCAGCAATACTTGCGCAGTATAGCAGATATCCTAGGTAGGCACATATTGTCATCACTAACATGTCGAACGCCCAGCAGCCATCAAAACCTCCGGTTGACAAGCCAGAAAGGGCGTACCATGACCTTTCTGACACTAACGTCGTCGAGTACCTTATACGATCAGACGCGAATCATCTGCAAGAAGATCCGGATATTGAAGAGAACATTGTGTATCGTGTAACGCCGGGAAGCCAGATCACGAACAACCAGCTTATTGCGTGCTCGAGGCACTTCTCATCGTATTATGGTGTGTGGAGCGAATTTGCAAGCCCTGCATTGGGTGACTGGGCCAAGGAAGGTACGTCAGCTGTCAGCAGTTGCTGCAAATATGGATCGCATACTGACCATGGCGTGAAGGCCAAAAGATAGGGATGAGTCCCAATACACTAAAGGGACACAGTCTGCCACAGGGGGCGAACAACATCCTGATAACTGCTTTGAACATGAATGAGGCTGGGCGGCAGATTGCGCATTGCTTTGTGAGCGAGTGGGCACATGAGAATGGTCGAATCTGGTGGATAACACAACTGGTAGTGTTACCAAGTTATCGTAACCAGAGGAGAGCGACAAAGGTGAGCAATCACCCTGAGACTTAGAATGCTGCTGATAACTGGTCAACCGTAGATGCTAAAAGCCTTGGTCTTGCATTACGACATTGGCAAGCGAACCAATCTGAGAGACTTTGTCGGAGTGCTCAGCCCGCATCCGTATACCTTGAGCGCCGTCCTTCGTGTATTCGCCCGCGGTATCGAGTCGTTGCCGTCAAAGACGGATTGGGAAAAGACACCAGCCCAGTATCCGTATGCTCCTTTGCAAGGTTCCCATTACGCACCGATTATGAAATCCTCTCCAGTAGAATACGTTCGCAACGCCACGCCGTGCCCGGATACGTTGACCGCAAAAACAAACTTATATCTAAACCATACTGAAACGGATCTCGCATTGCAACGTATTGTATTTGCCATAAACAAGCAAGTGCGGCAACCGTGGCAATGGTTGTTCAGTGATCTCGCTGAGGGTTTCGAGTACCTTTGTGTTCTGGATTTCCAGTACGATCCTGAGTATAAGATGCGACCCCAGTTTGGCGATGAGGCCCAAGTTTTCCTGAGCGAGATTCCGCTGGAAGAGAGTGTAACAAGATCTCTTGTGAAACTGGCTCAGTCACCTGTCGACTATGCTGGTATCAATAAATATCTCATCAGCGCTCTAGCCTGTTGTAACGATGGTACAATGCGCCTGCACCAAAAACACAACTCAAAGACGGATGAAGTAAGTGATAAAAAGGTCCTTGAAGCGAGAGATTTAATTGGCAAGCACTGTTTGGTCATACGCCAGACAATGAATGCAAAGCGGATCCCTGAAAACCTTCGGCCGACATTTGATAGAGGACAATATCCGCTACCAGACCACCTCTTGACTTGGAAAGATCTTCGTATCTATGCGCAAGATAGTTTTGAAGATGATGAGACTCTTTCTGCCAGGCTTGTGATCTTGCAAACTATACACTTCAAGGAGCTTCTAGATGAGTCTGAGAGACTACGCAAGGATCCAGCGGAGGACAGTGGGGAGGAAGAGGAAGAACAGGATCAAGAAAACGTCCGAAAAGAGAGATCGAGTCCCCAAAGAACGCTTGTCGTAGATGACACCACGAGCCCTGAGACCGTAAATCCTGTGGCGGAGACACCAACCCTAGCCCCGGTGTCTGATGCGATGTGCAATCTTAAAGAGTGTCGACCTGCTGTACCACCCCAGGGAAGAGCATCAGGCTCAATGCCTAAAAGGTCGAACATACCCCTAAGGGTCGACTCGGATAGAGCACCAAAGTCAAACAGCCCTACTCCTAGCCCCCGTCTATTCTTCCCGAGCGGTTCATCGAGAGAAGCCTTTCGATCGAGTATCCCAGTCAGGCAGCTCCCGAGGAATTCTGGCAATGCGTTGAGCCGAGAGAAATGGTCAGGAAGCCTATGATTAGATTGAGCTCATGAGAGGGGGCGATGAGGTGCAAAGTTAGAATGGGAGGATGGAATACTACCGCATGTCATTTCAAGTCGTTGCTAATCATTTGACATTCGAATGGTGAGATTTGGATTATATGAAGTTGTATGTTGAGGTCAGATTAATCAAACGTGCGTGGAGACGAAAGAGCGGGGTCATGACGCAGCGATGTGGGTAGCGCCTTCTCTATTCTCGTTCGAAAGCTTCTTGACTCTTTCTTCTATATTACAATCACAATATAAAGCTCAATGTGGCGCACCAGTCGCTTGGTCTAAAGAATGATATACGCCTTCGTATATATGGACTCTATGTGTACTTGATGCAGATGATGATAAGGAATTCCCAGTCTCATTCTACTTCTAGATATCGTACATATACACAATGAGATCAAACACTGACGCTACTAGTCAGAGAGGCCGCTATCTTGTCTACAAAGCCCAAGTGGCCACGGCAAAGACGACAGACAACGCCAGAGCCATCGAGTTCACGACGGACACGGAAGTAATGCCTGCACCATTGCTCTGCTCAACACCTGGGCGACTGCTGTTGCCCTTGGGGTTGGAGGAGGAACCAGGAGTGGAGCTGGAGCCGGGGGTGTTGTAAGTGCCGTTGCCACCGCTGCCGCTGCTGCTGCCGGTGCCGGTGGTCGTGTTGCCGCTCGACGTGGTGCTGTTGTTGGAGAGTGGGGTTGGGGCAGGCAGATCCTTCTTCACCTTGCAGCTCAGATCGAAACGCGGCTTGGTGGACAGGTTGTCGGAGACGGCGAACTTGACCTTGTTGGCTGGGTTGGCGTCGCGCAGGGTGTACCAGAAGACGTTCCTCTTGCCAAAGATGGCACAGCCGACGTCCTTCCAGTATGTGGCAGCGTTCTCGACGGAAGCGGATCCCGCGCCGAACGAAGGACCAGAGTATGCCCAGCCAGTCTCGGTAATCCAGACGTCCTTGCCTCCTGCGACACCATCGATGGCACTCAAGGCGCTGTTCAAGAGGCTGCCGGCATTGCTGATCTGGTTGTCGCGCTCAGCCTCGTAGAAGGGGAAAGCGTTGACGGCGAGGAAATCGATGTTGTCGATGACGGCCTTGTTGGATGTGTTGACCCATGCGGTCCACGTGTCTACGTGGGTAATGGGAACGTTCTTGAGGGTGGTAGAGGCGAGGCGTTCGCGGGTGGTCTTGATGAACTTGACAATGGTCTCCGCGCTGTTGCCAACACCAGACTTGTTCCGGATACCGGGCTCAGACACACGATACAGATCCTCGCTGCCGACCGAGATGCCGATGATGAGGTCGGTGAACTTTGTGCCGTACTCCTTGACCGCCGCGTTCAAGGCCTTCAACTCGTTGTCGATGTTGTCTGTTCCTGAGGCCCAGATACCGAGGAGAAGCTTCGTGTTGGTTGCGATGGCGGCTGGGAAGGCCTCGATGGGCGAGTCCGCGGTGTTGGCCTGGATGTTGGAGTACAGGCGGATGGCGCTGAAGTTGCCGGGCGCGCCCTCGAGGTTCTTTGCCGTCTTGAACTCCTTCTCGAAATCCTTCTGTGTCTTCGCGGCGCCCGTGTCGTCAGTGGCTCCAGAGTTGAAGCCGAGAACGAGCGGGTCCTGGGCAATGGCGCTGCCGATCGTGGCGGCCACAACGGCGAGTGCTGTTGCGAAGCGCATAATGTACTAAATGTTCCAAGGGAGTGACTGTTGAAAAGTTAAATAAAGGAGAAAAGTCAATGAGTGTGTGTAGGAAGTAAGTAAGTACAGAGCGGTTGAGTAAGAGAAGAAGGTTAAGAAGATTCTCCAAGGAGCTAGGCCACCCCCTTGTTAGAATCAAGCGTGTGAGCTGACGGCCTTTCACGGATGCCCTGCGCTGGTCGGCACCCCGGAAATTGCGAACCGGGGAAAGGGCTCCACCCCATTGGTGGGGGTGAATTGCGCACGACTCAGCTGAGTCTAGGTGCCAAGAGCCGCCTTCCCCAATCCATCGCTGCCCAAGCCACACTGTCATCGTACCCTGAAACGGCGTCTAGGCATGTGTTTTAGCCCCTGGGTGTGCACATCCAACCAACACCGCAACCCTCGTTGATGTTCATGCATTGCCCGCTGAAAACACCATCAAGACAGGGGAAGGATGTTTCATTCTACCAAGACGGTCAGGAGTGGTGAAGGCGAACACAAGACACCACCACATGTACGCCTCCAATGTGCACTGCCAAAGGCCCGACTCGGACAGCCAATATTGCATCAGTCATCGCCCCATCCTTTCTACCGTGCTTTGGGTTTTCCCATAATAGGTTGACGAGGCTAGAACGTGCAATGTCACGGCATATACCTGCCTGCCCCACCTCGCAGCACCTTCGGGAACTATACGAACTCCCTCTCAACAAGGCCTGGCCGTACCCCTAGGAAGGAGTCTGTCAAGGTCCTCTTACTCATTCGCCAGTCCTTGGCTTCCATTTGTCGCCATCACTTCACCCAGACATCTCGCCAGTCTCAGTGTCTTTTAGAACTTGGGGTAGAGAGCCAGCAGGTCGCTTGGAATGTGATAAAGCACGAAGTTGAGGTTGGTCAACCAAGTCATCGGTAGCTTATATTTAGCCTACGCCGTGCCACCGCAATACGAAAGGAACCCGACTATCCATGTCATGTTTTTGGCTTGTCTTCATTTCCGAACGATGGGTACAGCTTCGCATCAGGTCACTCCAATTACCCCCACACCACAACGACCTCAAAGATCAACTTTCCCTTCTCGCACTCGAATCGCTGGGAGCGTCTGACCTCGACAAGATGCGCAGACGGATGGTTATATCTACTCCAACAACGTCAGTCAGCCTGACCCTCAATGTTCGGAACCTATGCAAGAGCCTGGGCGATAATCAGAGCATCGACGCGTACACATATTGTTTTCAAGTCGATGCCTAAGACCGGTGCTAAATACACAGCTGAAGATGCAAGAACAGCATGACGCTGCGCCCAGGCATTGGCGGATCGAAATATTGATTTATTGCAGTATTGAACATCGCCATCATTAGCGAAACCACAACAGACATTGTGCTCTATTTGGAACCTAGCCCATAAACGTACCTCACTCGGCCTTTCCTCGAAGCGCTACACATACGGTTGATCATGGGAACGTGCGAACATGTCCAGAGTAAAACCAAGAGGCTGAAACTAACCGTCGCGAGAGGACCCGACAATGATTGTACAGTCATGCGCTCGCGAAGAAAAGAGTGGTAGCTCTGTGTAAAGATGAGGGGTAAATGTTCATAATGGTAGTCAAACCGTACCGTTGTTTCAGCCATACAAGCTGCTCGCGCAGATTGGTTGACTTCTACACCCACGCCACCTTGGCACGTCCAGCCACAACGACATTCTAGGAGACCAGACATTATCTGTAGCGTGTGCAATCGAGCTGTGCTGCCTTTTTCATGCGTTCTTCTTGTATTTAGCAGGCTGAACGCGGGGTAGGTGTTTATAACCCGTACCAAAGGCACTAAAGGTACCACGCAAGGTAAATGACTGAATGAGCTTTTTCGTCTTCAATTCTACCAGGTTTTTCTGATGTCTGAACTTCCAGCACAGGCTGTCCATCGCGGCTTATGGACGAACCTAGAGCGTGGACCCGTTATGGGAAGCACCATTACCACCGACACGCAAACGGGAAATCTCATCGTCGCGCTTCTGGCTATCCTCACAACACTCGGCGCACATCGCCTCTGGAACTTGGTCACATTTGCTTACCATCAAGTCCGCGCAAACGGGAAGCCAGCAGATGGGTTCTTTCGTCAACAACAAGCCCTCCTCCGCTCGCTACCAGCACCTGCTGCGTTGTTGACCGACTGGATCAAACTGTGGTGGGTATGGAGGAAAGCAGATCGAGCGTTTCTACGCTCGTCTATTCAGGTTATCTTTGGGGTTACATTTACTGTGGGCACTCTCCTCGCCGGTACGTTCACCTCACTCGCGGTATCGACTCCCGATATTCAAGTGCTCGTGCAAAGCCGTCAATGCGCGCCCTGGAGCCCTGACCGCATAAACAACGCGAGTGGAAGCGTAAAGGCTGCGTACGGACAGTATATCGGCGCGACCCGAAAGTCGAGCATAGACTATGCCACAGAATGCTACCGAGACTACTCGGTGGTGCCCGAGCGTTGCAAGATGTTCACCCGCCCCAGCATTCCCTTTTCGCAAGCCCGAGTGGACTGTCCTTTTGCTACCACCCTATGTAAAAATGTCTCCAAGCCAGCAATTCAACTCGATTCTGGTCTGGTCGATTTGAACGACGGCCTAGGATTAAACCTGGCCCCATCGGAAAGAGTTCGTCTCCGCAAAAGGACTACATGTGCAGTGCTTGAGATTGAGAATCGAACCTCAGTTGTGAACGTGTCATCTCTCACATTTCGTACTCGCGACCCTCTACCAAACGAAAAGGCTTTGGTCTTACACTTGGGACGCAGCTTCGTCCCCGGCAATGAAAACTTTACGTTTTCCATGAGCCTGTTACTCAGCAACCTTTCCTCGGACTATAGCAGTGTGTAAGTCAAAGGCCCGATCCACTTACTACTGCTATAGGCGTTTTTTAACATAAGGGATAGGACGGCAAGCAACTACCAGACAGAGGCTCTTAAGACTTCTGGCACGTTTACGCCGCCCCCAGAGATGCAGGGCCTTGACGCCGACATATTTAACATTCACGTTGGTAAAAACAACGTCCTCTATCGTCAACCCACCAATGATCCCCTCTTCGCAGCACATAGGCCTCTCAAAACGGGTGATTCCCGACCGGAACAACAAAACGTCACATACTACAGATCTGATTTCGTTTTTGGGGTACTGGGATGTGGCTTGCAGGTAAGAATAGCTTTTCCAGTCTTACAAACTGCTCCCCCATAGCCTGATATCACGAGAGAACTAATCCATGGCAGTACCAATTCTGCCACGCGCAAGCCAACGGCGCACCAGACTTTTGCAGCAATCTCACCGGCTTACCGAACTGGGTAGAGGACTTTTCCCTCGAGCAGTATCCAAACGCAAGCAATATCCAACGAGCCATCCTGCAAGACCTCGGCCACGCTATGCTCAATACAGATATCCAAATTGCCAGCTACGACCTCAAAGCGCGCAAACTCATCGAGAATGCTGGCTTCATCAATTCGCTGCCAGACGACCAGTGGGTGCGGGAGGTGGTGGGCTGGGAATCCACGCTCTGGGCTTCACTCCAGATCGAAATGGCCGAATATGCGATTGGCAGAGCGGTCCGCGTACCCGGTGCGGCCGCTCTTATGAAGACGGACTTGACCGATGGAGAACAAGCGCTTTGTGGCAAGCAAAGAATGAAGAACCCGGGAGGCTTTGTGTAAGTGCTCTCTATGCACGTACTGAGTATCCAACGCTAACCTTGCCCGCAAGCAACATCAACGTGTTCGCAGTGTCCTTTATAGGGGCTTTCTCACTCGTCGTTACACTTCTCGATCTAGTCCTTCTCAGACTGATTATTGTGCCGAAGCGCTCTCCGCGGATAGATCGATGGATTCAGGACGGCATCTTCCAGTTGCAACGGCGCGCGTATGAAGCACACGGGGAAGGAGTGTGGTCTCGTCTTGAAAAAGATGTTCCCATGACTACTTCCATCGGGGAAAAGCTCGCGGAGCTGCCGGTGGAGTCGCAGCCGCTGTGTACATGTATCGTCGGCGTAAAGGAAGTGCAGCAGCAGGACATGTGAGGGAAGGTAGGTCCTAGAGAGGCTCCATTTTAACCCCGTCTACAAGCGAAAGCGCACATCAAGGACACGTTCCATCTCCTATAATCGAGTAGTGGTAAACAGACTATATCTTATCCTCCACCCACCCACCAATGTTACACAGCGTTCAATTATACCAGCTAGTACCCCGGCCCGAGGAAGAGTACATCTACGCCTCGCATCCCAGCCCGAACTAGGTAGGATTGTGCTTCTGACAGCTCTAGCTAGCTGTAGACCCAACCCAACCCAACCCAACCCAACATGGCATGGCATGACATTACATGGCTCACTTAGCCTCATGTTGCTTTCCCTGCACTTTATACCAAATTAGCCTTCCGACTGTTCTCGAACCATTGTATGCCTCGAGACAAAAGCCGTTGAGCTAGCCACGTGGACAGCAAAAGGCTCGTTTTCGATCCAGGCGTAGAAGTGGCAAGTATATAAACAATTCCAAGATTTTGCTCGCCTAAACTCGGGTTTCGGGTTTCATGCCCCTCCGTACCTTCGCGTTGATGCATCCGATGCTTGGCAGCGCTGGAGTTGTGTGTATATTGACGAGTTACATATAGTTATGAAAAGGCACACGTGGTGAATGGTTAAGCTTTGAAGGCGAGCAGGACAGGGAAAGGTTGTCATTATTTTCGGCCCTAATGTGGCAACGGTAGGCAAGACCAGGCCTCTGGAAAGATCCCACGCATGCAAACCAGGTTTTCTTCTCATCTTGGATCTGAATCTCCCTGTCGTGTATACGTTGAACGGCGGCTGGATTACTACATGTCTGAAAAATAATCTGGGACTCGGAATCTAATCTGTGGACCTGGCGGCAACGGCGAATTAAGGCCACTGTGCCTGGACATTGATGCGCTGTGGCAATCTTATCGGTCAGCGAGGAAATTGTTGAGTTTCGGGATACGAGTAGCGTTGGGTCCTGTCCGACTGCATACCTGACCACAGGCAAGGGGCACTGCTCAGGGCTGTGAGGGATGTTTTTGACCTGAACTACGTGGTGCGGACAGAATCGGTTGGAATGGCGATGCGACACTGTTGAGTGCTCAGGGCGTTCAAAGGTGTGTGTGGTACGGTAACTGCAGGCATGGACATTAGCAACTGTGACTTGAGGCTCAGACATTGCTTCATGTCGGGTTCTGTTCACCGTCCTTCTACAATTCCAACCTCAAACTTGCAGTCCGCGGAGCGACATCGCAGCCTCGAAAGTTCCGGCAATTGATCTGACACCCGTAGTGGCACACCAATCGCGTGCAACATGGGCAACACAAAAACCTCCACTATGCAGATGCGAACGCCACCTCGTGCAACGACCAAGACGACAATCGTACGAGCGATGCACTTCTGCGCTGTCTCTGCTGGCGGGTGGATGCAAGCGTAGGTAGCACGGCATTTGAAGCTCCGTTCAGCTCGCCGCTCGTGTGCTCGTCCCTCCGACGCCGCGATGTGGGAAGCTGTCGGGCTGTACTGGGCTGATGTTGCGACGCAGACGAAGGAGCAGAGGTGATGGTGTTCTTTCCGTAACCCGTTCCAGTGGGATGTCAGCTCTTGTGCAAGGTCGTAACGGGGTCTCAAAAGAGGGGTTGAGAAGCGAGGGTGTGGGAATGTGTAACGTCGCAGTGCCGAGGGCATGGCGCTGTCATTGGTGGCTGGCCCGCTACAGCTCGGATATGGCTGTTCGTCATACAGTAGCGTAGAACAAGTACCCGATGGGTTGACGTCGGAACGTGGGTTGGGTGAGAGCGCTGGCGAAGGATCTGCATGAATGATTGTTAAACACTGCCATAGAGGTGAAACGAGAACGAGTTGTGAGAAAGCGAGACCTAGTGGTTAGCATGCGTCAGAGCATATGTCAATTTAACGAGATTTGGTGAACAGGTCTGGCGGTCCGAAAAACCAGGTTGTGATATTCAATGGAGTTGGTCATGCTTGTGAGGACGCAATAGGCTTAGTTGGCCCTTTGCGCGCGACACAGTTCTGTAAACATTCCAACATGGACCTCTCTCGAATCCCCCAAAAGTAACAATGGGTAATTGGTGAAGATGAAGATAATGGAGAATAGGGGGCAAAGAATGAACAGCGTCGTAGTAGGTCGTCAGGATGTGGGGGGGAAAACGAGATCATGCGGCTTCAGGGCCTGGTGCAGCTGGATCGTCGACACCGAGGGCTCTGAGCTTGGCCTCGACGGCGGCAACGATGTGAGGGTCGAACTGCTCTTCTTTCTTGGCTTTTTTGATACTGCATCTCGTTAGCACCCAAGCTTGAGAGAGAGAGAGGAGATAGGCTGGTACTCACGGTGTTCTGGTACACTTGTCACAACGCTCGTGACCACAGCCGGGACACTGTGGCGAGCCGTTGACGAAGAGCCCATGGCACTGCTCACATTCCCAACGCACTCTTGCTCGTGGTTTTCGCCACGTACGCCTAAACTTCTCGAGTTGCTTCTCCACCTCGGAGTCGCTGTCGGCGTCGGCGTCGGCATCACCAGGGTAGCCCGTAGGCCACTTGGCCAGCTTTGCGGGTTCTCGCGGACAGGTTGTGCACCTGACATGGTGGCATTGCTCGCATACGGTGGCGGTTGCCGGGATGAACAGAGTGTGGCACTTGTGGCAGCTGCGCCTGACTCGCTGCTTTGGCGGGTCGAATACCAACTCGCCGCCCGACCTTGTCTTGATGGTGAAGGCCTTCTTCTTCCTAGGCGTCTCGGTAGTGTCCTTGTCCTTTTGCTTTTCTTCGGCTGTCTTCTTCTTGGGATAGCGAGGACACTTCTTGCAACGCCTGTGCTCACACTTCAAGCACACCTTGTCGGCGCCGTAGATGGTGCCGCAACGATGGCAGCTGCGGTGGACGCGCATGCGAATAGACTTCTCGACACGTTGGACGGTGGGGATGGGAGCGGGGGCAGCAATCCATTCATGCGACTCGAGCGTGAGGCCGTACTTTGCGAAGAGAGCACGAGCTCGTTCCTGCTGCATTGCGCGGCGATCGAGCACCTGCGGGTCTGAGGTGGGCGCGGGAGGCGAAGTCGTGGATTCCTGAGCAGGAGCCTGGGTGGTAGTAGTAGGGGCACTATGGTATGGGTGGTAAGTAGAGTGTAGACATTGTGGTGTGATGGCTGAGGGTCAACGTACGCAACGGCTTCCTCTTGGGCGACTTCCTCTTTGGCGGGTTCATGTTGCGCCTGGGCCTGAGGGGTGGCAGATGTGGGCGAAGTAAGGCTCTTGGTCGACTTTTCCCGCTTGAAGACACTGCTCATTCTCTTGACATATTTGCCCAGGCTCATACGGCGGTCCACATTTTTGTTTTCCGAGGGCTCGGACTCAGCTGGGGTCGCCATGGTGGAGTGGAGATGGAAGACGGAAAGATCAAGTTGAGAATCAACGCAGGCGTAGGTCCAAGGTCAGATAATGCATGCAGCTCAAACTACTAAGTCCCGGGGGAATTGGCGGTTGGATGTGCCTCGGGACGCCCGGATTGGTGCAATGCAGTCGACACTTGAAGTTTGGCGTGTGTGGTCAAGCGGCACACACACACACACATACACTCACAGGGAGAAGCAATGGTAGTAGTAGTAGTAGTAGTGAAGGGGTGGGGAGGGAGCAGTGGCGGCTAGCTAGGTATTATGGGCAGAGGGAGAGAGGCTTTGGCATCAGCCCATGAATGACCCACCCACCACCACCACCCGGCTTCCCAGTGCGCTGGTTTCGAGCCGACCCCAAACTACGCACAAGCGTCGCTGCGGAAGACAGCGAGCGCGGCCCGTTCGTCGCAGCCTGGGCCCAGAGGCTAAATCGGGGTAGTAGTAGGTATATCTATGCTTGCTACTCCTCCTACCAGTCCCACCCGTCGACGGCTTGCTGGAACTACTACACTGGCTTTTGTTCTCTCTTCCGCCTGGGCACGGCAGCCAGAGCATTCTTCGCGCAACACAACCACAACACGACACAACACCAGGGAGCACGGCAGACAGCAGTACCACGGGGTGACGGATGCATGCACCTCGCGCCCATGGCTTCTGATGCCCGGCACAACAAGTCGGCTGCGGCCATGGACGCCGACGGACCTGTGTCCTCTTGCGGTTACCAGCGGGCGCCTATACCCAACCAGGCCCTTGGCCGCCTCCGCGGACCCTCTCTGTCAATAACCTCCTTGGGCATTCCCAGGGTTGCCAAAACCATGTACGAGCGAGCTTCTGAAACCCTGCTTGTCCTCGGAATGGTAGCTCTGGGGCATGGATGGGTGTTTACTAAGTAATTACTTAGTAATTTAGTAATTACTATTTAGTAAAGCCTAATTAGGTATAGTACCTAGTAATTACTATTTAGTAATTACTAAATAGTAATTACTAAAAAAAAAATTTAGTAATTACTAAATAGTAATTACTAATTAATACTATTTAGTAATTTAAAAAAAAAAACTTTTTAATAAAATATTAAAATATATAAATTTTACTATATTAATATTATATTAAAATTCTAAATATAGTACTTT